TATTACTAAATTATCCCACAGTTCCAGTTAACAGGAGCTCTTCTCCTTATCAGATTTATTTTTTTTTAATTCATATAAAATTCATTTTTTAACATACTGAGATCAACAGTAAAGTAAGATCAGGAATCAGAAGTACCTATATTAAAAATTTATTTACCCTGCCAATGTGTTTGCAGATGTACAATATTAATGTCCCAAAACCACACCCATATGCCCCCTAAGGGCATGGTTTTGGTTGTGATGGGCACAGCAGATAAGCAGGAGGGCAGGACTGCATCATTTGGTTGGCTAAGACAGTGGTAACCAGCATCTTACAAAACCAATGTGAGGCACCATCCTATAATGACCACTTGATGTAACAATCTGGCAGCTGGTTGTCTTTGGAAGCGAATATCAGCATTCACATGTTCCAAATACTTGCCTGTTAGTGTCTACAGGGAAGAGAGGTCTAGCTCTCTCTGCCATACCTAGTAGCCTTGTACCTGTTGTGTTACAACCAAACTACCCCGACTTTAAAATTCCTTGTCGAATTGAGCCTTAGTTGTGGATGGAGGTGGTTTCCTCAACTTCCTCCAGTAGGGTATTCCACTTGTTAACTACCCATACAGGGTACACACATTTTCTTACATCCTTTTGGATGATTTGCTCTTCCTGCTTTCATATATGTTTTCTTGTCATTCATTCTCAGTCTGAATGGGCTATCCTTGTCCACCTTATCTATTCCCCACAGTATCTTGTAAGTTGTGATCATATCACCTCTGTTCCTTCTATCCTCTAGGATTGTAAGATTTAGTTCCATTAGCCTATGTTTGTAGCTTAGTCCTCTTAGCTCTGGCACCTATCTTGTTGCAAACCTCTTCTTTTTCGATTTTACTTAGTTTCACAAGGTGCAGATTCCATGCCGGTGATGCATATTCCAATATTGGTTGAACATAGGATGTGTAGATTTCTTTGAAAGAGTGCTGATTCAGGCTCCTAAACGATGTTCTTATATTTGCCAGCGTCCCATATACTGCCGATGTTATCCTGTTTGTGTGCGCCTCCGGTATAAGTGTTGGAATTATATCCACTCCCAGATCCCCTTTCTGATTTCTGTAGCTGTCTTCTCTGTATGGCCGGTTGGCCGAGCCGGTCGGCCGAGCGGACAGCGCCCTCGACTTGTGATCCTGTGGTCCTGGGTTCGATCCCAGGCGCCGGAGAGAAACATTGGGCAGAGTTTCTTTCACCCTATGCCCCTGTTACCTAGCAGTAAAAATAGGTACCTGGGTATTAGTCAGCTGTCACGGGCTGCTTCCTGGGGGTGGAGGCCTGGTCGAGGACCGGGCCGTGTGGACACTAAAAAAGCCCCGAAATCATCTCAAGATAACCTCAAGATGGCGTAGATGCCTTTTGGTCTCCTCTCTCCCTTCCCCCATCTTCATTACATTACTCTTGTTGGGATTGAACTCTTGCAACAATTTGTCTGACCACACCTGGAATTTGCTACAGTCCTCCTGTAACTTTCTGTAGTCCTCATCTGTTTTCATGTTCCTCATCGGCTTTGTATCATCTGCAAACATTAACATGTCGGAACTCGCTCCCTCAGGTAGGTCGTTCACTTACATTAGGAACAGCAGAGATCCCAGGACAGAGCCTTGTGGGACCCAACTTGTAACATTCTTCCAGCTTTAAACCACCTCTCTGACTGTGACTGCTTTCTGTCCTTCAGATACTCCCTTATCCAGTCCAGCATTTTCCCAATTATCCCAGCCTGGTTCTCCAGATGTCAATACTTGGTGACGGAATTGTTCACTATGTCCCAACCGCCTTCTTCACCTCTTTGTGTTCATAGCTTACTGACCTGCATTTGTAGACTGGCCCTTGATCACCAGTGCTGGATACCACTGAACATTTGTCCATTCCCTTGTAACAATTGTTATAAATTGTCTCTTGCTGACAGTGTTAATTACTATGGATTATATGACAAGCAATGTTGTCAGTGCAGCCCATCTCGCGAGCTGTCCCAACCAGTACCCTAACCTAAACAGTCCCAAACAGTGCCCTAACCTAATCAACCAGATGACCCATGAACAGAAAATGGGACATAGTCAATTTCACGAGCTGCTACCATTTTATTGGTGCATCAGTTTTTGGTCCTAATTAAAGTATGTCAAAATACGATCTCCTATAATGAGAACAAGTTGGTTATTGACTCTTTACTGCTGTTGTTCATGACTTTAGTCCTCGGACTGTATTCTATCCCCGATGGTATAAGTGGTAGGGCATTGTTCATTCATTCTGTCCTTGCACACCTTCCAAGTGCTAAGTCATACAGGCTTAGAGATTTCTCTTGATACCTACATTTCCTTCCATGGTCATATTATTTTAGCAAAATTGATTTGTACACTTTGGAGTGCGAGAGGTTCAGTATTTTAGGAGTGGTTATGCCTTGCTGTGCTCTCTCTGGGAAAGATAGTATAGCACTGCGTGACAACTCTGCCCAGGGTGACAACATGGGCATAACCCAGCATGGTGAGAGCTGCCAAAAGTGGCTCTGCTTCTTGGTAAACCCGGTTATTTTTGGTATTAAAAATCACTAGCTAGAGTTAGAGCCTCGGGTGGAGTTAAAAACTAATTTATTTATTTATTTATTTATATATATACTGTATGTATATATATACAGTATACAAGAAGGTACATTGGGATTGTGAGGATACATAGCATAGTAATTACATTCTTGTAAAGCCACTAGTACACGCAGTGTTTCGGGTAGGAAATAGCTAATTAGCTTATGAAATAGCTAATAGCTTATGAACATTCATTGTGGACGCATTATAACTGCTACTGTTGGCTGTTGCTGCTACTGTTTGCTGTTGCTCCTGCTGTTAGCCACAACTGCTAGATGCTGACTGCTGCTGCTAGATGCTGACTGCTACTTCAGCTACTTGCCACCTTCTTTTGATAATTTTTGCTGCAGCTAGATTATCTTGGAGAGTTAGGGAAGCCATAATTACCTTGAGGGGAATTAATAGTGTAGATGAGGACATTAGCACAGGCGGCACTTCCTCAAGTGGACACCGGTGGAAGCAGAGTAGCCAAATGAGTTGGATTAGGAAGAATTTTTGCAGTCGGTTAACAAATGGAATGTGCTAGGAAGTGATGTGTTGCAGACTGACTCCATACAATGTTTTAAATGTAGATATGATAGACCCCCCCCAATGGACCCTGAACCTGTTCATCAGTTCACTGATGGTTGAAAGGATGAGTCAGTTAACATTCCTCAGTTAACCACAGCACCTGCCTGTTAATGTCTCTCCCCCACCGCCCCCCCCCCCCCCCCCTCCTAAAAAAAAAAAAAAAAAAAAAAAAAAAAAAAAAAAAAAAACACCGCCTGTCTACATTATAAAAGGTATAAAAGGTTTTCCTTGGTAGAATGGCATGGGGAGCAGGGATACTTTCCCTGCTCAGGTGCAGCCACATCATGTAGTTTGTTCTTCACTGTTCTGATGACAACTTGGGGAAGTTTGGTGGCACCTTGCATCCATAGCATTTCCCTTCAACATTTGTGAATTTTTTCACCATCAGTCTGAGGTGTTGATTTTTATAATACTGTAGAATTAGTAACTACCTAAGTGTAGTTATTGGATGAGAGCTACGCTCGTGGTGTCTCGTCTTTCCAGCACTCTGTCATATGACACTTTGAAACTACTGCTGGTTTTGGCCTCTACAACTTACTTTCTTGTTCCAACTGTCTACTACTTTGATTGCAAAATAAAAACTTTCTAATATTTTCTGTTTCCTTTGTTTCTGTAGAGTGAATCTATGACCTTGTTCTTGAACCTACTGGTTTCAGGAATTCCTCTTTATTAATTTGGTCAATACCCGTTATTATTTTGCAAGTGATCAGATTACCTCTTTTACTTCTATCTTCTAGCTTTGGCATATTTAACATCTCTAGCCTTTCCTCTTCCCTTTTGTAGCATGATTTTGCACTTTTTCCAGTTTATTGATGTACTTCTTGAGATATGGGCACCTGAAATACTAAAACTATTCATGACTTGTGAGATAAAAATTGGAATATGCAGCAGTTGTATGGTGCCCATATTTCAAACACATCAGTAAACTGGAAAAGGTGCAAAGGCATGCTACAAAATGGCTTCCATGTCTGAAAAACAAAAGTTACAAGGAGAGGCTAGAAGTGTTAAATATACTAAAGCTGGAAAATAGAAGAAAAAAAAAAAAAGAGGTGATATGATCACCACTTGCAAAATAATAACAGAAATCGTCCAAATTGACAAAGGTATTCCTGAAACAGCAACTTAAGAACAAGTGTACTCAGATTTAAGTTAAGGAAACAAAGGTGCCAGAAGAAATATTTGAACATTTTCTTTTGCAAACAGTGGTCGATGATTGGAACAAGTTAAGCGAGATGTTGGTAGAGGCCAAAACCGTCTGTAATTTCAAAGCGTTATATAACAAGAGTATTGTACTGGGAAGATGGGACACCACGAGCATAGCTCTCATCCTGTAACTACACTTAAGTAATTACGCTGATCTGTATGCATATACTATGTGTAATTTCTAAGTAGTTAGATAAGTTACATTAAAGGTTAATCATAGTTATAATAGAGCATGGGTAAGGATTTTAACTCCCTGTACCTGAAGCTGCATCAAATCATTACTTGGCATTGCAGTGTGGAGCTTCTTAGAAGATGATTGTTAACTTGAGAGTGCCAGGGTTTATCAACATCATTGAGAGTCGGATGATATGCCCTCAGTCACATCTAATTGTATCCTGACATAATAATTGGATCATTGTAAAGTAATTATTACTATACTTTGCCAACTAAGCTGAAGAATTAAAAACATTATATTTCAGTGGTAGTTGCTGCTCACACCGCTCTTTCTTTCAAACTTTATTTGATGCTTTACACACCTTTATGAAAGACACAATTTACCACATTTAAGACTTACTTTTATTTTCTTATATTCAGTACTGTAGTAACTTTATTTGTTTACAGTGACCGGTTCCTGGCTCTGAAAATTATAAAAAATGTAGAAAAATACAGAGAGGCTGCTAAGCTCGAGATTAATGTGTTGGAAAAACTAGCAGAGAAAGACCCTTACAATAAGCAGTGAGTATTTATACTTTTTTTGTTTTGAAATGTGTATTCTAGATATGTAAAGGTAATTTGCTTATAATGCATGCTGTTTGTTATTTTCTCTTAACAAATTCATTTAAATCTCTCTTTGTACTTGGTCCAAGTGGTGTTTTACTTTATCCCAACCCATCTTGTGTTTGCTACTCTTCATGTTATGCATTAGACTACAGTACTTGATACCTTCCAGTAATGCTAATTTAAAAGTGAACTACCATTACAGTTTTCAGAAAATCAGTAGGAATCATAAGGAGGGTTCAAACCTACACTCTGGATACTCTCACACACATTCCTTAGACCTACGGCCAGCCACTTGGGCTGGACGGTAGACGCTCGGACCTGCATGAAGCGACAGTCTCACTTAATGCAGGTCGGCGTTCAATCCCCGAACGTCCAAGTTGTTGGGCACCATTCCTTTTCCCCGTCCCATCCTAAATCCTTATCCTGACCCTTTCCAAGTTTTATATCGTCTTAATGGCGTGGTGCTTTCCCCTGATAATTCCTCTTCCTCCTCCTCCTCCTCAGACCTACTTGGGAGTTCTCAGGGGCCAGGTTCGTATCCTCCTTGTGGCCTCTACTGATCCTCTCATTGATACATATTTTAATGTTATTGTTTTGTGCAACTACAGTCCAGTATTGTTAAAAATGTGTTTATCTTATGTTTTCACATGAGAACAGGATACTATCTCCTTGTGTTGACATAAAGACTGTTTATGGCATGATGCACTTTGTTTACCATGTACGTGTATTAGCCAATTAATATTTTCTATCTTATATGGCAAGATTTCCTTTATGGTTCTCTAGTTGATTTCTCGAGTCGTTTTCTTTTTGTGCACTTAAATTTTACTCTTATGCTTACCCCATTTGTTCAAGTCGGACTTAAAAAAATAAAAAAAAAAATAAAAAAATAATGCGGCTTCACTGTTGTATAGTGAAAATCAGATTATACTGTACTTTGCAATTTTGACTTGTTAGACTTGTATATACAGCACAGTAGTACATGTATCTTATGGCTGTACTGTACTGTGTTTTTTTGGTTGAGTTTTGCTGCGGAATATAAATGTATTTACACTACTATACATGTTTTTAAATAAAAAATATAAATTGTTTTAAAAATGAATACTTTGGGTAAGCTTTGAATGTCTGTGAATCTGTCAGCCTGTTACCCCTGATGCCTGAAATACAATGGCTTTCCCTATTTTAATTAAAATTAAATTATTGCCTATCAGAGTTTACAAGCGCTGTAATGAGAAGCAAATTTGTTGCTTTATTGATTTTTTCGGCATTGTAGCTATTTTATATAATTTGCTGAAATTAGATACTTGTATTAAAATGGCCAAGAGCCCTCCTAGATCTTGAGGTCTAACCTGCTGTTGCAAGGAACAAACTGATGATAAACATTTGTTGAGAATTGCATTGATCTGTAGAAGTTAAAGGAAAGAAAGAAAGAAAGAAAAGCAGAGAGTTATAGTATTATACTTGCAATGTTTGCCGAGGCTTCTGTCATAGGCTGTGAGAAATCACCCGATACTCATTTTGCATTTATATGCTAATTTACTAATGTAGTACTTTATATTGAGGAGTGATAGCTCTCATATACTGCAGCCCATCCTCCGGTTTTGGTAGTACAGTACTTGTAGTAATGATGAGGAGCACAGTACATATACCAACGTAGAACACGATTAGAAAGTAGAAATAGGTATTATTAAATTTGGACAAACCAGAAAAGATGTTCTATTTATGTTGCAAAGACAAACTAAACTAACCTAACCGTCTTAGGCTTAATATACCTTCCAAGGCTTAATCTAGTACGTGTGTGCTATTGTTGAGCCTGGCCTCGGGCCGAGCTCAGGGAGTAAAAGAACTCCCAGAACCCTCTCCAGCTATTCTAGGCATAGGAATATTTGTTTGCTTTTTACCTTCATTTTTTCACTATTCTATAAGAGTGAATAGTACAAAATTCTACTATCTAATTGCTTAGTATGTCAATCTTTGTACTATGCTGGTCATAGTTACAAAAACTATTATCTAATCAGGAGGATAGGTTGTATACTATGCTACTGAAGATGGAGCTACTACTATATCTGCCATCTACATGGCAGTAGATACTACTACCTTTTTATTCTATGTAACAAACTGAAAAAATCAAGTTTATTTCTGTTGCAGTATTTAGTTTACTATGATTTTAATGTTGTTTTTGATTTTCAGCTTGTGTGTTCGGATGCTCAGTTGGTTTGACTACCATGGCCATGTGTGTATTGCCTTCGACATGCTGGGCCTTAGTGTGTTTGATTTCTTGGTGAGTAACCCATTTGTTACAAGGGGACATTGGTGTCCCCATGTGAGGTATGCTTTACATTTGATACTTTTTTTATTTCAGAATAAATTTATATTTGGAAAATAGAGGTCAGCACTTGTCTTCAAGTAGGTTTTACAGATACTGTATTTGGAACAAGTAAAAAATAGCATCATTGAAGTAAACTTAACACTATCGCATGCAGCGCATGAGCGCCACAGACTTTGACGTCATGGGGCGGGCAAGCGTGCGGTGACGCCTAAATGTGTATACACGTTTCAGTTTTCTCACCTTAATTCTCGTGCTACGTCGTTCGTTTTGGTATCATTGTGTTCGCAGTTAAATTCCCTGCAGGTGTATATGCATATAATGTCCAAAAGCCTAGCGAGACTTCCCGCAGCAAAGCCTAAAGTTACCCATGAACGAGCACCAATTTGCACACCACAACCTAATGTGTATACTCGTTCAGTTTGATAACATAAATTTTCATGTTACATCGCTCATTTTGGTATCAAATTGTTCACAATATAAAGGCGCGCATTTTAAAACTAGTCTCATAATAATAGAGCAATAACTGGAATTTTAACAAATATTTTAATTTTGGACACTCATCATCACAATTATTTATATCTTGCCAGTGTTCTGGCATCAATTTTCGTGTTACGTCGCTCGTTTTGGTATCAAATTGTTTACAATCTAAAGGCAAGCATTTTAAAACTAGTCCCATAACAATAGCACAATAAATAGAATTTTAACAAATATTTTAAAATTTAGACCCAAAAACGTATTTATAATCTTTCAAGTGTTCTGACAAGTTTCGTGTTACGTCTTTCATTTTGGTACCAAATTGTACGCATTCTAAAGGCGCTTATTTTGAAACTATGCTGAGGTCGATCGGATAAAAAATGAATTTTATACAAATATTTTTGGAGTGGACGCGAGTCCTGTCCACGACTAGGACTCGAGATTAAAAAAATGGAAGTGATCGGTGTCCAAAGCGAGCGATACTGTTAATGAAACGTTTCAAATTTTACATCTGATAGTTAGCCATTGGAAAGTACACGAGTAGGCATTACTGGATAAAAATAGTACAGTAGCTACCTTGCATTGGCCAGTAGGCCTTCTTCAGATTTCTACATTTTATTGAGGACAGCATTCTAAACCTAATAATCACAATGAAATGCTAATCAGGAATATCACAATTTCAAATAAAACTTGTAGGAGTAACAGCTCTCATTGAAGCAATAACAAATATAAGGTTTATATAATACTGTATGAGCTCAGTTATCCAAAGCACGCTGAACTGAATATTTGGGTTCTCCAACCAAAATCGGGTTTGCATAATTTTCTACTAAACTTCACCCTATCCAAACAGAAATTTGGATAACTGGAGATTTGGCTGGATAACACAGACTGGCACAGAGGCTAAGTCAAATTTGGATAATTTTCTGGCAAAACTTTGCTATATCCAAACAGAAATTTCGAACAACCGGAGGTTAGGTTTTATATATTTTCAAGAAATACACATTTCAAGGTCTACAGTATCACTCGAGAAGACAAGCTACAAGGTACCGTAATCTGATGTTTCTCTTTATAAATTATATTTTTGAGATATAGTGTTCGTGTGGAAATAAGAATTATAGTGGTTATGGTAAAAAAAAAAATGTGAATAAGGCTTTCATGGACTTCCTCCTATTAGAATTTGCTTATCCGGATGTCTGGCTTATCAGGTGGGGGGGGGGGTCTTTCCATATAGTTTAGATAAGCAAGCTTAGTCAGTATGGCAAACACTATACAATGGGACTGTGGGGAAAATATAACAATATTCCAGCTACATCAACTGGAACAAAATAAACTTCCTGGAAAACTGCCCAGAGTTCTTAAACAAGCATAGAAACATTAATACATTACTCAAAATAAACATTAAATCTGTCCCCTCTGTAAAGGATAGAAAAGGAATTAACAAAAACAATCAAGTATGCAAAAAAGATACAGCTTTAGAAAACGAGCATTGATTGAAATGGAATGCCTCTTTCAGGTGAAGCTATATGCACTGAGACTTCTTCCCCAGTACTGTCAGATCAGTTCTGTTGGCCTACCAGGGACCCAGAGCCAGATTTTGGCTCTCCCCCTCTCCCCCCCCCCCCCCCTCTTCACAGATGCACAGAACAGAGGAATTGTTGTAATGACCTTCACACAGGAAAGTACCTAAAAAGCATGCGAGACAGAATGGCAACATTCCTAAAAACAAAGCACCAAAACAGGCAACATACACCACAAAAGAATCACTCAAAGTAAATGGTTAATTTGAACCTGGGTATGAATGCCCCCTAGTGCACATGCACAGAGCAACCAGCTGGTGGTGTCCTTCCAACAGTCTGCTCATTCTGGAGTTGATGAATCACAAATCAGTATACCTGTTAAGATGAGAGAAGGTGGGGGGAGGGAAGAGTTAGGGAGCCACCGGGGCTCACCCAGAAAGGGACGTTTCATTGCATTCAATGCTGGGTTTTCTGGAGGAGCCTTTTTGGTTGCTTCCTGAAGCTAACTACAGAGAATATGGAAAATGTGGGACGTGCCAGGAAGGCGGAGAGGTGGCAGCCAAAGTGTCTTAGATGAAATGCTTTGGGCCAGGAAATCCAGCCCAGACATTTAATATAAACCTGACTGGGAACAGTAATATTGACCCAGTGCCAAGTTGCCAAGACACAGTTAGATCTCCCAAATCTGAGCCTGTTTGATGGGGGTTCTGGGAGTTGTTCTATTCCCCAAGCCCAGCTCAAGGCCAGGCATGACTTGAGAGCTTGATCCAACAGGCTATTGTGTAGATCGGCCCGCAGTCCCACATACCCACCACAGCACGGTTGGTCCGGCACTTCTTGAAGAAAACTATCTAGTTTTATCTTGAAGATGTCCACGGTTGTTCTGGCAATATTTCTTATACCCACTGGGAGGATGTTGAACAATTGTGGACCTCTGATGTTTATACAATGTTCTCTGATTGTGCCTATGACACCCTTGCTCTTCACTGGTTCTATTCTACATTTTCTTCCATGTAGTGTCCTGAAAGTCAACCTAGATGTAAAAGCAAAGACAGTTGCCAAAGCCGTAAACCAGGGCCCTGAGGGAAGATCACAGGTTGGCTAGTGTTAATAACATGGAAATGACATGGAATGAACACACTGGGGACTGGCAACAAAGGAAACCAGATTGTCAAACAGTGCATCCACTGAATTGGAACAAATGGCTTTTTGATAGCGAATGACTGTTGCAGCTGGAAGTGCCAGAAGGTACAAACCCCAGCTGGGAAAACAAAAGTAGACACACATCCATCCACAGTTTCAGGAGCAAATGTTAAAATTTAAGAGTTTCTAGAAATTGCAATTAGTCAAGTTGAAATTGCTTGGAGGCAGGCCTCACCGCTAGTCTCTCTTGTTCCTCGTTACCGCTGATGGTTAAACACGTGATAGCCAAGTCCATAATATCGACCACAACTATAAATCGCAAATACAACCACAAGCTATTATTGCATCTACCACAATTACAACAATAGAGAAACACAACATGAATAATAGAAAATAGGATTATTCCCAGAAAGGTTGGGAATAACTGCTCTACAATCTAACCATCTCCACAACTATTACCACCATCATTACCATCACTGCCACAACCACGGCTGAACTGCCATCATTGCTTGTACCACGGCTAAACTGCCATCACCACCGCCACCACAGTTAAACTGCTATGTAGGGTGTCTTAAATGTGTTGTAACCTGTTGTACACTCTGTAGGGAGGTATATCATTCTTCTAAAGCACACTCATGATTATATTCAAACTGAGTTTAAATAGCAAGTTTCAAACTGAACATAATTGAGATGTTGAGCATATTGTCCTGACTTTATCTGAGAGTTACTAATCAATAATCACTGCTGGGGAGTCACAGCAGGTTAATGTAGTGGATTCTACAAGAATAGTTTTGCTGTGATTCGTTTTTATTTATTGAGTGTTATTAATTCACTGTCATTATTCACAAACGTTGAGATCATGGAAAGTATTATAATTTATTAAGCCCTGCACTTCACACGTGTTTCATGTGATGGCTTCGTGGTGTCACATACCCACCCGTACTCATTTACTGTAATATAGTGCACCTTTTTTACTTCTGGTGTAACCAAAGTGTCTAGTTTGTATGTAGGTATTGGTGGGTTTGTTTTGCTTCTTTAAAGACATAGTTTGATATAGTAAACAATTTGTGTGTGTGTGTGTGTGTGAGGAAATAATTAAATTGCTAATTTTTAATTGCAGAAGGACAACAATTACCGTCCGTATGGCCTAGAGCAAGTTCGGCACATCTCATATCAGCTGTGTTATGCAGTAAAGTTCCTCCATGATAACAAATTGACTCATACAGATCTCAAACCAGAAAACATACTCTTTGTTGACTCCGACTATAATTTAACATATGACCCTAAAAAGGTAAGCCTATATACCCTATATAAAAAATATACTGATATTTTTCATTCCTGATATTAACCCATATACAGTGGTACCTCTGTTTTCAAATTTAATCTGTTACCAGAGATGGCTCGACAACCGAAAATTTGAAAACCGAAATGAATTTTCTTTTAAGAAATAATGTAAATTGAATTAATTTGTTCCACACACCCAAAAATATTAACTTAAAAATACTTTTTCTGCTAATATTTTTCATACAAAACAGATGTAAATATAAACCATAAATACAATAAGTGAACATTTAACTGCACTTTACCTTTACCGAGGACTCTTGTTGGCCTATAGGAGACGGTGAGGGAGGGAGGGAGGAGCAGTGTATGGGGAGGGTGAGGAGGGAGGGAGGAGCAGTGTATGGGGAGGGTGAGAAGGGAGGGAGGAGCAGTGTATGGGGAGGGTGAGGAGGGAGGGAGGAGCAGTGTATGGTGAGGGTGAGGAGGGAGGGAGGAGCAGTGTATGGGGAGGGTGAGGAGGGAGGGAGGGAGGAGCAGTGTATGGGGAGGGTGAGGAGGGAGGGAGGGAGGAGCAGTGTATGGGGAGGGTGAGGAGGGAGGGAGGGAGGAGCAGTGTATGGGGAGGGTGAGGAGGGAGGGAGGGAGGAGCAGTGTATGGGGAGGGATGAGGTGGTGAGTGTTATTGAGGACCATCCCATGTTCACCTTAAACTCTTTCATATCTGAATCACTGGTTCCAGATTTTCCCTTCACACATTTCACTGCCTCTGTTATGTTGCAACCAGTCAGTTACAGTCACAACATATTAGTCAAGCATTCACAATTGTGGTAGCAACTAGTTAGGCATTTACGGTCAGTCATGCATTCACAGTCAATCAGGCTTTCACACTTGTAACCAGTCAGTTAGTAAAGAATTAGAATTTAATGTCAGGCGCTCAGAATCTGCATCCCGATCCGCCAGCTGGAAGCAAGGAAGCCCACCTTATTAATACCATCCATATGGCTGGGGGGAAGGGTTTCCGGTGTGGGGGATGAGGGGGTGGAGGTAGCGGGGAGGTTGCCGGATGGGGGGGAATCTTGTGGAGGGTGCGGGATGGGGGGAATCTTGTGGAGGGTGCGGGATGGCCGGTGACCAGCTTCTGTGTTAGTCCTAGTTGGAAGCTCGCCCACTCACGCCACCGCCTCTGCTACCCACCCACTCTGCCACCCGTCCTGCTACTCATCTGCTCACCCACTGTCTCCTGACTGCCCTGCTATCCACCTGCTCTGTGCCTGCCCTGCCACCTTCCATCTACTATTTGCCACCCACTCGTCGCTCGTTCTGTGTCCTGCACGCCCACTCACTATGCCCACTTTGCCAACCATCTCACTACTGCCCGCCTGCACACACAAACACCTGCTCGACCACTGCTACGTGCCCATCCACCCACTTTGCCGCCCGCCCTGCTACTCATCCATTCACTCACTCACCTGTCCACCCACTCACCCTCCATGTGTTCTTCCTTTACTTCCCTTCCCTTCCTGTCCCACTCACCTGCCATCCACCCAGTTCTCCTCCACCATCCAGTTCCCCTCCACCCCTCCATCATCCAGGCCCCCTCCACCATCCAGTCCCCCTCCACCATCCATCCATCCATGCTGTTGTCCTCCCAAATATAATATTCTAATGAGATGAATATTGAGATTGTCACTGCCCCCTGCCCAGCAGAACAGAACCACATGCTCGTCGACTCATACATGTATCAACAAACTCGAGCACCGAGGCAAACCTTGAGTACCGAGTCAAATTTTTTTTTAAGAAATTGAGCTTGAAGCAAAAAATTCGAAAATTGGCATTTGAAAACCGAGGTTCCACTGCATATTAATAATGAAAACTGTAATTTTAGATGAATTGAGATGCTATGAAGTATAAATATTTGAAATTTTAATTAATATAATACAATTATACTTTCAGAAACGAGACATCAGAACAGTAAAGAAAACCGATATTCAGCTGATTGATTTTGGCAGTGCAACATTTGATCACGAGCATCATAGCACCATAGTCTCAACGAGGCACTATAGAGCGCCGGAAGTTATTTTAGGTCAGTTACATTCTCTCATTTTTCATCTGTTTTCTGTTATACAATGGCTTCGAGAATGGACATAGGGAACAGTGAGTGATGATGTAGGAACTAAAGGAAGAAGGCACTCTGTCCTTTATGGTGAGGTAGGAGAGGAGAGACGACTTTGTCCATAATGTTGAGAGAAGAGATATATGCAGGGTGAGGCAGCATTAGGTATCTCACTAAGGATTCCAAACCTGACAACAAATGGTAGCAAACATATTTGTACATACTTTATAAATATTGACAGGAAAATAAGAAAGGAAAAGTTTAAAATTTTAGGAACCTATTTAAACCTGTTTGAGGAGTTTATATTTCTTTGTTAATCTCTTTAGTAGGAATGTGGGTATACTGAACTATTACAATACAATTCAATGCAAAATATTGTATAGAACTGATGACTTGCTGATAACATATTTATAATTCCAAATGAAATTGTCAAAGGAAAATGTCTCTATCTTGAGTATCAAGAGGTATTCCAACACTAGAGTTGCATATTCCAGGTTTCGTATGATTTAAGTGATATATAAGGTCATAAATGATTCCCTATTCAGATATTTAAAAGTAGTTTTTATCAATATCAATGACCAGGTCTTTCTCCCTATCCAATTCTTGAAATGTATCCTGCCTCCTGTTCCATAGGTCTGATTTCATGTTATTGAATGTTCATTTGAATTTAACACTGCCATTCTTTCAATTTGTCCAGGTCATCTTTTATTTTCTGACTAATTTCCTCCAATTTAATCATCCTCATAGTTTTTTGCATCAGCAAACATTGGGAGGAATATATCTGCTCCTCCTGAAAGATAGTTTACATATCAGAAATAGGAAAAGTGAGAGTTCTCATCCCTGAGATCTTGTCCCTGATCATGACTCATTACCATCTGTTGCTTAAATATTCCCTTATCCATTAGGGCACAATCCCTGTCACTCACTGATTGTTCAACTTGTGCAAAAGCCTCTTTATGGGGTGCTAGGCTTTCTTAACAATCTCAATATATGCAGTCAGTCCTTTCTGTCTTGTCTGATTTCTCTTCTTCATTCACGGAATTCTGATGTACCTGAGAGACAAAGATGCATATCACAATTTGGGAAAAAAGCCCAGTTGAAAAATAGGGTTGCAATAGTACACTAAGATGTATGGTATTTGACAAACTAGTATATTGCAGTGAAGTACTTTTTTTCATCATTTAACCATAACTGTGTATTGCAGTGATTGATTGAAACACCATCCTACTCCAATGAAATTATGATGCTAAAAATTTATAATTGTAAGTTACAGGTTGTGTGTAACTGTAGTTGTCACTTGCAGTATTTGTCCAAGGTAAAGAGCATCCTGATGGACTGATATTAAAATGAGAAGAAATAGTTTTTCCACTCTAGCTAATTATATCGCACTGCTTTACAGAGTTAGGATGGCAGCAGCCGTGTGATGTATGGTCCATTGGGTGTATAATGTTTGAGCTGTACCTGGGCATCACATTATTCCAGACACATGATAATCGGGAACATTTAGCTATGATGGAGCGAATCCTGGGACCCATTCCTTACAGGTACTGTAGTTCATTTATTACTGTTGACTGCATTGATAATTAACAGTATATTTCTAATTGATCTTTAGTTTGTAGTTAATTATAGAAATTTTCTTATTTTTAGAATTTAGTAATATTCTAAATTATTTTGCTTGACCTTTTTCCAGATGTTACAAACCAGTTCGTTTGATTACTCAAAAGTATTCTTGTTTACTTGCTTTGCATTGGTTCTTCGACCCACCTCCCATATCCTTGTCCCTTGTTCCCACCTCCCATGTCCTTGTCCCTTGTTCCCACCTCCCATGTCCTCGTCCCTCGACCCACCTCCCGTGTCCTCGTCCCTCGACCCACCTCCCGTGTCCTTGTCCCTCGACCCACCTCCCGTGTCCTCGTCCCTCGACCCACCTCCCATGTCCTCGTCCCTCGACCCACCTCCCATCTCCTCGTCCCTCGACCCACCTCCCATCTCCTCGTCCCTCGACCCACCTCTCATGGCCTCTCATCCCCCGACTCGCCCTTTCATGTCCTCTCATCCCCCGACTCGCCCTTTCATGTCCTCGTCTCTCGACTCTCCTCCCATGTACTTTGACCACCTTCCACATACTTATACCTTGACCTATTTCCCATGTCCTTGTAAAAATATGGCTTCAGTATTTACTGTAGGTGGGTGCCCCCCCCCCCCCCCTAGGTTCATTTCCGGGTGCCCTAGGGTTCCGCGGATTTGTCCTTTGGGAGGTTTTCTTTCTCTTTGCTTTTCCCTGTGAAGGTTCGGGAGGCCTGGTTTACACCTTTGTTGAATCTTGTTTTATTCGAGTTTGGTTCTCTTACATTGATAGGATGCATTTCGAGGTTCTAGTGTTTTCCTAGCTGCTAACCTGCCTCGACAACTGGTTGATGACTGGTCACATCAGGTAGCTCCCGGGTTCGAGCTTGCCAGGGCCTAGTGTGGAGTTCTCGGACTGCGTCCATTTCTCTCCCTCCTGTGACTTTGCTCCGGTTGTGGTCCTGCCTTTAGCTGTTTTTGAGGGAGGGGGACCTGGGTCTCTTGGCAGTTGCTCAAGCAGCTGTGCAGGAGCCGGAACTTTGCCCAGCTGGTGGTATCTGCTAGGCTGGGTTTGGCTTCAGAGCGGCCTCTTTTGCCGCTCTCACGATCGCTGGGTTTGTTTCCTAGTGTCCTTGCATCGGTTGCTGCGTCTCTGGCTTCCTCTTCAAGTTTTTGGGGTTCGGTGCCATGGAGCTTTCATCTCTCCCCACTGGCTCAATGTGTTAACGGACGTCTCATCTCATGGTTGGGGCTTTATGGGCTGGCCTCATTAGTCCGGCCAGGAGCGTTGAGCGCCGTTCATCCTTCAAGCTCACAGCGCAGTGTGGGAGTTTACAGCTGTGTAGCAGGCGCTGCGACGGATCAGGCTCCCTCGGGGCTCTGTGATCTGGCTCGATTTGCATTTGACTGGCCGTCGCTCTTTCACGGAAAAAATCAAGACTTGCTGACTGCCTTGGGGAAAAAAACAAAATGGCCGGTCAGTGAGTTATCTTATATTACTACTACTACTACGGTGTAAGAAAGTTTTCCTCTATTTCGGACCAGTTTTTGTCCTTTCTCTCTTGGGTTTTTCTGGATCTGCAGTAGTGTAAGATTACTCGCTGACCGACCATTTTGTGTTTTCCTAGCCGGTCAGCGAGTCGTGATTTTTTCTGTGAAACAGCAAAGGTCAGTCAGTGAGTCGGGATTTTTTTCCATGAAAGAGAAAAGCGAGTTGTGATTCTTTTCCGTGAAAGAGAAAAGCGAGTCGTGATTCTTTTCCGTGGAAGTCGAAGGCCAGCTCCCCTTGGTTCATTGTCTCAACCGGACGCGAATAGGGATGTCTCTTCGGTCCATAGCTATGGGGCCGGTCACTTCAGGTAGCTCTTTTGCCGAGTTCTCGGGGATTAGCTCTCCACGCCGTTAACGTTCCAGGTATGTTCAATGTCCTGGCAGACAGCCTGTCATGCTTTAATCCACTTTCCTCAGAGTGGACAGTCGGCTCCGCCTCTTTCCTTTGGCTTTGTCGGACGTCCAGCTCGTGGAGATGAACCTCTTTGTATTCACGTGGTCTCGGCACCACCCATTGTGCGTGGCGCCATTCCCCAACTAAAAGGCCCTACCTACCTTGAGGCTACTGGTTGATGGGGTTCTGGGAGTTGTTCTACTCCCCAAGCCCGGCCCGAGGCCAGGCATGACTTGTGAGAGTTTGTTCCACCAAGCTGTTGCTTGGAGCGGCCCGCAGGCCCACATACCCACCACAGCCCGGTTGGTCCGGAACGTCTTTTAGAAAACAGTGTAGTTTTCTCTTGAAGATGTCCACAGTTGTTCCGACACTATTTCTGATGCTCGCTGAGAGGACGTTGAACAGCCGCGGACTTCTGATGTTTATACAATGTTCTCTGATTGTGCCTATGGCACCCCTGCTCTTCACTGGTTCTATTCTGCATTTTCTATCATATCGTTCACTCCAGTACGTTGTTATTTTACTGTGCAGATTTGGGACCTGGCCTTCCAGTATTTTCCATGTGTATATTATTTGGTATCTCTCTCGTCTCCTTTCTAGTGAGTACATTTGGAGAGCTTTGAGACGATCCCAATAATTTAGGTGCTTTATCGCGTCCATGCGTGCCGTATATGTTCTCTGTATTCCCTCTATTTTAGCAATCTCTCCTGCTCTGAAGGGGGAAGTGAGTACTGAGCAGTACTGTGTGGTATGGGTTACAGCATGGTTGATCAGGTATCCTTTGGAGGTGTTTGTCAAGTTCTCTTGAACACTGTGAGGGATCAGCCAGTTATGCCCCTTATGTGTAGTGGCAGCGTGTTGAACAGTCTTGGGCCTCTGATGTTGATAGAATTCTCTGAGTACCTATTACACCTTGTGGTAGATGCTTTTCGGCTGGATTGGTAAAAGTGAGGGTTCCTGTCTCTCTCTCCTCTGGTTCAACTGTTGCTCCAGGCTCTGGCTCAGCTGGATTCATATTGGGGGTGAGCAGTTCTCCTGGCTCCATGGTGGGCAGCCCAGCTTTGGTTTCAGGTGCCGCTTGCTTCTTGTCTGAACCTGGGCGGTTTTTCTGTGGCTCGGCCTCTTTCAGCAGGTCGAGCCAGTGAGGTACCATGCTGGTTCGCCTTCCTGCTCTGCACGACGTGTCCGGTCTTTCTAACAAGTGTGTATCACCATTTATATGGTGATCAGGTGACTTCTTTCATGGTGTCCCACCTACAGTCTTCTTCCCAGTGACAGTATGACATTTCTTGGCAATCTTTGTCACTTTCTTTCTCTTCGAAGGTTTTCTTCTGCTTTGGACTAGGTTGTTCTGTCCTTTCTCTCTCTCGGCTTTTTCTGGATTGGCATCTCATGCCTAATACTGTCGCTTCTTATCGCGCGGCGTTGGCGAAGCCGCTGCAGCTTGTGTTCGGAGTGGATGTTCATTCTGTTTGTTCCGCAAGCTTTCACGTGCATTTATCACCTTCGACCGGCTCATGCGCCACTCGAGTCATCTTGGTCTTTAGACCGTGTTCTTTTCTTTCTTCTCCTTGCTTTGTTGTGGCCCCTTCGGTTAGGAATTGCTTCTGGAAGGCCTAGTTTTGTTGGCCTCTGGGGGTCGGGTTGGGGAGTTCATTTATAACTATAAACAAGTCCTTGTACTTTAAAATGGGTAGGCTGAGTGATGGGCCAAGCAACTGGACTTATCCATACTACTTTCCACACTACCTGCATAAAGCTTATTCCAATTTCACAGGATGGGCAGGAAGACTCGGACCAAATATTTTTATCATGGCAAGCTGGACTGGGACGAGAAGAGCTCGGCTGGCAGATATGTCCGGGAAAATTGTAAACCATTAAGGGTGAGTTAATGAGATAACAAGATTTAATATACTTCTAATTTAGACTTTTTTCAATCATTGTTATTAGGTACTTTTTAGATAAAATTAAAAACAAGTGTTTTCTTCATGTGGTGGCACGTACCAGGTAGAGGCATGTATATTTGTGATATTCTTATGATATTAAGAGAATTTTAAAATGTGTTGAAAATTTCAAACTTTGGTATGATGATGCAAGGATCAGTGTCCCCATGGCCCAGTTTCTTACAAGGCCTCCTGGTCGGTGGTCTGGTCAACCAGGCTATTCAATGTTGCTGCTTGCAGTCTGATTTATGAATTATAGCCTTTTTGGTTAGGTATCCTCTAGAGGTGTTTTTCAAGTTCTCTTTTTGAACACCTTCACCAAAATAGCGTCTCCCAACATACTCCATTTGCTGTTATTACACTATATATATATACACATTATATATATATCTACATTTGTATTCACCATAGCAAACCAATAAGCTTGCATGGTGAGTGCAAACAGAGTAGAACATCAAAGAACACTGTATAAACATCAGAGGTCCACGGTTGTTCAGCATCCTCCCAGTGAGTATAAGAAATATTGCTGGAACAAAAAGAAAAACCCAAAATATTTCTAAACATATGCAAAATCAAAAATAGAAACCACTGCCAATATTGGACCAATTTGTACGAGTGAAGGTTCATACACAGAGAATGAAAAAGAAATTAGTGAAATCCTAAAAAAAAAACAGTACGAGGACATGTTTAGCACTCCGATACACAGCACGAAAGTGGAAGATCTGGACAATCTTTATGCGTGATATCCAAATATATTTTCACCCAGCCCCAGCTTATACCCCAATTTACAGCCCAGGCTGTAGCAGTGTAAGGGTTAAAAAAGATGCCAGAATGTGTGCTATAGAAAAATTTAATATATTAAAACTGAAACCACATAAAATGCAATCAAACCACACTATTGAAAGAAAAAGTAATGTATGAGACTTCAACAGAGTAATCATGTTGGAAGACCCTTTAACCTCTGGACTGCACTGACCAAGGAAACTCGTTCGTCAGAAACTGCGCCAGCCGACATACGATTGTTAGTACTGTATATCATAAGATTCAAAACTCCCATGCATTTCCTTCCTTAGGCCTCCTGTAACCATCCCCCATCTTGAAAAAACATCCCAAGTCCCTCCCTGAGTCCCTTCTTTTTCTAATATACGTAAACGATCTTCCAGAGGGTATAGACTCCCTCTCAATGTTTGTTGATGATTCTTCTCAATTTTTGCATCAAGACAGATGAAGATACAAACTACAGGATGACCTGGACAAACTGGAGGAATGGGGTCTAGAAAATGGCTACTAAAGTTCAACTCAGGAAAGTGTAAAGTAGTAATGAAAATAGGCAAAGGGAACATAATACTGAACACAATGTACCATCTGAGAGGTGAAATCCTGCAAGAGTCAAATAGTGAAAGATCTGGGGGTTGATATCACACTGAATCTGTCCCCAGATGCCTACATCAAAAGGATATCAGCAGCATATGCTAGATTGGCCAACATAAGAACTGCCTTTAGAAACTTGTGTAAGGGATTGTTCAGGACCTTGTATACCACTTATGTTAGACCAATCCTGGAATATGCAGCTCCAGCCTGGAGTCCATACCTAGTTAAACACAAGACAAAGTTAGAGAAGATTCAGAGGTATGCCACCTGACTTGTCTCAGAACTGATAGGTATAAGCTACGAGGAAAGGCTAAGGGAGCTGAACCTCACATCCCTGGAAAACAAAATAGTAAGGGGAGACATGATAACCACCTACAAAATTCTCAGGGGAATTGACAGGGTGGACAAAGACAAACTCTTTAGCATGGGTGGAACACGAACAAGTGACACTTGTTCAAAAGAGAAAAATTGAAAATAAATCACACAGTTATTCCCATGCAGCAACTCCTAATTTTTACAAGAAAAAATGCAACTTCTCCAGGGAACTACAGCTAAACTACTAGGGATAGAGACTTTGTACTTGGATTTTTGTGCTTCCTGGGTGCTCATTAACAATACAAAAAGAAATACTGTTTTTGGAACAATTTGTTTTCTGCGCACCAATGGGAATGTCATTATGAAAGGTGTGCAGTGCAGGGGTTAAAGAACACAACAAATTAGCTGTCACAACTGCAAGAAAAACGACTGGTTGGATAACAAGAACCTTTCTAACAAGAGAAGAAGACATCATTGATAATACTACTTAAGACATTAGTGCTCTCCTAGAGTGGAATATTGCTGAACACTAACCACCCCACTGAAAGCTGGATAAATTGCTGATCTGGAGTGCATGCAATTATCTTTTATTGCAAGAATCCACTCAATAAAACATGCTACATTATTGGGACAGCTTAAAAATTATAAATCTGTATTCCCTAGTGTAAATGGGGGAAGAATCATAATAATGTGCTCTTGTAAAATATTATAAGGACTGGTTCCAAACCTGGACACAGAAATAACACCATATGAGACCAGTAGACAGCAGATTGTGTGTGAAATAGCTCTATTGAAATGTAGAGGTACAATAGGTGTGCTGAGAGAGAACTCAATCAGCATCAAAGGCTCAAGACTTTTCAACACACTCCCTCTACACATATTAGACATAACTGGCTGACTTCTCACAGTATTCAAAAGAGAACTTTATAAACACGTATATGCTTTCCCCCCAGTGCCTCGCTAGTGCTTTCCCTCTTCGTTCCTCCTCCTCTGGTATCTCCCCCTTAGTGTCTCCTCCCTATTGCCTCCCTCTAGTGCCGCCTCTTTGTTTACCCTCTTGTACCTCCGTGAGAGCCTTTAATGTTTTTGCAACTATAATGTGCACAAATGAAGTTGTAGGAATCATTACTTGCATTGTCTGCTGCCTCCTGGCTGTCACCATTATATGCATGAGTAATGCATGCATCGTTATTTTTGCTCTATATATTTTGTTACCATTGTATTATTCCAGCTAAATGCAGGTGAAAGTAGTATATATGTTAATACAGTATTTTAATTCATTGTTCAGGGGCATTTAAATTAATTCCCATTTTTTTTTTCTCCTAAAGAGCTACCAAACCAATTCTGACGAGGACCACCGGCTGCTGTTTGACCTTATTTCCAAAATGTTGGAGTATGAGCCAGCACAGCGGATATCACTAACAGAGTCACTAAGGTAAGACTGTGTGAACTCGAGTTCTCGAACTCAAGAACATTGCTACCACTCTTACTGGTAAATATGGATTTTTTTTTTCAGCTCAATGTTTTTATAATAATAAATATTCAATTACTTCTTCTTAAACATTGCTATCGAGAAAAGTATATTAGTTACATGGGTGTGTGCTTGTCCCATATTTTCATTCTTTGTATCAGCATTTGTTTATGTGCAGGTGGCTTAATTGGGCATTTAGTTTCCACCTGTGGTCTCTTGGTAAATAGCCTGTCTGTTTCTACCCTTTCAGTTTCTCTGAGAATTTGTCTAGTTGTCATGTCTGTTTCTGTTTCTTCTCTTCTATTGATATGAGATTTAATTCCTTTAGTCTTTCCTCATAACTTGTCCTCTTTATTCTGGAACTAGTCTGGTGGTGTACTTCTGAACATTCTCTAACTTCATTTTGTGTTTAACTTGATAAGGACTTTATGTAGGTGTTGAGTATTCTAGAATTGGTCTGACATAAATGGTATGCAAGACTTCAGCTTATTTCTAGTGCTACTGAGCTTGTTTTCTCAAGGCATTGGTTTAGGTTTCCATTTTCTAGCTGTTCTTCCCATATCTGTGAGGGCTTGGTTTATTTGTTCCCAGTTAATCTGTTTATTATTAAAACTAAATTTGCTGAATTTTCTTCCTCTAGAATTTGGGACTGGCTGCACAGGTCTATTGCCCATGCTTGTCTGAATTTTAATTAAATTGTGATCTGAGTAAAAGGTATTTGTTATCAATGTGTTCTTGATCAATTCATTGTTATTGGTTAAAGTAAGTGTCATCTTTTATGATTGGGTCTACTATTTGCTGGTTTAGTGCAAATGTGTCAAATCTATAATAGGTCATTTGTGTGTGACTGTTCATTTAGGCTATTTCCCAGTATTCTGATATAACTATTTGCTGCATTCTTCCATATTTTAGATGCTGTAGGTTTAAGTCACCAGGCAGGATGATGATAGGGGCTGGATTTGTGAGGTTTTCTTAATGGTAATCCATCTCTTTAGTTGGTCTTTAAACTGCTGAGAATTTGCCTCTGATGACTTATAAACAAGGATAATGACCATATTTAGAATCTTATTTTGATTATCAGCACTTCCACCATATTGTTTGTGGTGTTCAACAGCTCAGTGCAGATGTGTCTCTTTGATGTACAGGCTGACCCCACCTTGTAGCCTGTGTTTCCTGTCACATTTGAAAAGATTGTACTCTTTTTTTCTATTCTTTGTATCCCTGTATCCTTTTTGTATGTACTCAATCTTTTGTGTATTAATACAAAAGATTGTATCCATATTTCAATATCATAGTAATTGTTTGTAAGAGTTTCATTTAGGTACACTTAGACAAGTAATTGCAAGAAGTGCCAAACCAACTAGGCTGTAGTGGATGTGGGCCTGCAGGCCACTCTAAGACACAGCCTGTTGGACCACAAAGTTATCACAGGTCGAGCCTGGCCTCAGGCTGGACTCTGGGAGTAAAACAACTCCTCAAAGCATACCTGAAAGCAAGAACTGCTGGAGTTCTCCTCTAGGTATGGAACTTCTGGAAAAGAAAGAACTCCAGAGAGTAAAAACTCTTGGAGCATACCACCCCAGGTATGCTCCAGGCTGTAAATATTGCATTGGCCTCATTTAGAAGGCCAGCTATAAAGTGGACTTTGTTTGAGTTGCACGTTTTTATACCCTGGATGTTGGCAAATACAAATCGTATTTGTGGAAGCACCTGGATGTTGGCAAATACAAATCGTATTTGTGGAAGCACTGGATGCTTTACTTGGTGTTAATATCTCGAGTTCTGGTAAGGAGGCTACTGTGCTTGTCCTCTCCAGCCTTTGACTGGACTGAGACTGAGACTTTGACTTTGACTGAGTTGGTGGTAGAATCGAAACATATTTAGTAATTTTCTCTTGCTTAAAAAAATCTTCCCTTATATAGAGTCGTGGCTGTTTTTATAGTGGCGTTTTATTCGCCTGGTTTCTCTTATGTGAAAAGCTGGACAGACTGTTTCAACATTCTGTCCTACTTAGAGCTCTTACAAAGTTCTGGGTGAAAAAACTTGCAGCTTTTGGAATATTTTCCTGTACTAAAAATATTCTTATGCTTTCTAGGGTGAAAGTATTTGCATGTTCCATTTGTTCTTCCTGACATCCCATATTTACTTACCCCATTTATAATATTGGCAGGTTTTGGGCTCTCGCTCTCTCTGTCTCCGATTGGCATTGAACCCGATGATTAGTGGGTTCAAGATAGTTTTGAATGTTTAATTTGTTTTGAATTGTTTGGAGAGTTATGTGGCAGTTTCGAGACTTCGTTTGCAGTTGTCTGTAATGCTTTGCTGACTTTCTGGATGGTTTCCCAGTGGAGTGGCAGAAGATCACTCACTTTTGGCACCAATCAAGAGAAAACTAGATTGTTTTCTTAAAAAAAAAAAAAAAAAGTGCCGGACCAACTGGGCTGTGGTGGGTACGTGGGCCTGCGGACCGCTCCAAGCAACAGCCTGGTGGACCAAGCTCTCACAAGTCAAATCTGGCCTTGGGCCGGGCTTGGGGAGTCGAAGAAGAACTCCAAGAACCCCATCAAGCAGGTATCTGTAAGGAGCTAGGTGATCTGGAGCTCTGGTCCCTGATAGGCCGAACAAAACTTGCGACCGAGTAGCTAGTATCAGTCTCGGAGAGAGAGCTTCAGGAAGTCACCTGGGTTCAACTAGAAAGACATTTCATTACATTCAATGCCGAGTGTTTGTTACCTGATCTGTTGGTGTACTTGACTTTGAAGTTATTTCTTTGATGTTTGATTTCTTGCTGGAAATACAGTAGTCACAATAATGTGGCTGAAAATAATAACTCGACTCGCACATTAAACTAAATAAAAGTGGAAACATTTTGGTCCATCCTGGGCCCTTACCAAGACTTGATAATCCAGGCTGGACTGAAGAAAATAGTCTCAGTTGTATTATTTGTTTGATTTCTCTGTCGAATTAGGTCTCCAATTTGTTGTTGAATGGTTGCTCTCAAGTATGTGAGAAAGAGATGAGTAAAAGTGTTCTGAAGTATGTTGTGTAGGGAAGGGAGATACTGAAGGTAGACAGAGGTAGATGAGGTGGTGTTGTATATAATGACTCTTGATTTTCCAAAGATATATTATTTACAATCTACCTCTACTCCTGGAGTTCTGAAAATTTCATATGGAATGTTGATATTTAATATGCATTTTGACTTCAATGAGAAATAAGATGATTGATGAATACATTGAGGCTTCCTCCAGTACACACACGTTTTAGTGGAGTGAAAAAAGATAAGAATGTAGAATTTTGTATGTTGGTTGATGGAAATAAGAATGTTTGCTCGGTCAAGAGGTTTACTGAACTGCACAAAAATGTTAATAGGCCACAAATTTGATAACTATTTTGAAACATTTCTCCCATGGGTGTACTTCCTGAGGTGAAACAAATATTGGTAATTTTATTACAGAAAAAATTATTAACACATTTTAATAACGGTGTCCCTTTTCTCTATTTACATTTCTTTATTTTCAGGCATCCATTCTTCGACAAAATTCCAGCTCTCCAGCGGTTAGGTGATTGTGCTGTTGGTGACCTCCGAGAACGTTCACACTCTCTCTCACGGTGATGCCAGATATTCCAAGGGTCATACAGTACTGCTGCCTAACTCTTATACCTTCCCTTGTGCCCTCCCTGCCTCTCATGGCTCATGTGCAGCCTTACACCAGAAAATATGTATTGTAGATAGTTCAAATAGAGTTCAGTATAAATCAGTCCAGTGATACAATATCTCTCTTCTGCAAACTCTCTACTCTGTACACACTCTATTCTAAAATTAGCCTTATTGAATATAAGTCCTCATGATGAATCTTTTATTATGGGACTACCTGTGTAAATAATTAATGCGTCGGTATAAATAATGGTCGATTCCGTGAATAATAGTGGGCAGCAATTTTTTTTTTTTTTCTTTTACTCGAGGTTTAGAGGTTGTGTTCACGATTATTTTTTGTGGAACAAAAGTTAGTTTTGTTAGTCCTGTCAATCCTTATTAATAAATGAGAACAGTATTAAAATTTTTAATTATCATAAGCACATTATTAGTGTGCTGCATTGGGAGGGAAACAAGATCCTTAAATATAAGTACATTTTGTATGCTATATTGTCTATATTCATGAAGTTGTAATTATTTCTGAACTATCAGTTGGTATGTTTTAAACATTTGTTTTTAAATGAGGCTACTACTTGACTTAATGAGGCATTTTTCATTATCTTTCTCAATTCTGTCTCTTCCTGTCTCTGCTCCTCATTGGAAGTAATGAGTAAATGGTTTTGCATTTTAAAATGTGAAAAGGAACACATGAGAACCATGAAAAATTTGCTGAGGATTATCTAACCAGTATATTGTTAATAGAAAATGCCTGAAGGAAATGTGACAAAGGTCCTCATTTGCTTTTTTGTTTTAAGTCCCATAGTGATGTAATATACAGCTGATAAATGTGACCTGGTATTTTGTAAGTTGTGTAAAGTATTTTAGATTGTACATTTCAAGTTGCACAAAGGAATAATTGTTATATATTGAATGATATGAAGAGTGAGTTGAGACTACTTAACAAGAAGGTAATGAGTGACACTGCAGGAATAATGGACATCCTGTGTGAGACAGCAGCTCAGGGCACCGAGTGTCGGCTTCTCACATGCATCTAATGCTTTGGCCTTTGCTGGAATTAATCTTACCAGTCAAATCTTCTGTAGTCATTGTAAAGCATGATAGTACAATTTTTTTTCTTTTTTTTCTTTTTATGTAATTTGGTTGAAGCTAAATCTAAAATGTTAATTGACATTTTGTTGACATTAGTGAAATTATTGTGCATACAATGCGAACAAATCTGGAGCATCCTCAGTACTGTTGTGTTACAGTGTGTGGAGGAAACTGAACATTGACAGTAGGCAAGAGAGAGAGAGATGTATGCTGTGTCTAAATACTGTATTTACATTGTATATATTATTTGTGAAAATGTCCAAACCCCTCCAATATTTTCTTTTTGTATGTGTGTATTTAAGGGTGATTTTTTCACAGTACCCAAATTTTTAAATAACATAAAAAGATATAACAGGATGAAACATCTACCTTACAGTCCTTGTGAATATAACAGACAGCTTCAGCTACAAAGTAGATTGAGGGCATTTTTTCCATTCTTAATACCTTACAAATCCATCGGTGATGTGTATATTTAATAGACTGGTGATGTAATGTGTGTGAGAAAGAAGTTTGTTGTTAATCATGCAGTGGTATGACTAGTTTCATCAATGCCAAGGCTATAAATTTGTTGCTCTCAATAAATATTTTCATTTAACTCATTATTTTCATATCCCACACAGTATTTAATAATAGTGTTCAGACTAAAATATATCAAACATTTGCATTTAATCTTATAATCCAGCGAGTTTAAAATCTCTTTAAAGTACTTATCATCAGTATGCGTTACTACTACTACAGAAATCACTATCAAACCTGGGAAACCTATCACCATTATCTCTAACGATAAATTTAAAAAAAATTAACTTTTGCAAGTTACTCTGCTTTTTATGCCAAACTGAAAACTTTAAACAATTTCAATTATTTTTTTCTGAACTATTAAATTCAATGAACTTGATTAAAGTGACTAGTAGATTAAGTATTTGTTTTATGTGCTTTAAATCCATCTGATTTAGTGCTTTTACTGCTGAGAATACTATAAAAAACTTGTTTCTTGGAAATAGAAATTGCACGTATTTCTCCTAATAAAAGGTATATTCATGCTATAGAGGTAAACCAGTACTGTGATGTATAATCCTTCAGGAACTGCCCTCCTGGAGGCCTCTCACTCTCAAATGTTTCTGGCTTACCTTTTTTTGTCATTTTGACCAAAATTTGTTTCAATATAAATTTTTATTCAATGTCTTTGCTCTTGTTACTGCCGCCTCAAGTTTTTTGTTTTGTTTTAAATGCATATTGATGGAAAGTGTTTGAAGAAGATGCTTGGTACTCCTCTGTATTTTAACAGTACAGTATAGTAAGTGTGCTTGGCTATAATTATTCAGCTTTTGTAAGAAATGGATTTTGTCATACATAATTATATCATACTAAAAGCAAATTTATTATCTGCTTGCAATCTTAGCACTTTCATTATTTTATTATCATTTTCTTGTTAATTTTTAACCAATCTATCACCTTTCTTAACTATTCACCTCATTATTATTATTGTGGTTTATAACACTTGCATTCAATACTTCTATTTTTGTTATAGTTATTTAACTTCTCACACATTCATATTTCATTCACTTTCATTAGCCAATGAAGAGTACTATTATCTGTTGGTATTTGCTTTTACTCCTTTACTCACTACCCACAGATGTAGGCGTAGGATTCGTGATAATTCAACAGGATTAGCCACAATTCTTGAAGTCTAACACTCCATGTTGATTCGTGATCCAATTTACAGGTGAGGTTGTCAGACTTTCAAAAACTTTGTGTCTGCCTCCCTCTAAAAGTTGATATAATGCCATTAAAGTATGCCTTAGGACAGCAGCCCATTCTAGCAACAGTTAAAATTGACTTATTTACTAAACAGCTGGGTTGTTAATACAAAATTCCCTTCTAACACTTTATCACTGTGCATCTTGTAATGCATTAAGTTGTAACACTGCTGCTGAATTTTTTCTACTTCATACGTTGGTATTCCAAATCCAATTTACCATACCCAGATATTTGTCATATTTTTTTGTATACAATCGTTCTGCATGCCTTGCCTTAGTAATACAGTACTGCTGTTATACTTTATTCCATGAAAAATATGTTGGAAATCAGTTTTACATTTTGAAACGTGCATGTTATTTAGAAAAAATATGGCAAAGTTTTTCTGATAAGCTTTCAGACAAACATTTGGTTACTCACTAAAGTAAGATCCGTAATGGCCTTTGGTTAGGATTTGGCAACATTTTGCATAGTACTGTACTAGGGAACTTTTAAAATGGTCCTTCCAAGGTAATACTGGTGTTAAGCACTGAAAAATACTCATTCCAGCTAATAATGGCCTCCAGAAAAGTTACACAAGTGATGAGTGGAGTGTTGGTGATGTACAAAATGCCAATTGGGCCACTGGCTGCCTTCCCCAGCTATCACTAGGTGGCAGCACCTCACCCACAATAGGGTTTCTGACACGAGCCACCCTATATACAGGACTTCCTCATGTCCCAAACAAAGCTTGTCAATTGCTCACTCATTGTTGCCATGGTGCAAAGAATGCACCAGGGCAACAAGAAGAGGAATACAAGCAACCATGTGCACTGCTCTGTATGGAGATCTCTTGTAATCCCATTGCCTTGTTTCTGTATTTTTCCCACTTAATTGCTTTCAGGAGGAGATTGAAAGAGAACATCCTTAAAAGCCTGAGACACTAACCCGTAGTCTTTCAAGCTGTTACTTCAAGAAGCCCAAGTTTCAGAAAGGTCCACCAATAACTAGCCATCACAGGAGTCCATGGTAAAATCTGGAAGGGGAAAAGTAAAAAGCAGAGGTCAGAAACCCTTAATTGGCTCGTTGAAGCTCCATTGCAGATAGGAACTGAACCCTAAGCATAAAAGGGAAGCACAAAGGCAGTGAAAATGAAGCAAGTTTCCCAAACACATGTAAAGATTCACCAAACTGATCCTCCACCTTCAACAAAAATGAGAACCCAAACCTGGTATGGACCAGATTCCACGCCATGCTTTGACACATGTGAGCCTGCCTCTAACCCAAAAAAGAGCGAGGAGGACCCAGTACATTAAAAAAGAACGAGAACACACCCATACTTCAAAAGACACGGGTCCAGATTAGACACAGCCTCTTAGTGATGAGTAGAAAAATTTTAGGGCACACATACCTCAGCAGAGCAACTGAAAGGAAGATCAGTTCATCCTCTGCAAGAGGAATTGATAAATCAAGTCAAATATGTGATGTCATATCAAACATACTATAATTGATCAGTTACACTAATGTAGTCTTGGAAAACAAACATACATTACCTACCGTATATACAATGAAATCCCCAATAGCATGATACATCCATGAGAAAATCCTTCGTGCAGGGTGGTGGAATCAAATCCAAGATCTAAGTCAACTTGGACACACACACTATCTACTGGACCACAATATGCTTAAAAGTAACAACCTGAAGTTCTCCCAAACTTGAAAGGAGCATGGGGGTATTGAGCTGATGCCCGATCCAATTTTGACATGGTTCCCACGCACTGGTATAGGCTAAGAAAATTGTATTGGCTAGCAATTAAATTTCTCCAAGTTGCCTGTAGGTTTGGGTGGACTTCAGGTTGTTACTTTTAAGTACATCTTGGTTCAGTGAGTAATCCGTATGTCTGGGATAATTTAGGACACTGGTTCGATTCTACTACCCTGCTCCAAGGATTTTCTCATAGAATAGACCCTAGACCTACAGCATGAGGCAAAAGCTTGTTTGTTAAAATTAAGGCTTTGGAGGACCTTCTACCAAACACTATAACTAGACAATGAGAGGCAACAGATGTCTGCAACAAAAAATAATACCCATTTTCCTAAAATAAAGCTAGTTACAATAACCGCCAAGGCATAACATTGTGGGTAATAGCAGTGGCAATAACAGTAGTAATAACTGTGGCCACATAAAGTAAAGAAGTCCAAATCAAGTATGAGAGAATTGTACAGGCAGGTTGTGATTTGTTTAGGGGTAATGTTCATGTAAACTCTATGTAAAGCAAAAACTGCAAATATGTGAAAATAGGTTTAGGTTCCAAAGGCTACAAAACAAAACAAAAGTCTACAGAGGGGGTCAAATAGCGGCTTCCTTTTGCAACTTGTCCTCGGACCAAGTCCATTCTATCCAGTGGTTGACCCCAAAGATGCATGCATAAATTTTTACATTGTTTATTCAAAACAGAACTTTTCTCAAATATAAATTATTATTATTATTATATATTAGCATATTGTGCATATTTAAGCACTGGTTAGGTTAGGTTAGGTGTTTAGGTTCTGTTGGCGATTATTTGTATTTGTAGTACGTGGGTGAAGCATTTATAGTGTTGTGGTTCGAACAAAAGTCGTCAGCAAAGCACTTGTTCCAGAAGTGTTCGAACGCAGCCCGTTCTCCAAACAAAGACCCAAAAGTGATTGCATGCATCCGCCAAACCCCCCTTATTATGAATGAAAAACGGTTTACACACGACTCGCAACTGATTTTGTTCGAACACTTCCAGAACAAGTGCTTCACTGATGAATATTGTGCAAACCACAATGCTGTAAATGCTTCACCCATGTACTACAAATAATCACCAACAGAACTTAAACTCCTAACCTATGCCTATATATGCACAATATGCTATTATAATATTAATTTACATTTGAAAAAATTCTGTTTTGAACGAAGAGGATGTTAAAATTTATGAATACATCTGTGGGGTCGACCGCTGGATGTAATGGACTTCAGTCGAGGACAGGTTGTTGGACGTCATCAGTTGCGAGTTGTGTGTGAACCATTTTTCATTCATAAACGGGGTTTGGCGGTTGCATAGAATGGACTTTGAGTCTTTGTTTAGAGGAGGGGCGGCCACACTGAAATAGCTTCACACAAATGAGTCGCAGAAACCTTAGGGGCCTTTAATTGCTTATCTGAGGCCAGAACCAGACTCCCCCCCCCCACCCCCCACTTCACAGAAGCACAGAGAATGGGATTCTTACAGTTGCTCCCACTGAAGAAACACACAAAGGAAGCACTGTAAAAGGCAACTACAACCTTAACAGATAAGAAAAGAAAGGGTGGCAAAACTTGTCCCCAGTTACAGCTGGTCACTGTCAAGTGGCAGCACCATCAGAATCTGCCAGCTTTCCCTGTCACAATCTTCGGACCTTCACCTGCTATCCAACAGCTTAGCCCATCCTGGAATTGCCAGTTCTTTGGGTCCCAACTATTTTGTAGATAAGTGTTTGCCATCCTTTGGACTCTGTCCTGTCAGGGCCCCATTTGCTTGCACTGTATATTATTTCAGTCAACCCGTCCTCAGACCAAGTCCAGTCCATCCAGCAGTTGACTCCAAAAACACATTCATAAATTTTAACATGCTGTTCATTCAAAATAGGAATTTCCTCAAATATAAATTCATATTATATATTAGCACATTGTGCATATTTAGGCATTGGTTAGGTAAGATTAGGTGTTTAGGTTCTGTTGACGATTATATGTATTTTTAGTATGTAGGTGATGCATTTACAGCATTGTGGTTGAAACAAAAGTCGTCAGCGAAGCACTTGTTCTAGAAGTGTTCGGATGTCATCAGTTGCGAGTCGTGTGTAAACGGCTTTTCATTAATAAACAGTTGGTTTGGCGGGAGCATGGAATGGACTTCGGCCTTTGTCTATGAGGACAGGCTGGTTTCAGTAGTAGTAGTAGTGTAACGTGCATGTGTTTACAAGTTTTACTTGTGTGGACTTTGGTCATTCTGAGCTGCATGTGTTTAGGGCAGCCCTTTCCTAGGCACTCATCTGGCAGTGCCCCTGACAGGGTAACTTCTCTGGTGAGTTCTGGAGTTAGTCCCCATAGAGACCATCCTATTTTGCAGGGTGGTTACGCCCCGCAGTTCTCAAGGGTCTTTCACTCCTGAACAAAGCTTTGAGATTGGGGGTGTTCTAGGCTTTATTAAGGGTGCATCATGGTTTGTGTCCTTGTATATACAGTACACTGATGCCTTTCGTAGCCACATTTATCAAAAAGGCTGCATATGGCGGTCCATCTAATTACCCAAATCTACTCAAAGCTACCCAATGTTTCCTTAGTATTACGTAAGTAATGAAGAAATATGATATATTTACTCACTATAATGTTGGTGCTGAAGGTAAAACATGAAAAAAAAAAATTTTTACTCTGAAATAATATAAGTATATAATTAAATTAGACGAAACTAAGTGGCACAAGAGGTCATAGGAAGTTGACGATCCAAGCGACAATGTTGTGGAGCGAATTATTCAAGATATATTGTTGCCTACAGGTTATATCAAGTTAGGTTTGGATAGGTTAGGTTTTGTTTTGTTCGGATAGGTTGGTTAGGTTAGGTTTAGTTAGGTTAGGTTAGGCTTTGTTTGGGTAGGTTGGTTTGGTTAGGTTGATACAGAAGGCTGATATGCCAGCAAACACACTCCATGCAACAATGTGTCTTGGATAAGTAGCTCCAGAACATTGTCGCTTAGATCGTCGACTTGCTTTGGCGTCCCCTGCAGCTTATTTTTGTCTAATTTCATTATGATAAGATACTTTTCAGAGCAAAAATATATTTTTCCATATTCTACATTCAGCACCAACATTATAATGAATATACAGTATCATATTTATTCATTACTAACGTAATGTTAGGAAGCTTTGGGTAACTTTGAGTAGCTTTAGTTAATTAGATGGACACATATATGGTGTCGGTTGTTCCAGCAAGCATCCCTAGTGCCTGGATGTCCTACTTAATCTTTACCTTCTTTGGTGTTTCTCATTATGGATCAACCCGTGGAATCTGCACTCACTAGTTTGAGGGATGCCTGTCAGTTTTGTTACAAACTGATTACTATTAATCCAGCAGATCTGCTACACCATTAATCCTGATGACCTGCTAAACTATTAATCCTGTAGACTTCTGCAATATTAATCTTGTATGTCTGCTACACCATTAATCATATAGACCTGCTACACCATTGAACACACCTCTCCCTTCTTAAGGTACAGTATGTTTTAATACAATCAAATTATTATTTCTGTCAAAATTTGGATAAGATGATGCCTAAAAAAAAGAAAAAAGCTAATGCTATTATTTGCTAGATGCAAGATTCCCTTCAAAAAAATTATATACTGTAATTCATTTTGAATAATATCATGTGTAGATTTAGACATTAAACTGCTCAAGAGAATGCACCCTGTCTAATATTGATAGTATTTATTACAACTATTTAGTCATGTACAAAAATGTAATTTTGTATTACTGAATTAGCTCAAATGGCATTCTTAAAGGGAAAAGTAACTGAAAAACCTATCCTAACCTGTAAGCAGTCTTAGGCTTAATGTATGCTATTTTAGGCCTAATATAGGACATTTGTGTACTATACTACTGTATTCCTAGCATTATTTTTTTTTTAATCTTCAAAATGAATAATACAAAACAAACAGTTGACTGCAACAGTTAATGTTTGTACATTTGACCGTGCAGTTGTTGTAAGTACAGTACAGAATTTTGGTACAATTGGTTTGGAGAATGCAGCGAATGTGAGGATGGGCTCCTAAGATACACCTTGAACATTTCCCCTCTTTTGTGTCTTCTTTTTGCTGCTTCTATTTAAAACATAGAAGAAGCAGTAAAGGAAGCCAAACACTGCAGCAACCAGGACATAATAAACATTAGGCTGGAAGTCGAACAGGAGTTGGCATCAAACCCGAAATTGGTGCAAAACACAGTCGATCAAAGTAAGTCCCTATTAATTAGTAGTTGCAAAGAAAAGGATAAACATCTAGGTCAGAAAAAGCCATAGAAGAAGAGACGGTAGAAGATAAAATTGTTGGGCTAGTGGAAGGTCTTACAACTAGAGAGAATGTCTGTGACTACAGCAGAATTGGCAGGTACATAAAAGGGAAAGATCGACCCCTTGAGGATTACCCTAAACAGTGCTAAACAGATGGAAGTAATACTAAGGAATGTCAGGAAATTACAAAATGATGAGGAGGGGGAAATTCTGGTCACTAAGACGAGATCTTTCAAAAGAAGACAGAGAGAAGCTGAAACTGAACCTCGTCGAGGCAAAACGTCTAAATGAGAGGAGGAACAAATAAGAAATCAGTTCTTTTTTCTGCAAGGTGATAGGGGTAGGCAAGCCAGTAAAATGGTACAAAAAGCCAAACCAATAAAATCACTATGGAAAGAGGGAGTGGAAAAATAAGGAGAGAGGGAACATGTTCATGAAAACTGTATACACCAACATAGAGGAGTGAGATCAAAGATACTAGAGTTAAGTGATGTAATACAGCTGCAGATGCCAGACATTGTTGCACCATTGGAGATGAAACTTGAAGATGATATTTTAAATGAGGTCATATTCCCAAGGGGCTACTTAGTCTGGAGAAGGCACATAAAAATTAGGAAAGGCAGTGGCATTGCTGTGCTGGTAAAGAACACCTAAATGTAAACAAAATAATGATTGCCAATACACAAGAAATTGACAGAATAATAGCACCGGATATCTGCAGTCGGGATGACAAACTAATAATCATAAATGAGATGAATGTCAAGTTTTGTGAAATATATGATACAAGCACAAAAATCTTTTTACCAACGCAGAGATGTATAACTAGGAAATAGGATTGGTTCAACAGAAGTTGAAAGAGGGCCAGAGACCAAAAGAGTCAAAAATGGAATCAATATAGGAAGAAGCCAAACTACAAAACATACCAGCGATACAAAGATGCGAGAAACAACTACACGGTAGTGAGGAGAGAGGCAGAAAGAAATTTTGAGAAAGGAACAGCGGACAAATGTAAAACAGAATTGAATGTAAAATGAAAAAAAATGTAAAACAGCCTATTGTATAAATTCATCAACATATTACAGGTAAAGGATAATATTCAGAGGTTAAAAATGGGAAATAGATTCATGGAAAATGAAAAGGAAATGTGTGAAACATTAAACAAAATGTTCCAAAGTGTGTTTGTACAAAATTAAATCTTTAGAGAACCAGACACAATAAGAATTGTGTCATGGAGCAACATGAAGCACATAGAGGTGTCCAGAGACGAAGTGGAAAAAATTCTCAAGGAGCTAAGTAAGAACAAAGCAGTTGGCCCGGAGGGAGTTTCACCATGGGTTCTGAGAAAATGTGCACCTGAGCTCAGCATTCCACCTCAACTGATTTTTCAGGCATCCCTGTGTACAGGAGTCATAGCAGATGTGTAGAATAAGGTTAACATAGTTCCAATCTACAAAAATCGCACCAAGGAAGACCCCTTAATTATAGACCTGTATCACTGACAAGTGTAATAGTCAAAATATTGGAAAAATAATTAAAACTAAATGGGTAAAATACCTGGAGAAAAACAATATAACAGACAGACAGACAAACAGTATGGTTTTCTATCTGGAAGAGCCTGTGTAACGAATTTACTCAGTTTCTATGATCAAGCCATTGAGGTTTTACAGGAAAGAGATAGTTGGGTAGACTGCATCTATCTGGACCTAAAAAAAGGCTTTTGACAGAGTTCCACATAAAGAGGTTGTTCTGAAAACTGAAACATATTAGAGGATTGACAAGTAGACTTCTAACATGGATGAAAAATTTTCTAACAGACACAAAAATGCAGGCAGTAATCAGAGGCAATGTATCAGACTGGAGAAATGTCACAAGTGGAGTACCACAGGGTTCAGTTCTTGTACCGGTAATGTTCATTGTCTACATAAACGATCTACCAGATGGAATACAGAATTATATGAACATGTTTGCTGATGATGCTAAGATAATAAGGAAGATAAGAAATTCAGATGATTGTCATGCCCTTCAAGAAGACCTGGACAAAATAAGTGTATGAAGCACCACTTGGCAAATGAAATTTAATGTGAATAAATGCCATGTTATGGAATGTGGAATAGGAGAACATAGACTCCACACAACCTATAAATTATGTGAGAAATCTTTAAAGAATTCTGATAAAGAGAGATCTAGGGGTGGTTCTAGATAGAAAACTGTCATCTGAGGACCACACAAAGAACATCATGAGAGGAGCTTATGCTACACTTTCAGAATCTACACCAACTTCAAAATTGCTTTTAAATACATGGATGGCAAAATAATAAAGAAATTGTCCACGACTTTTGTTAGACCAAAGCTGGAATATGCAGCGGTTATATGGTGCCCATATCTTAAGAAACACAAACTGGAAAAGGTGCAAAGAAATTCAACTAAATGGCTCCCAAAACTGAAGGACAAGAGCTACAGAGAGGTAAGAGGCGTTAAATATGCCAAAACTAGACGCTAGAAGAATGAGGCGATATAATCACTATATACAAAATAATAACAGGAATTGATAAAATTGATTGGGAAGAATTCCTGAGATCTAGAACTTCTAGAACAAGAGGTCAGAGATTTAAACTAACTAAACAAAGCTGCCGAGGAAATATAAGAAAATTCACTTTCGCAAACAGAGTGGTAGATGGTTGGAACAAGTTAGGTGAGAAGGTGGTGGAGGCCAAAAACGTCAGTAATTTCAAAGCGTTGTATGACAGAGTACTGAGGAGATGGGACACCACGACCGTAACTCTCATCCTGTAACTACACTTAGGTAATTATACTCTCACACACAAAAAGTAGCATACCCAGATAAGCATTTTGTATATAGGTTCTATAATTCACAATCATATATACTGAGACATTGACTGTGTAATAACTTTACTTTTAACCAGGTTTCAAGAAGGCAAAATCCCAAGATGACATTTATGTTATCACTGATAACATCATAAAAATGTACAAGTGGAACTTTTGACAATATTAATTGACCCAGATGCTTTTCAGTATAGTTCACTGGAATATCTCTGCCTCTGGTAAGCACCAGCATCCAAATTCTCATGCTTAGAAGGCTTCAGTATTTTTCTGGCCATGATCTGTCTTCTTTGCTTTTTTTTTTTTTGGTAAAGAACAGTACTGTACTAATACCAATACATCTTCCACTATTAGCCATGATCTTGTGTCTTTAATAACTTGGCCTGGAACTGGGATGCATATTGTAGCCAATAGGATGAATTTACCAGTCAATCTTGTGGTAAAGGAAACTAATTAACCTGTCCGCTGTTCTGCGCAGGAAGCATCTGATGGCTGGACTAACATTACAAGGATGTATTTTATATAGGTATTTTATCTAGTTTTACTTAAGATGAATTTTACAATTTGTCGGAAACTAAATAATTTATTTTGGAATTGATGCCAAGTATTTAAGTTAATAATTACTTGGAACGTATAGTAAACAAATAAGAAAAATAAAATGTTAGAGCTTAGTCAGTCCATCTAATATCATTATTCAATCTTGAAAAGAGAAAGAGTCAGTAAAATACAACTACAATAAGAAAGATACTAAAGGTTTATAACCTTGACCCACATCTGTAATGATTTGTATAAATCACTGACAAAGTTTCTAAATCTCAATTATACAGTACAGTACCTGTATATATTTGTAAATATTACATGTTATGCTATTATTATGACATATAAATAATATACTGAATTTGTTGTGAACTAAATTATAAATTTACTAATTACTTAAATATTTACATAAATACTGTAGTTACATTATGAGAGCTCTGAAACTATTGACAGATTTATCATCCACTGCCTTCTCACTGAACTTATTCCAACTGTAATATCACTCTGCAACTTCAAGACTGCTTGTTCTTCCAGTTGCAGGTTTCAAAAATTCCTCTGTGTATTTTGCTTCATTGAATTGAAATTGTACTTATATTTGTTAAGTCATCATTGCAATAAAATACTATATAATTGCAACAATGGCTTAAAAAATTCAGTAAAGGTACAATTTAAATCCAACAAAACAAAATTCTGTACTTTTCTTCTTTACGTTAGTAATAAAATATGGTACTACTAAAGTGATATTATTCTGAGAAATACCATGAATACACAAGTTTTCCAAAAATAAGTACCTAGGTTTAGATGTAATGGTCAGTTGCTGCTTTTAAGTCATTGTATGATATTCAATAATTCACAAGAGTTAAAACACCATTTCAGAATTGTGGAAGATTGTGAATCTAGGCTCAGTTTATAAAAAAGAATATACTGTAAAGATAGATCATTGGTATTTAAATTCTGTATTGTCTAGTTGTACTCATCTTGAAACAAACAGGTTAATAAAGATTCCAAACATGATTTTATAAGAAGATAATCATGTTTGACAAATTCATCTTTCCAATACAGTACAGTATATTTGAAGCGGGAAACTGGTAAATATTGTGATATATAATATATCTAGACTTCAGTAAAACTTTTTTCACTGCTCTTCATGAAAGAGTAAATAAAATGGTAGAGGAACATGTTAATTGAGGGGACCTCCTAAATTGGAACAGGTCATGGTTATGGCACAAAAATCAGGGTCAGCATAAATGGAGTAGAAACAGTTGCAGATGGTGTGCTACAGGTCACTATCCTGGGACCTGTATTCAAATCAGATCAAATAAAAATGCTTTTATTCATAAACAGTTGTTCACTATATTGCCTATACATTATAAATGATTTAGATACATGGGTGAATAGGGGCAACAGAAAATGCCCCTAAAATGACTTTAATATAAGACGAGTAATAAATAAAAAAACCTTAAATGTTGCAGGTGGAATTAATAAAACTTCAAAAAATGAAATTAAAATTTGTGAATGCTGATCATTGCAGACGTCTGTAGGGTTCTAATCCAGGTAAAGAAAATAAAAGTACCAGATATAAGCTAAATTGCAAAAGTAGATTGTGAAATTGATTTCAGTCATGATTAGTAGGGATCTAAAAATATGAAGGCAATGCATAAATGTTTGAAATAAGGCCAATTGGTTATTACGATTCATCTTTAGAAGCATTGGTCATAAAAGCTATAATATTTTTCAGCTTTATCTTGTGAAACACCATAATTGAGACAGTTTTGGGTACCATGCTACAGAAAATATAAATTCTCACGAAGGTATGAAGAGATGTATAGCTAAGTTAATCCTAGACATTAGGAACCTTTCTTATGAAGAGACTAAAATTAATGAAAGGATATAACAATGTGGATATAAGTAGGATTCTAAAATTGTAAACTCTAAGTTTCAAAGTTTAACAAGTTTAAATTTAGAAATTCAGTGCAAATCTGTGGAACAATTTTCCAAGTAACATCACAGAAGTAAACTCATTGGAAAGTTTCAAGCATCAGCTGTATGCGTACACATGAGTGGGTGTGGCCAGGTATAAATAGAGGCTACCTGATATCAGTCGGTAGGCTTTCTACAGATTCCTTATTTCTAATGTTTGTACTGAATAAAGATTAAAGTGCCAAGCTTTTCCCTCGACCCATACGAGACACGTGTTACAGCATAGTGTAATTACCCAAGTGTAGTTACAGGATGAGAGCTACAATCATGGTGTCCCGTCTTCCCAGCACTGTCACATAACTGCTTTGAAACTGCTGACAGTTTTGGCCTCCACCACCATCTCATTTAACTTGTTCCAACTATCTACCACTCTGTTTGCGAAAGTAAATATTCTTATATTGTATCTTTGCCAGCTTTGTTTATAGCAAAGATTTAATTAACTAAAGGTCATAATATCTATGACCTCTTGTTCTTGAAGTTCCAGGTCTCAATAATTTTTATCAATTTTGTGGATTCCCAGTCCTATTTTGTACGTAATAATCAAATCGCCTCTTTTTCTTTTATCTTCTTTTTGGTATATTTAATGCCTCTAGCCTCTCCTTGTAGCTCTTGTCCTTCAGTTCTGGGAGCCATTTGGTTGATTAACTTTCTATTTCAGTTTGTTGATGTGCTTCTCAAGATATGGGAACCATATAACCACTGCATATTCCAGCTTTGGTCACCTTACCTTAAGGTTACCTTGAGATGGTTTCGGGGCTTAGAATCCTTGTGGCTCGGTCCTCGACCAGGCCTCTTCATTGCTGGACTGGTCAACCAGGCTGTTGCTCGCAGCCTGACGTATGAGTCACAGCCTGATTGATCAGGTATCCTTTGGAGGTGTTTATCAAGTTCTCTCTTGAACACTGTGAGAGGCTGGCCGGTTATGCCCCTTATGTGTAGTGGAAGCGTCGTGAACATTTTCTTTAGTATCTCACCATCCTTATATTTAAAAGCAATTATGAAATTAGAAAGCATAGCATAGGGTTCTCACACAATGTTCTTTTATGTGTTCCTCCGGTGATATTTTTCTACCTATTTACCCGAGAGTCACTAACACACTAGTGGCCTCAATGAGGACAGGAAACTGGCAACTTGTGAAAGGTCCCACCCCCCCCCCCCTCCCCGCTCCATTTGTCTTGATTTTTTCAAGCTGGATTTTGAAGTTCAGCAGAGTTTTGGCATATACGACTTTGGAGAGTTGGTGGTTCCATGGGTTTGTAACCCTGTGGGTGAAAAAGCATCTCCTGTTTTCAGTCCTACATTGTGGCTTGTTGAGCTTGAAACCGTTACTCCTTGTTTGCATTACATCTGACCTTTTAAAGTTGTTCTCTGGATCAACATTATCCAATTTTTTCAGTATTTTGAATGTTTCGTGAAATTAGCCCTATCATGTCTGGTTTGCAGTGTTGTTAGCCTTGCTCTGTGGCCCTCAACCTGTCCTGGTATGAGAGTTAACAGTTCTGGAATTATTTTTGTTGCACAGTGTTGAACTTTCTCCAAAGAAGCTATATCTTTCTGAAGATGTGGTCTCCATGCCTGGATGCAATAATCAAGGTGGGGTGCACCAGTGATTTATAAAATTGAATGATTGCCTTCTTTTCCTTAAAGTCAAAGGTATGCTTGATTATTTCTAGTGTTTGGTTAGCTTTTTTTACTGCCGCTCCCACTTGTTGTGCAACTTTCAGTGAATGTTGTATTCTGACTCCAAGGTCCTTTTCTTCATCTATCTGTTGTAAGGTAGTGCTGTTAACTTGGTAGTTTTGACGTGGATTGTTATGCCCCCACATGCATGTCTTGCATTTATCGACATTAAAAGCATTTGCCAGTCATCTGACCATTTGTGGAGTTCATGTAGATCTCTTTGTAAGGCCTCAATATGATTTTCTCTTCCTGCTTTATCATAAATCTTAGTGTCATCTGCAGATTTGATGATGTGGTTTGTAATATTCTCATCTGTCATTGATGTGACAAAATGGGTAGGTCCCAAAATGGACTCATGTGGCACCACATTCGCCACATTTCTCCAGTCAGATTCCTTCCCATTTAGCACAACCCTTTGTTTTCTTTATTTTAACCATTGTTTTATCCACTCTAGTATTCTACCATTTATTCCACGTGCCTGTAGTTTTCTTGCTAGTTTTTCATGTGGTACCTTGTCAAATGCTTTAGCAATGTAAACTACTGTACCTGTACTGTATATCTACATCTGTCTAAAACCACCTCAAGCTCTCTTTCGTTATCATAATTTTTTCAAGCTTATCAGACTTCTCACGACATAAACAGTGATAGACGGTTGGAACAAGTTAGGTGAGAAGGTGGTAGAGACCAAAACTGTCAGTAGTTTCAAAGTATTATATGATGCAGAGTACTGGGAAGATTGGACAACACAAGCATAGCTCTCATCCTGTAACTACACTTAGGTAATTATGAAACACGAGCGCAATGCAATGCTCACGAGACATGTCCAGCACAATGTAATACATCTGAGATGTCCAGCACAATGTAATACATCTGAGATGTCCAGCACAATGCAATACATCCGAGACATGCCCAGCACAATGCAATACATCCGAGACATGCCCAGCACAATGTAATACATCCGAGACATGCCCAGCACAATGTAATACATCCGAGACATGCCCAGCACAATGTAATACATCCGAGACATATCCAACACAATGTAATGTTCATGAGGCGTCTCTTAAAGGGGAGGTAGGCTTATGGTCCCTGGTGGACCTAAAACAACTCTGTGACTGATATAGCAGTTTCACAATATATTAGCATAATAACTTCTGGGAGCCACTGGGGCTCACCCAAAAATTGGAGTTTCATTACATTTAACGCTGTTTCTTACTGCAGCTCCCACTTGTGTAACTTTCGATGAATGATGGATTCTGACTCCATGGTCCATTTCTTCCTCAATCTGCTGCAAGGTAATGTTGTTAAGTTGGTAGCTGTGATGTGGATTGTCATGCCCCACATGCAAGGTCTAGCATTTTTCAATTAAAAAGCATTTGCCAGTCTTCCGACCATTTGTGGAGTTCATGTAGATATCTTTGCAAGGCATCAATATCATGTTCATTTCCCACTTTACCATAGATCTTAGTGACATCTGCAAATCTGATAATGTGGCTTGTAATATTCTTATCTATGTCACTGATGTGTATGACAAAAAGGGTTGGCCCCAAAATGTACCCTTGCAATACCCACATTCACATTTCTCTGAGTCAGATTCATTTTGTTTAGGGTGACCCTTTGCTATATTGCAACTTCTAGAAAATTATTGAATGCTGATATTACTCCAAAGCTGCAAGACATAAATACACACTGGAACAAGTGAAAGCATACACAGAGACATAAATTTCACAATTTTAGTCTTCTCTCTTAAAACATTATATCTAAATATGATGGTAGGATGTAGTTATTAACAACAGCATTTGTTTGCTTGAAAGTTAACCGATTGTTTTTCTTTTAAAATAAAGAAGTTTTCATAATCAAATATATGTATTAATATTATTTTTTATAAATCATCGCATACTAATGCCAAAGAATTAATACAAATATTTAAATAGAAAATATGAAAATTATATAAGGGCTTAAATAATAATTTAATACAGTTATATATGTTGTACAAAAGTACTTGTTGCATTAACAGCTGAAGATTTGATGATGTACAGTACTCTTAAACAGATCTCCTGTAACGTGTAAAGTACATGTGTTTCTTTTCTTTTCAGAGTCAACATCATACAGAGAAGCATCTCACAAAGAAAGTCGATAGTTAAATTTTTATCACAAGTAAAACACTGTCATGTGTTTTTTCCACAATAGTTTGGGGCCCAACTAATGTCATATACAGTACTTTGAATATGAATAATATAAATTGTAAGCCCATATTATTTTCCTGTATCCTGTAAATAATGAAATCTTTAATTTACACTATTTACTTAATGATGTTCTGAAAACAAAACTACTCGTCCCAAAATACAGTATGGTACTGCTATTACTCTTAGTACATATTTACATATTGAGTAATGTATTATTCAATAAATTTTATTAATTTAAATAGTGGTTTATTGCAATTAATGATGGTCAAAAATTACCTGTTTGATTCTTGTCTCCCAGTTCCATTGAACATTAATTTTTAGTGCTACTGTACTTGGTTGAGAGGATCCAACTTGTGCTGCACTCAGATAGGATTTGAGCAACCCGTTCTCGCAAATTTAATAAGTCAATATTGACTTATTAAATATGTGCATAGGTGACATACTTAACATAATAGTTTCCCCTTGAAAAGCTTCATAGAAAACACCGACCTTACCTAACCTACTTAGTATGTTAAGATAAGCATCTTATTGCTTCGTAATTACAATTATTACCTAACCTATAATAGGTATAGGTTAAGTAATAATTGTAATTACGAAGCAATAAGATGCTTATCTTAAGATACTAACAAGGTTAGGTAAGGTCGATGTTTTCTATGAATCTCTTTAAGGGTATCTATTATGTTTAGTATATCACCTATGCACGTAGTTAATAAGTCAATATTGACTTTACGAATTTGCGAGAACGGGTTGATTTGAGTGCATATTTATCTGACCTGTTGGCAAAACACTGCAGTAGTCATTCTGGAATGAAGCAAACTACAGAAAACATTTTAAACTCCAGCAATTTTATGGCATGACTTGTAGTGTTCATGCTGGTGCTCCACCCTCGCAGGACCTGGATGACTGATCTACAGACAGGAAGGCTGTGCTTCTATTGCTCAAATCTTCCTCTTATGGTTGTGTCAAGAGTGATTGGAAGAATGTAAGAATCAAGGAAACTGCAAGACATTTGGGCCATACGTAACGGCTCCTATTTATATCCAACCAAACTCTTGAGAGTTTTGCTGAAACCCAAACCCATATTATAGGGGACTTTAACCATGAGACCATAAACTGAGTAAATCTAACATTACAAACAGGAGAACAATTTCTTAACCTGGTACAGGACTCCTTTCTCATACAGCATGTGGCTGAGCCCACACAAGGTAACATCATTCTAGATCTTGTGCTAACATCAGAAGAGGGTATGATTGATCAAATTCAAGTAAGGGGAAAGCTCACCCCCAAATGATCGTCATATTATAAGATGGATTACAAATAATAGAAACCCACATAAAGGTCCAAGAAAATGAATTTCTAGATTACCCTTGATGAGACTATCAAGGAATGAGAAAGGAACGTCAAAACAACACCCTGGGAAAAGCCAATAGGTGACCATGGTATTGAAGCATCATGGGGAAAATTTCAAGGTGATCATCACTGAACTTGTTCAAAAATATGTGTTAAAAAGATAAAGAAAAGAAAGGGAACTGGATGAATGACACGGGTAATAAAAAGAGCATTGATAACAAGGCAGACTCTCTGGAGAAGGTATAAATCCAGGATGAACATCATAGATTATGAGATATATAAAAGGGCACTAAATTCAGGCACATAGGAAATTTAATCAGCCAAAAGAAACTACAAAATTAAACTTGCCCAAAACAAAGAAAGATCCTAAGTCATTCTATGCCTATATAATAAGTAAAACCAAAGCAAAGAACTTGGTAGGACCCTTAAAAAATGAGATTAACCAAGTTATAATGAAAGATAAAAAGACAGCAAATACTCTGGATGAATACAGTGGAACCTCGAATAACGAATTTAATCTGCTCTGGCGCCGTGCTCGTCATGTGAAACAGGTGTCATACAAAACAAATTTCCCCACTGACAATAATGGAAATCAAATTATTCCATTCTACCACCAAAAATCATCAATATGATATTCGATATTTTAAATAATGGAGCAGCCTACCTTACATACACTGAACAAACCTTTATGACATTTTTCTTTCTTCAAATATGTTCAATATTGTTTTTTTCATTTTTTTTTATACCTGTAGAAAAAGGTTCATTCGGTGTTTGGCAGGTAGGCTACATCATGTTTCTTAAATAAAAAAAACAAATAATAATAATGAAAAATTTTGAAAAACAACAAATGTCTGAAAGGTTCGTTCGGTGTTCGGCAGGTAGGCTGCTCCATGTTTCTTAAAAAAAAAGGGGAGAAAAAAGTTGAAACAATTTGAAAAACGGACAAATACCATAAAGGTTCGTTCAGTGTTCTTCGGGTAGGCATTATGACAATCTTTCTTCATTTAAAATGTGTTCCACTTGTTTTGTATTTTTCATTTGTCTCAATAATGGAGCAGCCTACCCGACAAACACTGAACGAACCTTTATGGCATTTGTCCGTTTTTCAAATTGTTTAAACTTTTTCTCTCTTTTTTTATTTAAGAAACATGGAGCAGCCTACCTGCCAAACACTGAATGAACCTTTTTGACACTTGATCTGTTTTTTTTTTTTAAATTTACTTTATTTTTTATTTTCGTTTTTTTTTTTTTTTTATTTAAGAAACATGGTACAGCCTACTTGCCAAACACCGAACGAATCTTTTTGACATTTGTTGTTTTTAAAAAAATTTCATTTCATTTTTCTACATAAAAGTCAATGTTTTGCAACATCACAGCAGTTACCCCTTTATATCCCAGCATCATTAGCATCTTTAAACAGAAGAAAAATAATTTATTTGGATCGTCGGAGGTGTCCAAGAATGTGTGAGAAGCAGCGAGACCCCACCATGTGGCGTTGGCGTTATTCAAATGAGCGCTCGCCTAACGAGACGAATTGTTGGCGATCGGGGCACTCGTTACCCAAATTGCTCGCCATTTGAGGAGGTCGTCACTCGAGGTTCTACTGTACAGTACAACGGTGAAAAACATTAGAAAAATTAGATGACATTGCACTATTACTAAAACACTCAAAATCCCCAGGTGTACATGGAATTCAATCCAAAGCCATAAAGCAACTGGCAGAGGAATTATGCCTACTGCTGAAATGGCTTTTTAGAAAATCTCTGAACCAAGGGATAGATCTCCTAGATTGGAAATATGCAAATTTACCCTATTTAAAAAAAAAAAAGTCAGAAAGAGCTCAGCAGAAGACTGTCATCCAATCGACATCACACATCTACAAGCTCATGGAGGGAATCCTAAAGGAAGGAGTCATTCATCATATTGCAGCGAACAATCTTGTAAAACTGAAGAAACATGGGTGTGTTAAATATAGATCGTGCCTTGCAAACCTGCTCACATTTTTGGAAACAGTACGCTCATATAAAGGTCTTATGGTGGTTGTAGTTTACATGGATTTTGCTAAAGCTTTTGATAAGGTACTACATGAAAAACTGGCAAGGAAATTACAGGCACATGGAATAAATGGTAGAATATTAGAATGGATAAAACGATGGTTAAATGGTTAAAACAAATAAAACAGAGTCGTGCTAAATGAGAATGAATCTGACTGTAGAAATGTGGTACCACAGGGGGGTCCATTTTGGGGCCAAACCTTTGTCATATACATCAATGACAGATGAGAATATTACAAACCACATCCTCAAATTTGCATATTCATTGACAGTCTCCTAGATGGTAATTAGAAATTCATCATCATGAACCTTTATGTGGGTTTCTATATTCATGGTCCATCTTAAAATATGGTGATCACATGAGAGGGTGGTTAACTTTTTTCTGACCTGAATTTGATCAATCATGCCCTCTTCTGATGTTAGCACAAGATCTAGAATGCTATTTCCTCGTGTGGATTCTACCATATGCTGTATGAGAAAGGAGTCCAATACCAGGTCTAGAAATTGTTCTTCTGCTTGCAATGTTAGATTTACCCAATCTATGATCTCATGGTTAAAGTCCCCCATTACAGTATTAAGGTTTGGGTTTCTAATGCTGCATTGATCACATTATGCAGATCAGCAACTTCCTCTGCTACTGCTCTGTCAGCCCTGTAACATACTCCTATTATTTTGCTAGTGATATTGCTATTATTTTGCTATCTTGAGCTAGTGTGTTGCACCATACAGACTGAGGATCCCATGCCATTTAGTTCCTCATTGGTGGTTGCATCCAGGTCCTCTTTCACATACAGCATCACCCCATCTGCTCTTGTTGTTCTGTCCTTTCTGAACGGTGGATGATACCCTGAGAGATGCAATTCCCCTTCTATTATGACATCTCTTTACCATGTTTTACTGATGCCAGTGATGTTAGGATTCTCAGCTTCAGCATATGCACACAATGCATCAAATTTATTTACTTGACTTCTGGCATTTGTGTAGAACAATTTAAACCCCAGATGTTGTTCCTGGGGGAATGGGAGATTGCTCTTGTATTTAGCACATTACTATTCTGTACATTGTCGCTCTGGTTCTGAACCTGTTTATCGTCGAGATATATAGAGTTAGTTTTGCCTGGCTGGGTGAAGGACTATGTCCTCTCCTCCATCTACTATCTTGATCACCTGCTCTCTCCTGACCTCTCTTCTCCTGCTTTGCATCTTTGTAATGGTCTGTGTTTCTTAACTCCATCAGTTTGCCTCTTATTACCCTGTTATTTTTTGCTACTCTGGAGATATGCATACTTGGTTATACCCTTTCAGATCTTTGAGTTTGTGAGCACTGTTGAGTATCCTCCTTTTATGTTCAAAATTTGTAATGGTTATGCGTACCATATTATCTTCAGGCCTACCTACCCTCGACTTTTGATACACTATGTTGAATTTTGCAAGGTAGGAGTCAAGCTGTCTGCACACAATCTTTCTAAATATTTTTTTTTTTTTATAAAATTTATAAGCTTGCGTAGATATTGCCTTTGAAATTGCTGAAAATATAAAGGTAAAATAAACTACATAATTTAAGTACATAATTAGCATTGTGTTTATTTCTAAAGAATTACATAATACTATCACAAAAAAAAAAAAAAAAAATTCACATTCTAGAGCTACAAAAATTGTATTAATAACTTTGCCACAGAAAAAGTTTGTGCTTTAACTTTTTGTAAACAAGGCTAACTCACAGCATAGTAGAAATCAGTTCTTATCAAAAGTCTCCTTTTTTAGCTGTACCACTTCCCCACGACTATACTGAGACCTCTTGTAACTCAAATTACATGTGCTAAGTTAGTGACAACATTATATAATACTGTAGTTAACTCAAGCTACAGAAAAACCAATGACATTGCATAAATGGGCAACAATTAGAACTGTGAATTAACCGATGGATTGCAGCAAAATTCTTGAGTGGCACTTACTGCATTGCTTTCACACCCAGAACCTGTGCCAGCCTCCACTGAAAAAAGACAAAACATACTGTTATGCATTGCATAACAGTGGATTATACATTATATTGCTTTATGTATAAGATAGGGAAAGGTAGAACAATACAGAAAAAGAATGCGAGAGATTTAAAGGCAAGGATGGGAAAATGGAGAAAGGGTGGCAAAGATACATCTAGGTTCTAATTTTGGCTAGGTGCCTTCTTTTTGAGAAATACTTAGGTTCTAACTTCATAGCCAACATCCTGATAGACCACCAAAATCACTGATCCCAGATATTAGCAGTGCAAAAATTAACCACGAAAGCCATCAAAGCTGTAATCTTGTGCACAAGAGAGTGAGGGTAGACAGGTGGCTGGATGAATCCAACCACCTACAGGATGACCTAGGAAATCTTGGCCTTAGAGCAAGGAAGATAAAAGACTGGGTTGACCATGCAATGCACCCATAGCACTGGGCCACAGTTACAATGACCTGAAAGGAAAACTGACTGCACACCCAGTCAGTAGAAGCTTTGTTCTTGGTAAAAAACCCAGCATTGAATGTAATGAAATGAGAATTTCTGGGCGAGCCCCAGTGGCTTCCTGAAGCTATCTCGCTGAGATGGCCCCTAACTACTAGATCGCATCAGCCGTGGAGTTCAGTTCGGCCTGCTGAACTAAACATGGCCCCCATCAGAGGTGTAGGAAGCCATTGACACTCCGCCACCTCACCTTTCCATGTGAGGAGGCAGAGTGTCAATTGCTTGCGGAGTGTTAACCCAGAAAATAAGCGAACCAATGTAAACCACTGCTGGGTTCGAAAGAGACTAAAGCCTCAGAACCCATTGAATGAACTCCCCTAACAATGTCAACAAACGATCGAGAGTCTTGAAACAAGCTTGTGCTCATTCGTCATACCCCTCCCACTTGACTGGGGGAGGGGTGGGATGGGGCTCACACTGTCCATTGGTTTAAGCCACTAGTTTCCAAGTAGATGTACACACAAAACACCCCCAACCGATGACCTGAAAGAGCCAGGGTGTGGGGGGGGGGGGGGGGGACATGGAGCCATCGGGGCTCACCCAGAAGGAGGTGTTTCATTAAATTCAATGCCAAGTTTCTGGGGGCAGCCCTTGTGGCTCCCTGAAACCCATGGAGAAGAAAAACGAACTCATCAAAGAGTCATACAAAGTGGAATCCCAACAGTAATTAGCAGACTCAACTGTCTCCAACTTGAGCCCAGGGAGAGCAACCCTCTCAAGGCCCCCTGCAAACACCAAAAGCTCCACAGATACATGGCTCCAAATCTTCAAAACCTCTCCTGGAACTATACCGAAAAGTGGTGAAACAGCCTAGAATTACCCCTTAGATTGGAGAAAGGGCCAGCAAGAAACAGAAGGGAGGGGAGGGGGAGTGCAACTAGCTAAAACAGCCACAGCAACCAGGCCTATTTCACCTTACCACAGTGCAACAACGTTTGGGCGCCCAAGCCCAACCATGGACATATGTTAACGTTCATAGACTGGTGTTAGTACAGTGGAATCTCTGTGTACAATTGCCCGAGTACAGATTTTCAGTATATGATGACAATTTTGTTGGAAAACATGTCCTGGTGTACGACGTTCGCTCCAGAGTACAGCACTCATTCAGACTTGTCTGAATCGGTAAGATCAGTTTATGCTTGTGTCCTGCTTGGTGAGAACTACATTTGAATTCTGTGAAAAATGTCTTCATTTTTGTGTTTTTTTTTTTTGTTGCTTAACATAGAAGTCCTTATTACATTTCATGCCATGGCTTCTAAGAAAGTCAGTGATAAAGTTTAACCTAAGAAAATACCGTAGTTGTGAGGATGACGATAGAAGAGAACATTCGGAAACATGAAGACAGTATGCATGTGGTTGATCTAACTAGGAAGAACTGCAATGTTTTGCTGAAAAGACTCACCGAGCAAGTAGCAAGCCATTGTGTTAACAATAACAATTTCTTGTCCCACTACAGACAATTGTTAAAACGTAGGGAAAAATAAATGTCGTTAGACAGCTTCTTAGCGAGACAAACTAACAGTGAGCCACAACCAGGTCCTAATTGTATGCCTACAAAATGTAGGAGTGTACCCCAGAAATGTTATAACTGCCTGATGTAATGGACGGGGATTTCCTTTCCAACAAATCCCCGTCTTCCATATACCAACAAGAGTCCTCAATAAAGATAAATTGTAGTTAAATATTCATTAACTTTATTTACAATATAAGTAGCATTCTGTATAAAATGTATTTTTAACTTAATATTTTTTGGGTATGGAACGGATTAATTCCATTTACATTATTTCTTATGGGGAAATTTGATTCAGTGTGCAAATATTCAGATTACGATGCATTTCTTGGAACGGATTAAATTCATACACCAAGGATCCAATGTAATCACATTCTGCACATGGAGATAGGAAAAGGGCTGAAGTGTAAGGCAGGAACAGGGAACATGTTGGAAAGAGGTTGTGGGTTTTACTTACAGAGTCTGTTATCTGGTTAATATGATACGTGATGCCACCCTCTTTCTTCACCTTCTCAACATGCGAGCGTTCAGGGTCGCCAGGAGCCAAAACTGGTTTACCTTGCTCAGCCTGAAATATATTTTGGCCAACATTTATTCAAACTAAAGAGTCAAATGGAAAAGCATTTTTACATGAAAAAGAATACAACAGGTTGCTTATAGTACAGCATTATGATGAAACAGATGAACCATTTCCTAATGAAGAAGCACGACAATCGACCTCTTCTCCGAACAACCAAAAACTAAAAACTTGCAACATTTAACAAAGTAATACTGTAGTGGAAATTGCAGAAGGCTTATTAGCCCATAAAAGAGAGTGCATATTTAATCCCAAATAAACTCAGCTCATATATGTATGTACGTCTAACCTTTCTTGAAAAAAATCTAAGTCAACAACTCTACTTCCACACAGGTATTTACCCAGATCGTTTTGAATCTAAACTTTTCTAATCTGTATCAACTGTTTCATATTCTACTGTTCCGGGGATCGAACCCGGAACCTCAGGACTATGAATCCGAAGCGCTGTCAGGCGCCTCTGACGGCTGGGGGCGCCTCTGACAGCTGGGGGCGCCTGACTTTGGGCGCTTACCCAGAAATTGTCATTTCATAACATTCAACACTAGTTTTTTCTCCTCTCTTCTATCAAACCAATCAGACTAACTCCACTCCAGACTGAATGCCAATTTGCAAGGAGCAGATCAAGTTGCTAGATTGAAAGTGTATTACTGTCTAGACATTCAGAAGAGTTATAGGGACTTTTTAAAGCCTAGGTGTTAGACTAACCAATGTCCCCTAGGTCAATGATCTTCCACAGGATGCAACCCACAACAACTGCCCAACTCTCTGGTACCTATTTACTGCTAGGTGAACAGAGGCGTTGAGTGCAAGGAAATTTGTTAAAAGGTACAACAAATTATCTAAATATATTTATCTCTGTCCAGTTTGCATCCTTTTGACAATAGACAAGCAGTACTGGTATGCAGTGCACTATACTTGAGAAATCTCATTTCCCTAAATTATTTAATTTTTAAATTTCTTGCTAACAGCACTTACAGGTTCCATTCCACGACAATAATCCATCATATCACTCATTCGGTCCTCAAAGCCTGGCGAGAAGAAGGAGGGATCAATGGCCACAAAGCACTGCCCCAAGTCCGCTTCTCGATCTGTTTGCATCCACTTTCGTACATTCGGCCCATATTGTCCGCCTGGACAAGTGAACAGAGAAATTATATGAGTACAGTACTGTATAGTCATAAAAATATATACTGTAATACTGTACTGTACCAACAAATATTAAATGATTATTTCCTTTGATTAAAATACCATCATGGCTCTAATACACTGTAGCCTATTGTTTAATTTCAATTCTAACTGAGCCAGAGTTAGTAAACAAATCTTGGCGCCTCTAAACTCTACACACAAGGCAGTTTCTCACATTACATCCTTATTAAAACAGGTGTTACAAAAGGCTCCATTCTAAATAAAACCATTTCTAGTGGAGCCCCCTGGTGACTCCCTGAAGCTATCTCGCTAAGATTTCTCCTAACTACTAAGCTACTGTTTCTTACCCCCTTTACAGAGGCACAGGGAGCAAGTGGCATTCCACCACCCCCACTGGAAAAGCAAAGCATTACGGACAACTGCAAGGTTCACAGAAAATGAAGCCTCAAAACTGACAAACAACTCCTTAAACAAATCAAAATAACCATCAAAACCATCTCGAACCTATTATTACAGGAGGCCCAAAGCCCCAGCCTCCCCTGCCCCATGCCAACCTTTCCTGATCAGTTGTCACTGATGCAGTGCTCTCAACACTGCTGTAGTACTCCTGGATTGCCATTGGTGCCGGCAGGTTCCTTTGCTTCTAGGCAAAGTGAAAGCCACCTGCTTGTGTATTCTTTAAATTTCTGGGGGGAGCCCCTTGTGGCTCCTAGAAGCTACTGTACTGTAAGAGAGCAACCCTTGTGAAGTGTTTAATTCATTATATTTAACTCTTGAATTTAGATTGGGATTGAAAATACGTTGAAACAGCAGTGTTAGATGTTAAAAAATTGTCTGGAATTCTTGTTAAACTCTTGAATTTGGAATCCTTGCCAGTACAATTATAACATATAATTACCAACACATCCTCCGAATGGACATTACATTTAATATTAAAACGTACTAAGTAAATTTCCTGTCAGGAATAGTACATAATTACATACACAAGTTTTAATATAAAGAATTTCTTTTTCAGTTTTATTAAAAATAGAGATTTTATACAAAATTTGAAAATATCCCGAGTTATTTTATAATTTATTGAAAGATTTTAGTTTTGTTTTATTAGTTTTATAAAACTGTGATATCAATATAAGTATAGGTTAAGTACTAAAAGTAATTAAGAAGCAATAAAATTCTTGTCCTCATACACTAAGAAGGTTAGGTTAGGTCGTGGTTTTCTATTCAACTTTTCGGGTAAACTCTAATATTCACAATATTATGGTGTGATTCTGGCAATTAAGTGTATTTATGTGCTAAGCCTGTAGTCAGGATTGTACTTATTACACTTGGTATTAAAACATACTGTCTATTTGGAGGAGGGGGCTGATAATTACGTGTATGTATTTGGTTGATTAGACACAAAGAGATTAGTGTTTTTATATACAATATTTAATTAGTATAGTCAGTTTGTTACAGCAGTCAGTTTGTTGGAAGTGTGCAGAAGTGTCATACAACTGATTTTTCAGGCATCCCTGTTTACAGGAGTTGTAGCTGATGTGTGGAAAAAGGCTAACAAAGTTCCAATCTACAAAAGTGGAAGCAGGGAAGACCCCCTTAATTATAGACCGGTATCATTGACAAGTGTAATAGTCAAAATATTGGAAAAAATAATTAAAACTAAATTGGTAGAACACCTGGAGAGAAATGATATAATATCACAGACAGTATGGTTTTCGATCTGGAAGATCCTGTGTATCGAATTTACTCAGTTTCTATGATCGAGCAACAGAGATATTACAGGAAAGAGATGGTTGGGTTGACAGCATCTATCTGGACCTAAAAAAGGCTTTTAACAGAGTTCCACATAAGAGGTTGTTCTGGAAACTGGAAAATATTGGAGGGGTGACAGGTACGCTTCTAACATGGATGAAAAATTTTCTGACAGATAGAAAAATGAGGGCAGTGATCAGAGGCAATGTATCGGACTGGAGAAATGTCACAAGTGGAGTACCACAGGGTTCAGTTCTTGCACCAGTGATGTTTATTGTGTACATAAATGATCTACCAGTTGGTATACAGAATTATATGAACATGTTTGTTGATGATGCCAAGATAATAGGAAGGATAAGAAATTTAGATGATTGTCATGCCCTTCAAGATGACCTGGACAAAATAAGTATATGGAGCACCACTTGGCAAATGGAATTTAATGTTAATAAATGCCATGTTATGGAATGTGGAATAGGAGAACGTAGACCCCACACAACCTATATATTATGTGAGAAATCTTTAAAGAATACTGATAAAGAAAGAGATCTAGGGGTGGTTCTAGATAGAAAACTATCACCTGAGGACCACATAAAGAATATTGTGCGAGGAGCCTATGCCACACTTTCTAACTTCAGAATTGCTTTTAAATACATGGATGGCGATATACTAAAGAAATTGTTCACGACTTTTGTTAGGCCAAAGCTAGAATATGCAGAGGTTGTGTGGTGCCCATATCTTAAGAAGCACATCAACAAACTGGAAAAGGTGCAAAGACATGCTACTAAGTGGCTCCCAGAACTGAAATGCAAGAGCTACAAAGAGAGGTTAGAGGCATTAAATATGCCAAAACTGGAAGACAGAAGAAAAAGAGGCGATATGATCACTACATACAAAATAATAACAGGAATTGATAAAATTGATAGGGAAGATTTCCTGAGACCTGGAACTTTAAGAACAAGAGGTCATAGATATAAACTAGCTAAACACAGATGCCGAAGAAATATACCTGTAAGAAAATTCACTTTCGCAAACAGAGTGGTAGACGGTTGGAACAAGTTAGGTAAAAGGTGGTGGAGGCCAAGACCGTCAGTAGTTTCAAAGTGTTATATGACAATGAGTGCTGGGAAGACGGGACACCACGAGCGTAGCTCTCATCCTGTAACTACACTTAGGTAATAAAAAAAAAAATAAAAAGTTAAGAAGCCTGGAGAACGCAGAGAGCCAAGTGAGGCTGGGGGTAGAGAGCTCGGATGCGGGGTGAGAGTGTAGAGCATGGTGCTCTGAATGCGGACAGAGTTGAAGAGCTCGGTGTGGGATGAGTGTGTAGAAGCTCGATGCAGCCGAGTCTGGCTGTCTGCTCTGTGTTGAGGCTGAAGTGTCGTGTGAGGGTAGGAATTGAACACATCGCATGTTACATTGTTGTTGGTGAATGTTGAAGATGTGATATCTGTCAAGAGTCTGTATTGAACTTCTCTTGGAGCTAGACTTGATTCGATATCGACTGGTTATATTACCAGATCAAACCTCACCTGACCATCCTCTAGCACAGGCATGTCAAACTGAGGGTCTCCCCCCAAGGGCCATATGGGTCACATTTGCGTCGACATGAGGGCCACACACGACAACTAATTGAAGTCATTTAATTAAAATTATTGCAGAATATTTTTATTACTTAAAATTAGAAATGTACAATGTGCACACAAGTGATTTAGTGGCTAACCACATTCATGAATGCAAAGTAATGAAGTAGTTTAACAAGATTTTTTTTCTTTTTTTAAACAGCAACATAGATTTCCATGCAGCAGCAACAAATACATTGTACAAAAATTACAACAGTTCAAAATGAACATTTATTTATGACTATTCAATCCCTTTTAGTGTTTTGTCCTGAGGCTTGACATGTCTTTATAATGACAATTTGGCTATGTCTGGCAGAAATGTCTGTGTAGTTTCCACTTTGATCAGAAATGACAAGTGTTGATCAGTCAGCCTTGTTCTCCGAGAAGTTTTAGTTAATTTCATGAAGGTAAATAACTTCACACACATAGGTAGAACCGAACATTGCCATAATCCTTGTGGCAAACTTTCTGAAGTTTTCCTACTTTAATGTAAGTACTTTGCTCTGAGTGTAGAATCCGCCTGCATAATTTAAATTATAAAGACTGCAATTTTAGCTGTTAAATGACCAAATTACAGTATCCTTTGTGCGGGCTGTAGGTGTGCTTGCAAAGGTCCACATGTTTGACATGCTTGCTCTAGCAGGTTTGGGAAAAGGTATTAACTGTACTCTTGGAAAGAGGTATTAATTGTAATTAGTGGATTAAGTAAAATTAACAGACCCATTGATTGAGTGGCAAATTGTTACTCAATCCTTGTGCCTCTGTAAGGGAACCAGGGTCTGCCTCTGGTTCCTGGAAAGATAAACAAACTTCCATGACTGATGTGACTTAGTATGGAGCAATCTCAGCAAGATAGTTCCATGGAGCCAACCAGAGGGGCTCTCATAGAAATGCACAACAGAAATATTAACTTTTTAAGCTTAACTTTAAATAATTAACTTTTACTTATGATGGGAACAAAGCTTTCAAGATTGGACTGCAGTAAATATATATTTATGGCTTAAAATAATACTCCCGCACTGCAGCAATGAACAGTACTGCATTTGCAGTTAAACATAATTTTTCCATTAAGGAGTAATGAACAAGTAATAAATAGATAACTATAATGCTTACCCGACATGATGCCACAGAAGACTTCCACTAACATGGCAAGGCCATAGCCTTTATAGCCAGAATGTAGCTCTGCCCCACCAAGGGGCATAAGAGCACCTTCCATGCCCTCTGCAGCATTTGTAGTGGGTTTACCATTCTTGTCTAAGGCCCAACCTTCAGGTATAGGATTTTCCTTCCGACGCTCTACCTCTATCTTTAGAAAGGTATTAAGTAAAGAATACTCACATTAATAATAATAAAAATAATTTATTCACAAGAAGGTACAATATGTTGGTGAGATACACAAGATTGGTATTTGTACATTTTTGCAAAGCCACTAACACACAACATTTCAGGCAGGTCCTTAATCTAACATATCAGGCAAGATGAAAAGGTACATTGTAACAAGGTTTTACATCAACAAATAACTACAATGTAAGTTAACAGGGGTGATTACACTGGTAAGAATATATCTCTTAAGTACTAATATTGGGGAAGTGGGTAATACAATATACAGTGCAAGTTTGAAGCACAAGGTAGGACACTATGAGGATGAAATTAGGTACTTTTTGGTGTTACTTTTGAATAGGGCACATGGACAATTTTTTTAATTCGTCAGGGAGCGAGTTCCAAAGACTGGGTCCTTTTATTTGCATAGTGTTTACACAGATTTAGTTTGACTGAGAATATCAAAGCTATATTTATTTCTGGTGTGGTGCTCTTGGGTTCTATTACACCTATCAAGCAAAAGTTTCAGATCCAGATTAGCATTTAGGAACAAGGATTTGTACATGTAAACAGCACATGAGAATGTGCGGAGTGAGTATGTTTAGCATGTTAACCACTGTGCTGCGCCAACCGAGAAAACACCTTTTGAATATTTTGTACCCATTCAAAACAGGTGGGTGATAGGTTGTGTACGAAATGGACTCTTGGGACCTCCAGTAAGAGGCAGCTATCTGAAAAAATTCCCAGAATGTCCTAGGGCTGCTGGCTGGGTTAGTACCGAATGAGCAACCATGGGTGGCGCATGCACCTCTGGCTCCCAAACACTTGTCCGACACGGTGTTGAAAGATCACTCTCTGTCGGTGAAACTAAGGACCTTATTGTTTGAAGAACATAAGGGTCATGATAGTGATGAAGCTAGAAGCAATAAGGACCTAACATAAAGGTCGGATGCAAGTGATACAGCACCGATGAGAACGATACAGTGAGCATATCCAGTTGTAACTCTGAGCACCACTCTTGCCCACCCATGCCATATCCAATTTATATATATGATACACAGATGAATCATTTTCTGGGTTCAGTGATGATACATCTGATACAAGTGGCATAGATGAACAGTGTTAGCAGCTTCCATAGTTTTGTTTTCTATATATATTTTCAAGAATAGCTGAATCTCTTCCAGTGAGGGACCTTACACAGCGATCTTTTCAAGACTACCTTACAAACTGATCTTTTCCTATAATCTTTTCAAGACTACCTTATGCTTTACAAGCTTGGCTACATACCTCCTACAGGTACTAAAGCCAAGGGTGTACGTGAGTGCGTTATTTGCAAGCACACAGAACGAAGAAACAGGAAGCAAAAATCTATCTGTACCTGGTGCAACGAGAGCGAAGTCATGCTGTGTACCATGGAGTGCTTTATTGATTGTCACTCACTTCCGACGTACTGAGTGTGTAATACTGCGTGTTACTGTGTAAATAGTGTGTGAAACTGTACATATTGTAATTTTAGTGAATTTTTAACAAGTAATATTGTGACAAACATTTATTGTGGACACATTACTGACATGTATCACAGTTCCATGGAATATCATAAACATTCTACTATATACATATTGTAAAAGACACAAACATGCATCTTATACGATAAAAAACAAATAAAACCGCATTGGAAATACACAGAACAAATAACTGAAAATACATTTGTGGCAACTCGTTGTATTGAATGGCCCGCGCGACTGCCTCTGGGAGCTTCACGCACAGGCGACAAGCCCGTGACGCCCCCTTCTCCACGTCCACACAGACAAAGTACGTGGAATTTTTTAGTTTTTTTACATGTACGTTCAGGGAAGGAAATTTATCATTTTACAAAGATAAAAAGAAATTTTGCGAACACTTTATTTTATGAGCACAGGGGAAATGTCACAATAAACTCGGAGCAGCACAGTGGTTAAGGGGACTTAAACTGAGGGTTGTGTGTTGTCTGAAGACAGAGTTTGTTATAGTTCTGATAGAGTTTTGCTGAGTGATGAAGGCTTGAGGTAATTTGCAGTGGTTAAACCCCATACACAGATACCGTTTGTAAGATAGGGATAGATTAGCACATAGTATAATGAGAAGAGCAGAGTGGCGAACATAATATCTGATTATAAAAAGTATACCGACAATTGTTGAGACTTTTTTGGCTTTGAGCTGTATGTGGGTGCTTAAGTTCAGTTTCTTGTCTATGTATAGGCCTAGGAACTTGCCCTCATTTTTATTGGTAATGTTAATATTGTCTATCTGAATGTGAATTTAATTTGATGATTTACTACCAAATAAAATGTAAGTCTTTTCTATGCTAGGGTGAGTTTGTTGGTTGATATCCATGAGTGGACTTTTTAAAATTCATTATTTACAATATTATTTAGTGTCAGAACAGATGAAGGTAGTGTCTTCAGCAAAGAGTACAAGTTTAAGAATGTTGAAAACATTTGGCAAATCATTGATGTATATAAGAAATAGGAGAGGTCCTAAGATGCTGCCCTGTGGCACTCTTACTGTTAATGGTAGGGTATGGATGGTTATGTTATCGATGGCTACATGTTGGTGTCTGTCATTGAGATAGGAATGAATATAGTTCAGAGCTGTTTGAAAATAATTTGTTAAAATATTTTTTAAATTACTATATAGGTAGATTTGATATTGGTTTGTAACTATTTATGGTAGCCGTCTCGCCTTTGATTAAGATGCGATTATGATAAATACATTATAACAAATCATGATATAGCATAACAATTCTAAACTATAATACAGTACTATGTATGTCACAGAAAAACAAGAAACTGAATATTTACAAACAAAATCTTTGCCAAGAAATTTTACCTGGTTGCACCCTAGGAAAACACATGCGATGAATGTAATTAAATGCCAATTCTAAGCGAACCCCAGTGGCCCCATCAAGCGACCATCTCTAAAGTAGATGCCATCAGTCACCGAGTTCTCTGGCCTATCAGAGACCCAGCGCCAAAACCTGGTCCCCTCAGAGGCACAGGCAGCTGTGGCATTTATATATTAAATTATTTATTTATGCCACCACTGAGAAAGATACCCAGAAATTTAGTGATTGAAAAAGACAGCTGAATATCTTTGAAACCTACAGGCTAGAAAATTGTCATAGAACTCAAAACTAGCACCAGCTAGTTCATCCCACCCTTTTCATCATTTGGGGGAGGAGGAAGCAGGCCACAGTTCACAGGCCGCTCCACCGTCAGTTTGATGAATGATGTTCAGCCCCAGGACATATTAGCAAAAACAACCGAAAGAGCGGCAGACTTATGGATATCATTGGCACGAGGGTACATTGCAGGTTGGCTAGACTTAATGACACTAAGGATGACCCGAGAAAGATGAGTCTTGGAAAAAAGATCAAAGAAACAGGATCAACTCACAAGGCATCCATCAATGCAGAAGTGATGGCATGAAGGCAGAGACAGAGCTACCACCGGGAACAAAACATGATACCCTCCAGCCGAACCAACCAAGCATCAACAACCTTTAAACTCCTCCGGAAACCAACCAACTCGTTCTTCAACCAGAAAAGGAGGAGCCAGCTGAGATGAACAAATTGACCCCCCAGGACCAAAGCAACAAAAACCCCAGTGCCGAAGGAGAGCATGAAGCTCACTAACATGGCAACCGGAAGCCAGAAAAGGACTTTGCGAAAACAATCTCGGACTGAAGGGGACACAGTAAACTGAGCGGAAGATAGAAAACGGAGCACCCAGTCCAGAGATCACGCAGGCTTCGACAGCACATGAGCAGGCCGGAGGTGAAACAAAGCATAAGACAGTCTGCAAAACGAAGCAGTAGTAGTATAGACCCAAAACACAAGCTGCAACAGCTCCGCCAGCACCACACGATATGAAGCAACAGCAATTGGCATGAGATACCAATCAGGAATCGGGAAACAACCAGGAGAAAGAAAAAATCACCCCACCCAGAAAAAAATGAATGTTTAAGAGACCGGAAGTGAAGAAATGATCACCAAGAAACCACATACTGCTGTCTCGAGGAAACCCACAAGTGGGATACCATCAACTCATCCACCTGAACGCCATAAAGATGGCAATACACCTGCATCAGAAATTTCAGATGCGAAGAGTGGAGAGGTTCGAACCAGTGAAGTCTGTCACCGGACTGACTCTCCAGAAGAGGCGGAGCTGCGTAAAAACTAATAGGTTCGGACACCAAGCAAGGGAAGGGAGGGATCAGGATAAAAGACACCAAGCAAGTAGCTTCAGAAACCAAGGCTGGGCCAGCCACCAGGGAACCCTTCCCTGGTGGGAATCTAACCAAACCAGAATTTGGAGCAACTGTTGGACTGGGTAGAAAAGGTACAGAAACCCCCACCTCGACCAGTCCAGACAAAAGGTGTCCACTGCAAGGGCCCCCTAGTTGGGAAATGGCACTGCATAAAGGGAAAGATGCAGAGACCAAGCCAACGTAAAGAGGTCCATGTCGGGGCGCCCGCACATCTTGCAGAGGAAAGAGGCGGTGTTGACAGTCCACTCCGTGGAGATGGGACGAATCTGGATCAGACTGCTGGCAAGGATGTTGGACACTCCCTGGACATGAATGGCATAGAGCCAAACCCCGAGAACCCAGAAGAAGAGCTACATGCAATGTTCAGCTCCAAAGATCAAAGCGACAGAGACTGGGCTGCAGGGTCACTGATCCTCGAAAATCATCAACAGATTATCAACAACGGTGGAGACAATGAACCATGGGGGAACAGTCTGACTGGAGCCCTAAGGAATCCGTATCCTTCACAGTGCATGCCATGGCCATTAACTCCCAGTACAGTATTGTGCATCTGATTTTATGCGGGGAGACCAATTCCACTTGACCAGCCTGATGATTGCAGAGGATAAAGCCTCAGCAGAGAGCTCAGGTGCCAGTGGTGCCAGTTTCAGTGCCGGCGCTGTCCTTGGAACCGACTTCGTCTGGTTGACGCGGTGATCACTTTGCTCGTAAGTCTGGTTCTCACAAGGGGCATCGGCCCTTTCGCGGTTCGTTCCATTGACAGGGCGATGAGGGAAGGAGGCTCGCACTGTTCGCTCACGCCTGGGTTCACAATTTGTGGGCTTTTCGGGTCATTTCTGATGGCCTGCAGTGGCATTGGGCAGTCCCTCCCCCTTCTAGCGGGGCAGGCTTCTCCTGCGCTCTATTGGGTCGTCTGAGTGGGTGCTCTTGGGCGTAATCGAAAGCACGACATCCCTCAGGTGGGCTTCCCATCTATTTCCATGTCCGGACCCGAGGTTCATTCTGGACTTGTCCCGTCTGAACCCCTGGGTCTATTGCCACTCCTTTTGGATGACTACTCTGTCCCAGGTCCGGATTCTTTTGGAGCCGGATGCTTGGATGGTGTCCCCTGGATGCACATTGGCACGTGCTCTTTCGGTCTTAGTGGTAAGTTTGTTCATTTGCAGCCGTCTCCTTTTCTGCCAACGAATGAAACTGCTGCTTTCCTGAGGGGTCCTTGGATAAGCCCCTCTTATTTTTGTCTTTGGGCAAGTAGCTCCAGGGAGCCGAAGGGGCTTCCCCCAGAAAACCACCATTGAATGTAATGCAACACCTTTTTCTGGGTGAAACCCGGAGGCTCCCCGGCAACTCTCCCTCCCTCCGGTCGGCAGTTTTTTCGCAGTTTTGACATCCAGCCTCAGAGCTGCAGGGTGGATGGGGGGGAGGGGGGGGCTGTTACACAAACAGTGGCAAGGAGATATGGCGACTTCATTATCGTTTGCTCGTCTTCATTTGGGGAGTTTTGTCTACAAGTTCAGCTCTCAGTAGCAATATATTAACCAGAATAGGGATTTGTTTTGGGGCGCTTACCTTTCTGGGTGCCTGATCCAGTCAATGGCAGATACAAAATACTTCCAACCACGCGGGGGCGTCTATAGGCCATTGCTCCTCGTGCCTCTCTGAGGGGGGACCCCAGTAGGCCTAAGAACTCCATTCGCTTTGTCAGATGCCAGGGTCCAAAACATTCATATCAGCCCGGATAGCTCCGGGGAGAATCCGGGTCTCACCCAGAAAATGGCAGTTCATTACACTCAACGCTGTTTTTCTTTTAAACATGGTTATGAACCAATGGAACAATTTACGTGAGGTGGTGGTGGATGCCAAAATTATAACATTAAAAGATTGTATGAAAAACAGGACACCATAAGCATAACTCTCATACTGTAACTACACTTAGATAATTGCCTTAATTTTACCCACCCAGTGTAAAAATGTTGCCCAGCCCTCACAAGAAAATCCCTGAAGAAAAAAAAAATAATAATAAATAATAAATAATAAATAAATAATAATAATAATAATAATGTCAGGCGTGCTCTTACTGATCCTGTCCAACATAGAGAGGGGGTCTTACCTTAAGGAGCAACCATGTAACAGCTCAGAAGTACTACCATCTATAATCCTAAATACCTTTTCAAATTGATTAATCATTAAACCAAAGCTTTTAAATGCATACAATGCCGGTAACAGTAATACCTGGACCTACCTTTTTCCACCCCTTCCAGACAATGAAGAATACTTTGGACAGAGAGGATACAGTTAGAGTGCTGGATGTGTCTGTGTAGAAAAAAACAAAATTCTATAACTACTGTGCATGTGAATTTCATTTAGTCTACAAAATATGCTCAGTTTTGTCTACAGCATATGGTAAGTACACACACACACAACCATTTTGCTGCTGCCTTTTTAGTCACCAGCCTTTTCCCATGAATGGGTTTTTAGGTAGAAAATTCCAGAATTGCATAAATTAACATGTAATACATAAAAAAATAAGGCTTTAAAACTTTGCCAGCATCTTTATACCATGCAAGGTGATGGTGATGGCCATAAGGAGGAGGAGGCTAGAAGAACATCTGGAGAGGAAACTTAACACTTTGACACTCTGGATGTGCGTGCACGGCACTACCCCAGGTGGGTTTGCGCATTCTGCGGGAGCGCGCGGTAATTCTGAAAAGTGTATACTCTTCTTTTCAACTTTGTTACCTCAGTTCTCGTCCTAGGTTTTTCAATTTGGTATCACTGTGTTCGCAATAGAATTCTCTAAAGGACTAAAGGCATATAATGTCAAAAACAGCAGCGCGTTCCACCCACCGACGTGACGAAAACAGGCCGCGGTTACCAGAAAGAGAGCGCTGGGCTACCCCAAGGCGCTTCTCATTACATTAGAGAGTGCAGTAATTCTAAAAAGTGTATACTCTTTTCAACTTCGTTGTCTCAATTCATGTCCTAGGTTTTTCAATTTGGTATCAATGTGTTCGCAATAGAATTCTCTACAGGACTAAATAAAGCCCAAAATCCCGGCGAGAAAATGAGAGCGCCTTACCCAGAAGCGCGCAAGAACTCTCTCTTCACTTCGGACATCTCAATTCCCATCCTAGGTTTTTCATTTTGGTATCATTGTGTTGGCAATAGAATTCCCTACAGGAGAATATGCAAATATAAAGTCCAAAAGCCTGGCATACCACCCCCAGCAAACAGAAAATGACAGAGCGTTACCCACTGTGAGCGCTAATAAAGAGCAATAAAATGAGTATGCTCTTTTTAACTGTTACCTAAATTCTGGTCCTAGGTCTTTCATTTTGGTATCAATACATTCACAATGAAATTCTCTACAGGACTAAATGTATATAAAGCCCAAAAGCCCAGCTAGAAAGTGAGAGCATGTTACCCCGGTGCACGCAAGAGCAATAAAATGTGTTCACTCTCTTCACTTTGGACATCTCAATTCTCGTCCTAGGCCTTTCATTTTGGTATCATTGTGTTCGCAATAGAATTCCCTACAGGAGTATATGCAAATATAAAGTCCAAAAGCCCACCGTACCACCCACAGCAAACAGAGAAAGTGACAGCATTACCCCAATGAGCGCTAATAAAGAGCAATAAAATGGGTATACTCTTTTCAACTTTGTTACCTCAATTCTGGTCCTAGGTCTTTCAATTTGGTATCAATGTATTCGCAATGAAATTCCCTGCAGGTGTATATGCATATAATATCAAAACCGCAGTGCGCCCCTCCCGAAGCCGCCGCCAATTACTGCCGAGGACTCAATGCCGAGTCCTTACCGGACTTCCCTCTATTTAACGGAGGACTCAATGCTGAGTTGTCGCCAAGTAAAAGTGTTAACAACACACAGCAAACATAGATTCTGGGAAGGTAAATTTTACTACATAAACTTGATAAAAGTTATATGACTGGGCAGCAGAGATCAGATAAGGCAGAAGAATAGCCAGACTGCATATTTTGTCATTATTTGAAAGACTATGCAATATAAGAGATACATATATATACAGTGAGAGGATTGTGTTCAGGGTGAGAAGATATTCTCAGTGGATTTCTACAGAGATTATTACTAGGACCTATCTTGTTCTCTGGAATATGGAAGTGATCTTCTGGAGGAGGATAAACTCACTGATGACCAAACTATAACTCAGAAGCGAAGACGCTTTGGTTTGTCCTGGATTATTATCAAGTTGTGTGATAGCAGAGAGGAAGGTACAGGCAAATATATATATAAGGTAAGAGTGTAAGATATGAGATGAGATGAGCAGGCAAGAGAAGGTAAGAATAAAGTAAGGATAGGATCCTTACTCCTATCCTTACCTTATTCTTCCCTTCTCTTACTGCTTCTCACCTCTCATCATATTATCTTACCTTATATATTTGCCTGTACCTTCCTCTCTTTTATCACACAACTTGATAATGATACAGGATGGACCAAAACGTCGCTACTTCTCCACCTTCCGAGTTGTGGTTTGGTCATTTCTTCAGCCACGTTATTGTGACTCATCATCTACATAAGCTCACTGTTAATGTTTGCTTATGACAAAAATCATGAAAGATTACTGCACAAACACAGCATGCAACAAGATGACCTGGAAAAACTAAAAAACGAGAATTGAATGTAATGAAATGCCAATTTCTGGCCGAGCCCTAGTGGCTCCCTGAAGCTACTGTGTCTGATGGTGTACAATACTATTAGGTCCCATCAGTCACAGAGTTCTACTAGTATACCGGGACCAGAGCCAGAACCTGGTCCCCTCACAGAGGTCCAGAGGGTGGTAGCATACAGGTACATGTATTTATTAATTTATTTATGCCACCCACCAGGAAAGACACCCAGAACCTTAGCAAAACAAAACGAACCACTGGTAGCTTTAACCCTCAAACCGCTAGGGGTCCAAATGGCATTAACACCCACAGGCGCAACACAAAAAAAAAATCCAATTTTTTTTTCTTTTTAATCTATTTGTGTTCCCTGAGCACGGGAAAAATAATAATAATAAAATTTAATTGCACTTACCAGTGACGTAAATGAGCCGAGAAGGTGGGCGATGATGTCACGCCTCATCTTCGCTTTGCAGTTCGTGGTAAATACCTTAGATTGTGTGTGACAAAGGTATCCTTGAAAGTGAGCCTGGGTGCTGGAGCATGGCGCAATACTGGGTTCAGAATGGGCCTCTGTATGCCAGGAATTACTTTGCCAAACTTCTCTAGTAATTGTGTCACTAGAGTAAAACTGAATGCACGGAAATTTTGTTTACCACCTGTTTTGACAAGATACATATTGTAACTGTTCAGCATTGTTACGTCAGCAAGATGGAAAAACATTTTCTTGGTCCACTTCACTGTTTTCTGTACACACACTACTGCCCCCACCATCATATCACATTTATCCACCAAACGCATGTTGATGTTATAGTCCAAGACACAATCTGACTTGTAGATTATTTGTTTTGTTGTTCTGTTCACCTTGCCACTGTCCAGCATTGTACCATGGTGAATGGTGGTCAACATGTTCACTTCACTCCTGTCTTTCCACCGCACTGAAAGCATTGCACCTGTTTTTCTTAGCTCTTAATCACCAACCTGCATAGCAATGTGACACACTGGCATTTCTCTTCGTTTTGCCTTCACTGTGCCACACACTCCAGTTCTATTATCAAGCAAGAACCTAGTTAGCATGGGAGTGGTATAATAGTTATCTGTGTACAATATGTGGCCCTTGTTCAGATATGGTGCAAGCAGTGACTTCACAACACTACAGGAGAAGCCTGTAGTCATTAGCAGGAATGTCTACATTTGTACCCGTATACATGATCATGTGTACCACAATTCCTGTTTCACAGTCACAGAGTACAAAGAATTTCAATCCAAATCGGTGGCATTTGGAGGGAATATACTGCTTGAAGGCAAGACGTCCTTTAAAAAGCACAAGGGATTCGTCAATCACCAACTTCTGAGCTGGTACGTAGAAATCCCTGTATTTTCCAATAAGTTCATTCAGGATGTGCCTTATCTTCCAAAGTCTATCATCATCATTCTGGTCTTCATCATTTGCAAAATAAAGACACCCGAGGATTATCGAAAATCGGTCTCGAGACATATTTGCCGAACTTTGGTGTTGGAACAGTATGGTCTTTGCTCCAATAATGGTCGAGTATGTGTTTGACACAATGTTTCATCAACATAAACAGTGCCAAAAACACACATTTCTCCCACAGTCGTATCTTTCCATCGCTGTAAACGTGAAAAATCAGATAACTCCTCCTCATCAATGAGATCGGCCCCACATTTGTTCGTTTCCTGAACAATATATTCCATGAGCAGCTCATCGAAATATGCGGTAAAGTAGTCCATTTCACACATATCGGAACCATTATCAGGGAAAAGGTCTGTAAAAGGTAATGATGAACGTACGTAGGCCAGGAGAACCCGTCCGACTGGGAGGGGGTGGAGGGCGTAGAGACAAGAGGTTGCGCACCGCAGGACGCAGGCGACGTTTCGCCTCCAATCGCCTTACTATGATGTTTACTGTCCAGAAAAACACCCTCGGGATCCCCCTCCAAGAATGGGAGAACGTCATGACCGGAATGCGTGCCAAGGGACAACGGGTCCTGAAAACCCCTCAAAGGGATCTGAAATGTCCACCGAAGAAACGCTGTGCGAACCACCATCCGTCACCATGGTCGGCCAGCAAGTCCCCCATGCTGGGTTCAGACACCAAACAAGCGGTGCAGAGACCATGCCAACGTGAAGAGGTCTATGTCTGAGTGCCCGAATGTCTCGCAAAGCCACAGAAAGAAGGTGATGTCGATAGTCTACTCTGTGGAAATGGGACACACCATCTGTGAGGATGTTGGACACTTCCTGGATATGAAGGCATGAAGAACCAAATCCCAAGAATCCAGCAGATGATCTACACAGTGTCCAGCTCCAAAGAGGCAGGAACCGAAGTGAACTCCCTGGTTGAGGCAAGCAACCACGAGGGAACAGTCTGAATAGAACTGGAGTGCAGAAGAATCCAAACTCCCGGCAGTGCATGCCACACAGCCACAAACTCTTGAAACGTATTGTGCACCTGATGAAGGAGTGAAGACCAATGACCCTGGCCGGCCAGGTTAGCTCTGGTCACAAAGCTCCAACCGAGAGCCGAGGCATCCATGAATATGTAGAGACAGGGTAAAAGATGGTGCCAGGGAACCAAACCCCAAGAAGCCCAAAGACAAAATCAGTGATGCAGAAACTGGTGAAGGGCCAACTGAGTTGGTACCCAACAACTGCAACAGCAGCAAAAGGGATTGCCATGGAGAAGCCAAAACAGTCTCACAAGCCAAACCCTGCCCAAGAGATACACCAGAATGGCAAAGTTGAGGTTCCTGACGCTCTGATCCAGCCTAACCCGTTCAGACTGAATACACTAAGGTTATACCTTCAAGAGTCAAGGTACCTCTATTACAATGTAATTCATTCTGCAGTATTTGAAATATCATTATATGGAAGTTTATTATCATATCATTATGATAATAATGAATGAATATCATTATATATTCTAGTTTATTGTACGGTATTTTGCTGCATTATTATATTTCTTGATGGGTGAAACGTGAGTCGGTGTGGAACTGCTAGTTTTGTCGGCCAGCCACTGCTACTGTCACTACCCCCCCCCCCCACTACCTGGAAAGGCCAGAACCCCCAAAATCATGACAGACTGATTGGGCTCCGTGATCCACCTGTATTTGGACTGTTCCCCCGTGGTTCATTATCTCAACCAGGGAAAGGGGTATTTCACTTCAGTCCCTGCCTCTTTGGAGCTGGTCGCTTCGAGTAGCTCGTCTGCTGGGTTCTTGGGGTTTTGTTCTGTGCTGTTCATGTTCATGGAGTGTCCAACATCTTCGCGAATGGTCTATCCCAGTTCCTTCTCATCACCACAGAATGGTGATGAGAAGTGGTCAATATTGCCTCCTTCCTCTGGCTTTACAGGGCGTTCAGGCATCCAGACATGGACTTCATGTCAGCTTGGTCTGGCGCCTTCCTTTGTACATGGCGCAATTTCCCCAATTGTAAAGACCTCACAGTAGATACTTTTCAGCTGGACTAATCGAAGTTGGTATTTCTGAACCTCTTCCCCCTGGCTGTTGTTCCAGGTTCAGAGGCAGGTGGGGAGTGTCTGAACCTCTTGACCCTGGTCTTGCTTTTGCTTCAGCAAATGTAGTCCCACAGGGGTAGAGTGATCCTTTAGGTTTTTTGTGGCCATCCCAACCTTAGTTTCGGGTGCTGCTTGCTCAGTGCCTGAGTCTGAGCATTTTGCCACGGCTCCATTTCTTCCAGGAGTCAGCCCAGTGACGTACTTTGCTGGTTCAACCTTCTCTTTTCTATGTGTCAGGATATTTTTGTTGCATCTTTACTGCCATCTCTATGGTGATTAGATGGCTCCGTTGATGGTGTTCCACCTGTGGTCCTCCTCGAGGCAGCAGCATGAGTGGTTCTCTCCTTTCTGTCTTGGTTTTTATTTGATTGGCATCATATGCCAAATACTATCACCTCGTATCACACAGTACTGACAAAGCCACTGCAGCCTGCATTTGGCTCCCGACTTTGCCGGGAGCCAAATAGTTTTCTCAGCTTCGAGAAAACCAGTGCTGAATGGAATGAAATGCCAATTTCTGGGCGAGCCTTGATTGATTCCCGACACCTTTCCTCACTCCTTCCAGGTTGTCGGGTATGTTTTCATCATCATAAAACCATGGAAGAATCAATGGGTGGGCCAGCTGGCTGACCACGGGTCACCTCCCTTCACCCAAACGAGTAAGTGAGGTGGGTTGAACGAGCTGGCACTAGTCAAGTTTGATCGTTTATTTACATATACATACTCAGTATTGGGATTTCTTTTGGAGATTTTCGAGATTGCAATTTCACTTGAAGCCAGCAGTGGTTTGTTTTTATTTTGCCGACTTTCTGCGGGCCTTTCCTGGTGGATGGGATAAATGAATAACAATATATAAATGCCACTGCTCTCTGTGCCTCTGTGAGGGGGGCCTAGTTCTGGCTCTGGTTCCTGGTAGGCCTATGACCAATCAAGAAAAATCTGCAACTGATGGGACCTACGACACACTATCAGAGAAAGTAGCTTTAGGAAGACACCAGGGCTCGCCAAGAAATTTGCGTTTCATTACATTCAATGCTGGTTTTTTTGCAATAATGTACCATTTACACACCAAAATTGCTACAAAATCCATTGTACTTAACTGTGAATATATAAATAAATAAAAATAAATGTTTAAAAACTCTCACCTTACCAACAGCTACCACACAAGTTGCCATGTCCAGCACAAAACTATCCCCATTCTTTGCTGGTGCTGACACTGCTATTGGATTGGTCCCTAGAGCACCCTGCAACAGCAAAATAAGAGCTTTAGTAGTCACAACCCATACACAATAAACAGCACAAACCAGTGGATGAGACACCTTTCACCCAGCAGGAGACATGCCAAAAACAGCAATGATGACTTTCAGGTTCAGAAACTAGTTTTGGCACTATGCAAAACAGCATTATGCAGTACAGTAGTTATTATGCTAATCCCTGTATTGTAATGAGTAACAACTGCTATTAACACGAGTAAATACAAAGCAACTCGACTCAAATGGATCAATTCATGCTTAATTCCAGCAATTTTAGAGTAAAGTTCATTGCAGTAGAAGAACTACAATCATTAAAATTTTCAATACTACTTAATACAACTACCTAATAGTGACACCAGTTGGTTGCCATTACTATCACTGAACTGCAAATTAGCCATATTCCTATGCCTAGCATTTTAATCACCTATAATGATGGTAGGCTTAGTCTGAATACAGATAGGAAGGTCAGAATAATTAAACTTATCACTAAGAGCATACAGGTTAAAGATATTGAGGGCAGAGTTCCCCACATAGGTCCTCACACCATGATACTGAAGCCCTTCAGTTGACCTGGCTGGTGAGGAAGGGACTTTTAACATACAAAATACAAAAGTAACTGGATTTAAGGCTATAGATAATAAAGGAGGCTAATTTAGGGGGTGGAGACCTGGTAGGAACTCTGCATTTCTGAAGGCAGACGACATCAATGGGCTCGGTCGTCACTTTGTGATGGAGATCATGAAGTCTTTTTCCGAGTGATGCTATGTTCCAACTGAGGATACAAAGCAACGTTGTCTTGGGGGAAGTTTGTGGAGGGCTCCATAATTGATATCTAATTTATTAGTCTACGAGAGCTTATATGTGTTTGTATAATCTAGTGTCCCCTTGTTTCGCTTGTTATCACTCTTGGTACCCCTCTAAGTTCTGTGATGCAGCTGGCTGCAAGGCAATACAGTTGTAATACACTGTCTCATTTCTTGGTCTACAACACTGTTGTTTATGTAACATTTGTTTTTAAACTTTTGGAACACTGTTTTTAATAGGCTTTCAAGTTCCGCGGGTTCTAGCAGCAATATATCAAACACACTAGCTAGACGAGTTGTGGTAACATTATGAACATTCTACTGTGTACATATTGTAAAAGACACAAATGTGCATCAGATATGATAAAAAAAAAAATGAGAAAGCATTGAAAATAAATTGAAAAAAATTTATGAAAATATATCTGTGGCAACTCGTGGGTCTTGAATCACCCAGGCGACTGCCTTTGGGAGCTTCCTGCGTGGGCGAACACATATCGGTGACGTCACATAGCAACTCCAGGTTGCCACAGCCAAAGTCAGTTTTTTGTATATTTATTTTTACATGTACATGTTCAGGGAAAGGATTTCAACAATTTACAAAGAAAAAAAATTGAGGGAACACTATTTTTTGTGCACCATCACAATGTCACAACAAATGCAGCACAGCATGAAGGTTAACCCTTGTGTTGCTAAGGGCTAATTGGCCTTTGTCACCCACAGGTGCATAACAAAAATAAAATAATTTTTTTTTCTTCTCAGCCTGTTAATTTGTGTTCCCTGATCACAGGAAAAATAATAAAATTTTAAGGGGCATATTTTGGTCACTATAGGGCGCGAAAGTCTGGCATAGGCAGTCTGCTCAGCCCTTGCTGTCAGGCAGGAGTGGCCACAAAGATATAATTACCTAATTATTTCAATGTCTCTGATTTTGCCTCGTTTTTTTTGCTGTAATATTATTCAATAGTGTGTAGTATGAAATATTTATATAATAAAATGTGTGAATCATCACTGTACTCAAAATTATGGTGTGCATATTATTGATTCAATTATTGTGCTCATAAAACAACAAACAAATACTTTGTCGGTTATTACACTATATACACAGGTTATATATAAGTATCTGCACGTTTTGTTCACCATAACGAACCATTTAGTTGATATTGCAAGTAAAAAATCAACAAGGTGTGACCACCACATCTGCCAGTCAGCTTCTCGCTGCCACTCCCTCCCTCCCTCAATGACTCCTCACTCGCCCACATCCTCCTCCCACCATACTGTTTTTGCTTTTATTCACTATATACAGACATTATATATAAGCATCTACATGTTCTGTTCATAACTGTTCATCTAAGCTGGTATAGTGCCCAAAGAGCATAGTGGCCACCCCTACCCAGCATGACAAATCATGCAGATGTCACCACCTCCCTCACCAAAATGGCTTCTCCCAACACTCCTTTTGCTGTTATTACACTATATATACACGTTATATATATATATATATAAGTATCTACATTTGTGTTCACCATAACAAACCACTAAGTTGGCATGCTGAGTGGCAGTGGCAGCCAGTGGCAACCCGCCACTGGCTGTCACTCCCTTCCTGCCTCACCTCACCTGACTAGTCAACATTCTCCTCCCACCATACTGTTTTTGGTTTTATTCACTATATACAGACATTATATATAAGTATCTGCACGTTTCGTTCACCATAGGGAACAACTAAGCTGGTATAGCGAGTCCAGACTGTAAAAGGTGGTTACACAGTCAACAGACAACGCTACCTCCCTCCCCACCAAGATTGCTCCTCCCACTACAGTGCTAATTATCACAACAATCCTGCTATTATCAGAATCCTGGTCATTTTCATCACAGTCAGGCATCTTCTGTAATACTATTATTGCTAAATAATAGCATGTACAGTACATATATATATTATGGCATTTTCAGGCGATGCTGCGGTCACAAGCTGAACAGCAGTGCTGTGAGCTCATGCTACGTGCGCCAGCCTTGGTGGCTCACTCAATACTGAGGCCCTCACACCCGGGAATGTGGCCCAAGTTTTTTTTTTTTAAATGGCATCTGTTTTAAAGGGCCCTGATAAAGGTGAGGTGAATCCTGTGTATCCGCGGGCCGTTTAAATCTTGTGTAGTACTCCAACACAGCAACGAGGAGGCCTGGTCGACGACCGGGCCGCGGGGTCGCTGAGCCCCGGAATCACCTCAAGGTAACCTCCAGGTAGGTTATCATATGATGTGATGCACAATTTTGCGTAAGTTACTCAACACGTCCTATGATGTGTTGTGCAGTTTAAGGGTTAACAATGAAAAAAATAAATTCAATGATTTTTTATAAGTCGATAATACATTTTGCATCGTCGTAACATATGTGAATGTTTTTGAGTGATGCATATTGCATCATCAAAACATGCATATATATATATATATATATATATATATATATATAATATATATATATATATATATATATATATATATATATATATATATATATATATATATATATATATATATATATATATATATATATATATATATATATATATATATATATATATATATATATATATATATATATATATATATATATATATATATATATATATATATATATATATATATATATATATATATATATATATATATATATATATATATATATATATATATATATATATATATATATATATATATATATATATATATATATATATATATTGTGACGATAATCTCCTTCAAGAGATTGAGCCTGCTCTTCCCTCCAAAATTACGTCTTCACAACTATATAAAAGACTATGGAAGAAATGTCCAACAACGACAACAAACACCAGCAAGGCTTGCCAGGGTGAGCAGAAACGTATGCAACCAGCCACCTGTTCGAACTCCAACCACCAAACTACCCGTTGATCGCTACGGCTCCGCTGATTGGTCGCCGGTCTGGCTGCACCTGCACTCGCCCCCAATACTACCTGATGTCTGGGGTCGCCCCAACATCAGTCCTCAGAATGTTCCGTGCTTTCGTAGCCAGCACTCCTCCCAGCTAGACTCTAGAGTGTACTGAGAGAGGTGGTGGCTTTAAGCCAATATTCCAGCACCTCCCACTTAACTTTTGTGTTGCACTTCTTGTTATTTTGTCTTAACGTAACTTTTCATTGTGTCATTTAAGTATTCTTATTATTTTGATTCATTGATTTTATTATAAGAATTTGTTTGTCCATATTTTCATGTTTTGATTTATTTAACGTAATTAAAATTTCATTGTTAAAGTTTTACTTGTGTTTTGTGTGTCTTCTCCTTACCTTACCACAGACGAAGTTCCAGTTTTTCTATTTTTTTTTATAACTATGTGACGAGGCCATACCCCTAGCCTTAAACAGCCGAACACCAACGCGTTACCGTCACAAGTTATATGGGGGCCTGTCCGGGAGCTGAACCCGGGACCTCTCGCACCCCTACACGTCAGTCAGAGATGATGATACATACAACGGTAGGGAATTAGCTTATTTTTTCAGAGCACAAAAGTTCGCTAATTCTGTAAGTATCATATTAAATTCAGTGGGAAAAACTTGCTTTATGTCCTATAGAGACTTGGCAAGGTATGCCTACATCCTTGGACTACCAATTTTACTTTTGAAGCATTTAACTGTTTCATTTGTTTTCGAAACTGTTTCATTTGTTAGTAGGATTTTCTTGCCCTTATTCTCTTACATGAGTACCGGGTACAAGATTTCCTGCGCCCTTGATTTAATTTAATCATTTAATATCTTTCACTTAACGTTAATTGTTAAAGATCACACAGGATAGGTACCAGTTGCCACGTTGTCCTGTTTCTGACATTTCATTATTGAACATTCGTGTACCTTTATTTGCTAATTTCACCATGTTTCGTCTCCAAACTTTCCGTGCAAATCCAGCAGGTGAAATAGGGACTTTAAGTCGTGCCAAGAGGACTGAACTACAAACTCTTGCACATGAGTATCAACTAGAAGTTCCCTATCAAGCCAACAAAAATGACCTACACAACCTGTTGCTGGATTACTATTTAGAGCAAGGTAAGATAGACTCTGAAACTCATGAAACTTACTATATTGCAGATAAAACTGACTTGGCAACGATGAAACTTAAACTAGAGCTGGCTAAGATTGAACGTGAGCAGCAAAAGGAAGCCCGCGAACAGCAAAGGGAAGCCCTCGAACAACAAGAACGAGCAGCTGCCATACGGAGGGAAGAACAAGAACGAGGACTCGCCCTCCAAGAACGTGAGGTTGCACTACTCCAGGAGCGGGAACGAGTACAGCTTGAAGCACTCCAGGAGCGGGAACGCGTACAGCTTGAAACCAAACAACGCGAGTTGGAAATACAACGCGAACATGACAAGCAACAAGCAACTCTGGCTCTAGAGTGTCGTCAACGTGAAATCGCCTTGGAAACTTCACACTTCACTCAACGCCAACAAGCTACTGCCAATCTTCCCGTCAGTTTTAATATATCACATGCAAGTAAGTTAATGCCATCCTTTGTAGAAGCAGAAGTTGATGTGTTCTTTACCACCTTTGAAACCCTTGCTAATCAACTCAGTTGGCCTGTCGACCAATGGGCAACACTTCTCAGAGTCCATCTTACAGGTAGAGCTGCAGTCACACTCAGTACTTTGGCGTCTGAGAATGACTACTACACTCTGAAACAAGCAGTGTTAGACGCCTACCTACTTTCCACCGAAAGTTATAGAAGGAAATTCCGTGACCACCTGAAGGCAAGTACCACTACCTTCCTCGAGTTTGCTAACACGAAACGGAGGTATTTCATGAAATGGCTGGAAGCAGCACATGTCTCTACTTTTACAGAACTCGTGAACCTGATGCTTGTTGAAGAATTCTTGAGACGTGTGCCGCCTCCTGTCCGCCTCTACTTAGCAGATAAAGAAGAAACCGACTACCTGAAGTGTGCTAAGTCGGCTGACACTTACAGCCTCATCCACCGGCTGACACCTGAACCATCCTCCAGTAAGAAGTCGTGGTACAGTTACGAGAAGGTGAGCCCCGATCAAGCTGGTTCACAACTGTACTGCAAATATTGTAGACTCTATGGACATACCATAGACAAGTGTGGTAAGTCTCAATACAAGGGAACCACTGACCAACAACGACCCAAACCAACTCCTCCTAAGTCCGGTAAGCCTGTGATGAATGTTGGTGTTGATGTTAATGATCTTTCTCTTTTCAGTAACCACCTGTATACTGGAACTGTCTCTGCCAACGGTTCAAATCCGGAGGGACGTTTCAAATTGAAGATCTTGAGGGACACAGCGGCTCTACAATCGATCATCTTGAAGTCGGCTGTGCCCAACATAGTCTACACCGGGGAAACAGTCTTCATCACTGACCTCACTGCTACCACTCCATACCCTCTCGCCAGAGTCCACCTGAATTGTCCCTACGTGAACGGGGAAGTCCAAGTCGCCGTCAGGGAAAAGCCTTTTCCCATGCCTGGAGTGCAACTTCTCCTAGGCAACGACTTGGCAGAAGACCTGCAACCGACCAACCTGATCGTCATGGACAAACCCCAGGTGTGTAACTCTGTGCCCATAAATCCTATTCTCGAGTATGTTCCAGCAGAGGTTCAAGAGAGTGATGAAGTTTCTCCTCCGGTTCTCGTGACCACCCGTGCACAAGCCGCACGTCCACAGCCAGCTGACTCTACTGCTACCGCTGTCCCTCAAGACCCTCAGAAACTACCCCCGCATCTGACCAAGTTGGAGTTCCGTAAGTTGCAGAGGGAAGATCTTACTTTAACACCATTGTTTTTCCAGGCTGAGACTCAACCCGACAGTATTCCTGGGTTCTTCCTAGAGAACGACTTGCTCTACCGCAGATATAGACCCAGTAAACTGAAGGAGGAGGACGATTGGGCCAACACCGAACAACTTGTGATTCCCACCAGCCTGCGGCCCACTATTCTACACCTGGCCCATGGAGCATTCTCCCACTACGGCTTCAACAAGACGTACCATGGGATTCGTCAAGACTACTACTGGCCAGGTATGGTAAACAACGTCAAACAGTACGTAAAACAGTGTCATACATGTCAGATGGCAGGCAAACCAAACGTCTCCATTCCCAGAGCACCACTGATTCCCATACAGGTGCCTGCGGAACCTTTCCACAGACTCATAATAGACTGTGTTGGTCCTTTACCTCGGACCAGTTCAGGTAACGCCTACATCCTAACCATCCTGTGTCCTACCACCAGATTTCCCATAGCAGTTCCAGTGAAGAACATCACGGCTGCTACGGTTATCAAACATCTACTGAAGATCTTCACTCAATACGGATTTCCCAGGGAGATTCAAAGTGACTGTGGCACCAACTTCACCAGTGATCTCTTCAAAAGGACACTGGAGGAGTTCAACATCAAACAGGTATTGTCCAGCCCCTATCATCCTGCTTCACAGGGTTCTCTTGAACGTAGTCATCAGACCATCAAAGCACTCTTGAAAAAGTTTTGTAGTGAAACCTCGAAGGATTGGGATAAGCAGATTGACCTAATAATGTGTATTTTCAGAAGTCTCCCCAATGAGTCCCTAGGAGTATCTCCTTATGAGATGCTCTACGGCCGTAAGTGCCGTACTCCCCTTAAGGCTTTCAAAGACTCTCTCAGAGACGCCACCTTCAGTGAGCATCAGAATGTGCCCCAGTTTCTTCAAAACCTTCAACACATTCTAGAGAGAGTCCACCGCTTTGCTCATGATAATCTATTGAAAGCCCAGGTGAGAATGAAGACTCATTACGACCAGACCAGCAAAGTAAGAAAATTCAAGCCGGGAGACTTCGTCCTTGCTTATTTCCCTATCCCAGGTTCACCTTTACAAAACAGATTTTCAGGACCCTACTGCGTCAAAGAGTGCAGAAGCAACAACACATACGTCATAGAGACTCCAGATAGGCGGCGGAAGACCCAGCTGTGCCACGTCAACCTCCTGAAGCAATATAATGGTACTCCTCCCACTGTCTTGATTAATTGTTCTACCTTCACAGAACCCTACATCCACAGTGAGACCATCCCGGCTTCTTCTCCCGAAAGCACTGACAAGGAGTCGGCGCTTTCTAATTCCAAAATCCTTAATGATCTTCCCAAATGCTTTCAGGATAATAATCGTGCTCCTATGCCCTCTTCTAATTCCACTCTCACCTCGTCAGATAAGCCCTTCATCCTCCATGTCGACGCCAATGGTACCGACGTGGGTGGTGTCGTGATGCAGCAACGAGGCGAGAAGAATACACCTGTCAGCGACTACTGCTACAAGGATCTACGGAACAATTGGCAAGGAGCTACTCTTCCTCATCCTGAAGCTTCAGCACTTCACTCCACACCTGAAAAGTGCTCGGTCCACCATCAATACGGACCACACCACCCTACACCTCCTGCAGCACGCCCACTTCTCATCTCAACGTCTTCTACTATGGGCTTGCTAACTGCAGAAATTCAACCTGGAGACACGCTATACCAAGAGTCTGACAACATCTTAGCCCATGATCTCTCCAGAGTTTATGAAGTAGAAGCAACTCCATCCATTACTCCACCACATAACGACGTACTTCTTCCAGAACCGCAGGCTTCGGGGGAGAGTTGTGACGATAATCTCCTTCAAGAGATTGAGCCTGCTCTTCCCTCCAAAATTACGTCTTCACAACTATATAAAAGACTATGGAAGAAATGTCCAACAACGACAACAAACACCAGCAAGGCTTGCCAGGGTGAGCAGAAACGTATGCAACCAGCCACCTGTTCGAACTCCAACCACCAAACTACCCGTTGATCGCTACGGCTCCGCTGATTGGTCGCCGGTCTGGCTGCACCTGCACTCGCCCCCAATACTACCTGATGTCTGGGGTCGCCCCAACATCAGTCCTCAGAATGTTCCGTGCTTTCGTAGCCAGCACTCCTCCCAGCTAGACTCTAGAGTGTACTGAGAGAGGTGGTGGCTTTAAGCCAATATTCCAGCACCTCCCACTTAACTTTTGTGTTGCACTTCTTGTTATTTTGTCTTAACGTAACTTTTCATTGTGTCATTTAAGTATTCTTATTATTTTGATTCATTGATTTTATTATAAGAATTTGTTTGTCCATATTTTCATGTTTTGATTTATTTAACGTAATTAAAATTTCATTGTTAAAGTTTTACTTGTGTTTTGTGTGTCTTCTCCTTACCTTACCACAGACGAAGTTCCAGTTTTTCTATTTTTTTTTATAACTATGTGACGAGGCCATACCCCTAGCCTTAAACAGCCGAACACCAACGCGTTACCGTCACAATATATATATATGTCGTACCTAATAGCCAGAACTCACTTCTCAGCCCACTATTCAAGGCCCGATTTGCCTAATAAGCCAAGTTTTCATGAATTAATGTTTTTTCGTCTACCTAACCTACCTAACCTAACCTAACCTAGCTTTTTTTGGCTACCTAACCTAACCTTACCTATAAATATAGGTTAGGTTAGGTTAGGTGGGGTTGGTTAGGTTCGGTCATATATCTACGTTAATTTTAACTCCAATAAAAAAAAATTGACCTCATACATAGAGAAAAGGGTTGCTTTATCATTTCTTAAGAAAAAAATTATAGTAAATATATTAATTCAGGAAAACTTGGCTTATTAGGCAAATCGGGCCTTGAATAGTAGGCTGAGAAGTGAGTTCTGGTTTTCTACTAGGTACGACATACATATATATATATATATAGGTATATATAGGTTCGGTCATATATCTACGTTAATTTTAACTCCAATAAAAAAAAATACCTCATATATAGAGAAAAGGGTTGCTTTATCATTTCATAAGAAAAAAATATAGGCTGAGAAGTGAGTTCTGGCTACTATATATATATATATATATATATATATATATATATATATATATATATATATATATATATATATATATATATATATATATATATATATATATATATATATATATATATATATATATGAACTACAATACAATATGTGGTAACTAACTTTTGTTCAAATAAGAATTTTGGTATAAAGACAGCTTAAGGGGTTGATAATCAGGCTGCTATTCAGCTCTCAAATAATCTGAATACGAGTTTAACTGTACTCACCGTTTTAGCACGGGTTGGTGCAACAAGGGGTGAAGTGTTGGTAAAACTCATGCCCTGAAAATCACAAAAGTTGCATGAAAAAGGTAGTACAGTATTTTATATTATTAAATCACATTGTCATTTTATTTTGTGATTGTATTATTAAGGCCTAAATCATCATCCCAAACTCTCTGCTCTAAATACACCGAGAACATAGATTAGTTCAGAGACAAAGCAACTGGATAACAGAATCGGAGCACATATGGACCTAAGAAATGTAATAAGAAATAATTTTCAATAAAATTTTCACCGTATCAAGCAAAACCATACTGTAGTACAGTACATAAAATTTATGCCAGCTATGTGGTTCCGTCATACAAGGCAGTTTGATCGAGATCTCGATGGTTTCCTATGGCACTATCGAGATCTCACTATCACAAATTTAATTAAATGAATTCCCCTTTTCTGGTGGGTCTTGGTACTATTACCATCACCTGACATGCCTCTTCCCAGTTTGTCAAGAATCATACTCCCTCTGAATCAGTCCGTTCTCGCAAGAACTACCAACATCAAGAAACTGTCAAGAAACTAAAGTGCCCTAACCTAACCAACCAAAGGCCCATGAACAGAATGGGACATTATGTCAATTTCATGAGCTGCTACCATTTTCTTGTAAATCAGTTTTTGTCCATGGATAAAGTATGCATCAAAATGTGACTTACTATAACAAGAAAAGGTTGCTTATACAGGGAGGGGGGATATATAAAAAAACCCCTCCCCCTGCATAGGAAACCCTTCTCGAAGGGAACTAGGAACCATTTCGAGTCAAAAGGGACCTAAGGACCCAAATCCAACTCTCCTTAAGTCCCAGAAACCACAACAAGCTTCAGTCTCTGCTGAAGCCAGTAGCAGTTTGTTTTGTCTCACTGACTCTCTGCTTGCTTTCCATGGTGAGGTAGTAAAAAGATATGTCATTTCTCTCTGTGCCTTTGCGAGGCACAGAGAGAAGGCATATAGAACTCCATGGCTGATGCGACCTAGTAATTATCAAAAGAAGGCACCAAGCCGGGAAGACTATGAAGCACATGCGACCTAGAAGATGCTACCATCTCGGCACAGAGATTTCAGGGAGTCACAAGAGACTCCTTCTAGAGGAAACACCAATACATTCAACAAATCTGAACATACTGTTCAGCATCATATTTAACAAGCACCACCAGCACTTTAGTAACTCTCCCACAGCAGAACCACACTACTTCATAATATCAAGTGCATAGTGCCCTACAAGCTTTATCATATATGAATCCTGTCAAACACTTTCGTCCTCTTCAAACATCACTGTTAGCATGTTTTCTTCCTGACCACTTTTTTGTGCACTGTTAACATTTAATTGCTGCTTTCTCACTCACTCACCAAGTAAGATCATCATCATGGCCTTCCTCTCTTACCCTCAAATTCACTTGAATAAATTTTTAACTGTTTGCCATCATCCATACATTTAACCTAAGCAAACTCTCACTAATATTCTTATAATTTACCGTGTTTTGTGCACCATATCCTTCCGTATCATTTTCATTCCTTACTTTTCTCACCCTCCAAACACCTCACAAACTATTCCATAATAATAGCCTAAACACATTCCAAGATAACATTCAAGACAGTGTAAAACATCAGAGTTGGAGCTTACCAAGAGCCCTTCCTTAGTGGCCCTCATGGCATACCAGCCAGCAATGCCATAGTGGTTGCTGCCTGAAAAAAATAATGTCAGGATGTAACACCATAAATGTGTTTTGTATATTATTTTACATACAACGAGAGTCATTAACACATGATATTGGAGGCACCAGGCAATCGTGCTATAATTATTTTAAGAGTTACACCTTTCAAGTGTTAATTGTAAGAGGTTGCCTTCGGGTCAGGTCGTGTGAAGTGACCTTGCTTTCTACTAAGCTGATAATTGCAGCTGGTTGGCTGTCTTTCCATCAAACAAGCCACTGTCTAGGTGGGGTAGGGATCTCCTGGAAGGCAGATCTTAGCTATTGGTCCCCCCCATATATACCCATGGAACTTTACATTTGGGAGATTGAGCAGGACAGCAATGGATAAATCGCATGTCGCGAGGCCTGCAGCCAGACCAGGTCCGTCCCAGGCCGGGTGGAGACTGTCAGCCATAGCCCCTTCCCCCCCTCCCCTCTCCCCTCTGTATATTGTGGATTTCAACTTAGGTGTTGTGTGATTCTCAGGGGCAGTCAGCCATAGGTGTTTTCAGTTTCTTGTGTGGTGACTCAAATTGTGAATTAATATTGACATTTAATATCACATGATATGGTTGAATTATGATATCCATATGAGTGAAGATCTAATAGGAAATATATAATTGATTAACTTACTTTTTAAATTGCCTTTAATTGTGATCCCTAGATCTTGGATTTTCTACAATATATTGCAAGATAGAGTGGAGAGCACTCTGAAGTTTAATGGCTTATGATTATGACAAAGATTCTTGGTTATACAACTACATGCTTACAGTTCATACATGATAACATCAGTTGACAGTGCAGACAAGTTCCATTACTTGTCTGATAATATATTTAACTTAAATGGATGTGGCAGCAACCTTCTATCTTTCTAGTATTCTAGATTATTTCTTATATTCTAGCACTCATACTGTCTACATTTCTACTTTCCTCCTTGATCTCATTCTCTCCCTCTCATTCTAAACTTTCACTTTCTCCTGTTCACTCTTCCTCACACATCCTCTTCCATCTCTCTACCTCCCTCACCCTATGAGTTTCTTCATTGTTCATTTCTTTTTCCTTTCAATTTCCAATACGTTACAAGGTTATACAGTACGTATATATAGGTACTAGTTGGTAATAGATTACCAAAATCCTGCATCATGCAATAAATATTTTATAATTTTTTAATATATTGAACCATTGTTCCCATAAATCATGAAAGATGGTCTAATCAATTAATTTTTATTTTCTGCAACAGTACATTTATACCACCTGGCTCACTAAACCATTGGCAAGACTTAATCTTGATGAGCAATTATAAACCAGACATAATATAGTAACGAATAATTATAAACCAATATAAACCAATAAGATTAAAAGTGAATGCGCCAGCCCCCAGTATCTGTTCTTGATGTTGTGGATCAACGTGGCTGCAACAATTTAAAAGAGGCCATCAAAACCACTTTCATCCACAACTGCACCATGACAAGTATCTTGGCTAATGAACTTTTCATGTCATTTGGGGAAAGAAAACAGTGGTGAAAACTCAGTCCAAGACTGAGGTATGACAGTTCTCTCTCTAATACTAAAGAACAAATCATGAAACTCAATTCCCCAGCAAATGACCCTTATATTCATGAAGAAAATTCCATTATCACTACAATATACTAACTGCTGATCAACACCACTAGCTGCTACCTGTACCTTCCACCCAGATGGCAGCACCATACTGAACAACAAAGTTTAGCCGAGCTGAGACAGGCAAGTGAAGACAAGGGACCACAGGGAGCAGAAAATTAAGCAAATCCTTGGAACAAACCTACAGTACGAGCATCATTGCAGGAAGCATGGACAGAGTGCACACAAACCAAACCTTGTTGAATAACATTCAGAAGCAAAGTACAGGCTGCATGACCCTAAGCTCATGCAGCCCCAGTACACTGTAGTTACACCTGGCCACAATACTGCAGAGAACACCACCAAGGCGAATCACTGCCAAAAAATCGAGGCCAGAGTTGACGTCCGCCCCAGATCGCATCAGCCAATGAACTGGGGCATGAGTAGCCGATGCGGGGGTCCGGAGCATCCCCTCCCCCTCCCAGGAAGGGGAAGGCTGCGCGGACAAGTGGTGCAGCGGCGGTGTATGATGTTTACTCGTTTCATTGAGAGTTGGAAGAGTTCTGCCCCCCTGTTTGGTCTTCAGTTGCAATTCTCTTACCAAGTAGGGTTTGTTTTGTTATGCTTGCCTTTCTAGGTGCCTAACCCCGGTCAATGACAGACAAGGAATACCCCCAACCTCAGGGAGGGTGTTTCCAGAGGCCATTGCTCCCTGTGCCTCTTTGAGGGGGGGCCAGGTTCTGGCTCGTGGTCCCCGGTAGGCTGAACTCCATTGACTAATGCCCTAGACTAATATATCACATATAAGTCTCACAGCTTCAGGGAGCCAAAGGGGCTCCCCACAGAAATAAACATCTAATTATATTTGTTAAAAAGAATCAGAATCAATAATTACTACTGTCTTACTGTAGATATCCCTATGAAATCCTTAGCATATAATATTTAAAAATCTCACCTCTTGCACAGACCCAGCCAATTCCTGTTTCTTTAGCCTTCGTAACAGCTAAATCAATGCAGAAGTTGCCCACAACAGGCCCTAGGCCATTGTTGCCATTAACAAGAGCTGTGGACACACTCTCCTTCATAATGGTGGGTTCAGCACTTCCATCACAAACCTTTTGCTTCACATCATTCACATACATCTCTAGAATATGCATAAATATGTAAAAATTAGAGCAAAACTCAAACTACACACACAGGTGCTGTACTATAAATATTTTAAATTAGGCTTTTGAGTGTAAATGAAAAGGTTCTTTCTAAGAAGGCCATTCAGTTGCTCCCTTAGGCCAGTATCAATTTCATACTCCAGAGCAGAGATCTTTCAACACCCACACCAGGCTTAAAGTGGGAGAAGAGAGATGCTGGGAATTCTTCAATCAACCCAAGAATGGCCTCCAATAGGCTCATTCATTTACATTCAAAACCTCAGCCTCAAAGAGGCCATAATGTGTTGCTCTGCTAAGTGCTAGCAAGCCATCTATCTGCTTTCCCTGACCATCAGAAATCAGCACCCATACAAGTCGGAAGAGTAACCAGTGACTCCAAACCAGGAAAAATACATCTACCACAAAAACCCCACAATATGGAAATGATGCCACATACCGGAAGCTACCTATTCCATGTGAAGGCAAACAGGTACACCAGATAGCCGAACATCTCTCCAACCCAAAGAAACAGCTTCATCCACCAACCATTCCATTGATATCAGTCAAAAGGAGAAAATGTCCAGGAGAATTTTAGAAACCCCCAAATGTGAATTGCACCAAGAATTAAATCTAGAGGAGACCATCACCTCTGACCACCATGGTGAAAACTAAAGAGGAAGTATAACCCAAGGTCCAACATATCCGTGAACAACTTGACCAGCGGGGAAGGAGTGCGCTACAGAACTAAACCCATAGAAAAAGCCTTACATGAAATTAACAACACAAAAAAGCAGACATGTACTGGATCTCGACCCTAGCAAAAGGTTGTTATGGTCCACCATAAATTGTAGTAAATCACCTTCCCAGATGGTAAGCCATGCAAGCAAAGTTCAGGGTGCCTTAAAAGCACTAGCATCCTGACAGGCTAAGTTGAGACTTCCCTAGCACCAGCTGGATACAGAAGTGCAGCCTCAACAAGGCTGATTGTGGGAAAGATCATCCTGGTACCCCAAACCAGCCCTAACTAAGTCAGGAGCTGAGAGGGGGCTGGTTTGGGGCCCTAACATTATATCAAACAGTAGTTCCAATAGCAACTATAGTTCTCTTATCTTGTCCAGCATGGCAACATGCAATTCCTGACCAGCATTTCAGCATTTCTTTAAATTTGATGCCTCAGTTCACCTATCTGTAATAAAGAACCTTGGCTTTAGAAAATTCTTGTCAGTTACATCCTGAGGAAGGTTAGTTGTTAATCCAGAGAGGCAACAAGACTAACAGGCTTCCTGTCCCCAACAATGGAAAACTGGTGTGGGATGTCAAACCTATCCTAACAGTACAGCCTTCGAGTCTGTAGGGTTCTGCCTTAGGGAGCTATCAAGTGGGATAACTCTGAAAGAAAAGCAGAATATACATGACAAAACCATATGTATCCCTACTCGGGATATCTAAAAAAATATAAAAAGACAAAAGTCCTTGCCTAGCCTGTTGAGTCCATGACTGTAGTGGCCACGAGTGTCAGCAGCTACCAGAACATCAGCAAGGTGTGTGGCTTGAGGCCTGGGAGTGCCTACAGCCATCATGCAGTCTACCATGTAGCGGTGAACTTCATCTACTGCATACTGAAAACATGGAAAAATGTAGTACTATAAATGTGATCATCTAAAGAGCTCAATTATTAGAATGAAATACCAGTATGTAAATAATATCCCTATGATATTAAACATACTGTAGTGAAATCAGTCACAGTATTTATGATTTAATAACAATATACAAAAATCTTTATACAGTATATACAGAACTTCCTGCAGTTCACTTTCAATAAACAGGGATAAATCAGGCGTTAAATAAAATGAAATGTCCTTTTTAGGGAGGAGCCCTTTGGTGACTCCCTGAAGATATCTTGCCAAGATGGCTGCCCACAATTGGGTCATGTCAGCCGCAAGAGTCATGTCTGGCGAAGTGGAGACCAGAGCCTGAACCTGGCCCCCATCAATTAGGTGCAGAGAGCAGAGGATTATGAAAATCACCTTCACCAGAAAAGCATCCAGAAACATCAGTGAAGCTTTACAGACAACTGCAAGGTTCATAGAAAAAGCATCAAAACAGTCATGTAACTCCAAATTATTCATTCCCAATACAGTAAATGCTTCACTCAAAACTAGCTGAAATCCATTAATACCAATGATTGGCAACAGGTGGCCTGGAGCCTTCGACCCACAGCCGACTTCAAAGTTAATCCTGTTACTGATGTGGGGGATTAGTGTTGTGTGCTCCTGATTTACCTAAGGGCCACTAACCCCAGTGGCCTCGATGAGGACAGGAAGTCTGCTTCTTGTCAAAGGTCCCCCCCCATTTGCCTTTATGATCTTTTCCAGGTATATTTTGAAACTCAGCCCAGTTTTGGCAGTTACGGCTTCAGCGGGTAGGCAGTTCAATGGGCAGTTCCATGGTAGGCAGTTAACCCTGTGGGTGAAAAAGCATCTCCTGTTCTCAGTCCTACATTGTAGCTTGTTGAGCTTGAAACCGTTGCTCCTTGTTTGTGTTACATCTGACCTTCTGAAGAAAATATCTAGATTATCTTTTAACTTTTTCAGTATTTTAACCCTTAAACTGCTCAGCATAAGGGGGATATAATTCAAAAAATATTTGAATGTGTAAAAATTACTTAATGTTAAACAAATCTCCAACTTATTGGCTTGAGTCATGAAATTTTCATCAAAATATTTTCAGAAATTGATTTTAAACGAATATTTAAAAATTTTTTGTTTTGTTGATAAAGAGAACAGCTCCTATTAACTGGAACTGATGGGTAATGCAATAATAAAGAGATACAAGCACCTGTCCAACGCACTAAGAAGAATAGTAGCAAGAAGTGCCCACAAAGTGGATATGCAGCTGGTGCCTTTATAGCATTGGTGAGTAATACATAATAACAAATAATAATGGGTAAGTATGTAATTGTGCTCAATTTTGTTATATATTGTATAAATACAATGCCCAATGTTATTATCAGTTACTTTCAACAATGTCCAAGAAATATTTTTTTAGGGGATTTTTTTTTAAGGTATTTAGTTTTTTCCTCCTTTGTATATAATTTGAATCATTATAATTATCCCTATATATATATATATATATATATATATTTTTTTTTTTGGGGGGGGGAGTATTTTTTCTTGGCTTCATTTCAACACATAGTGACCTACAACTTTCACATATTTGAGTACGAATGCCAAACAATGTTTATTATAACACAGTACAAGTAAATTCATGTATTAGTACTGCCTTATTCATTGTTGATAACTTCAACTTCAATTACCTGTATATCTATAATTAGAATTTCAACTTACTTCAGTATCCAAAAATCTAGTTTCTGACCGATTCTCACCATTTTTACACATAGTACTCACCTAATTGTGCTTGCGGGGGTTGAACTTTGGCTCTTTGGTCCTGCCTCTCAACTGTCAATCAACTGCTGTACAGATTCCTGAGCCTACTGGGCTCTATCATATCTACATTTGAAACTGTGTATGGACTCAGCCTCCACCACATCACTTCCTAGTGCATTCCATTTATTAACTACTCTGACACTGAAAAAATTCTTTCTAACGTCTCTGTGGCTCATCTGGGTACTAAGTTTCCACCTGTGTCCCCTTGTTCGTGTCCCACCCGTGCTGAAGAGTTTGTCTTTGTCCACCCTGTCAATTCCCCTGAGAATTTTGTAGGTGGTTATCATGTCTCCCCTTACTCTTCTGTTTTCCAGGGATGCGAGGTTCAGCTCCTTTAGCCTTTCCTTGTAGCTCGTTCCTCTCAGTTCCGGGATGAGCCTGGTGGCATACCGCTGAATCTTCTCTAACTTTGTCTTGTGGTTAACTAGGTATGGACTCCAGGCTGGAGCTGCATACTCCAGGATTGGTCTTACATAAGTGGTATACAGGGTCCTGAACGATTCCTTACACAAGTTTCTAAAGGTAGTTCTTATGTTGGCCAGTCTAGCATATGCCGCTGATGATATTCTTTTGATGTGGGCCTCTGGGGTCAGATTCGGTGTGATATCAACCCCCAGATCTTTCTCTCTATTAGACTCTTGCAGGATTTCACCTCCCAGATGATACCTTGTGTTCAGCCTCCTGCTCCCTTTGCCTAATTTCATTACCTTACACTTTCCTGAGTTGAACTTTAACAGCCATTTTCTAGACCATTCCTCCAGTTTGTCAAGGTCATCCTGTAGTCTTAGTCTGTGTTAGTGTGCACAGCTGTCTGTTCCACAATCCCTATAGAATTGATTTTTCATAAACTAAACGTTTGGAGTTATAAATTTTTGTTGTCTAAATTTGTGCATATTTCAAATCCCATATTGACAAAAAATTTTTACAGTAAACTATACTGGATACCAATATTCTAAATATATGAAAATGAAGATCATATGCTATTCTAAGAGCATAATAACACCAAATGAAAAGTTGGTGATATTTTATATTTTTGCAGTCGATTTCAAAATCTGAAGTTTCCAATATTCAATTTTATCATTATTTTTTTATTTTCTTGTTTTTCAAGTTACACTGGTATCATTTAGACAAAGTTGGAGCATTTGCCTAGTAGATTATGCACAAAACATTTGAAAGCGTTTCAGAAAATTTTAGAAACTGAGCTCAATGTCACACATATGACGTTTTGTGCAGTTTAAGGGTTAAAAGTTTCAATGAGATCCGCTCTGTCATGCTGGTTTGCAGTGTTGTTAGACCTGTGGTCTTCAAGCGTTCCTGATATGAGCGATGACTCGGCTCTGGAATGACTTTTGTTGTCCGGTGTTGCACCTTCTCCGGAGCAGCTATGTCCTAAAAATGAGGTCTCCATGTTTGGATACAATAATCTAAGTGATTTTGATTTAGAAAGTTATTTTTATGTAAGTAATTACATAAATTTATGTAAGATATTTTAACGATTTAGAAAGCACCAGAGATTTATACAGTTGAACCATTACCTTCTTTTACTTATAATCAAAAGTGTGTTTAATTATCCCAAGAGTTTGTTTAACTTTTCTGACTGCTGCACCCATCCGTTGTGCCACTCTTAATGAGTGGTGGATCTTGACTCCAAGGTCCCTTTGTTCATCAATCTGCTGTAATGTAATGTGTTGCATCATTGAGAAAAATTCAAACCCACACTGTGTACAGGCAGTTCCCAAATTACGAACAAGTTACGTTCTAAGACTAAAGCATTGTAAAGCATTTGTTTGGAACGTGGATCAAGATTTTCCCGATTTTTTTTTACCCGAGGGCCACTAATCCTAGTACCTTCGACGAGGACAGGAAGCCAGTGACGTGTCGAGGGTCCCCCTTTTTGTCTTTAAGATCTTTTTCAGGTATATTTTAAAATTCAACACAGTTTGGGCAGTTACAGATTTGGCGGGTAGACAATTTCATAGGTTAACCCTTAAATGGTGCAGCCTTAGGGGTCAAGAAGCTAAAAATATTTGAATTATGTAAAAATTACTTAAAATTTTTAAACAAATCTCCAACTTATTGGCTTCACCGTCGTGAAACTTTCATTAAAATATTTTCAGAAATTGATTTTAGGCAATTTTTTTTTTTAAAGAAGAACGTTTTATTGATAAGGAAACAGCTTCCATTAACTGGAACTGATGGATAATGCAATAATAAAGAGATGCAAGCACCTGTCTGACACACAAAGAAGAAGAATAGTAGTAAGAAGTGTCCACAAAGTGGATATGCAGCTGGTGCATTTATGGTATTGCTGAGTAATATATAATAACACAAATAATAATGAATAAATATGTTATTATGCTCTATTTTGTTATATATCATAAAAACAGCGACCAATGTTAATATCTGTTACTTTCATCAATGTCCAAAAAAGATTTTTTTTTTTTGGGGGGGGGGTACATTTTCTTAAGTTTTAGCTTTTTTTTACTTTGTTTATTATCTAATTTTGTTGTAACTTTTACATCCTGGAGAGTGCATACCTGTCCCTAACTATGTGAAGATAGAATGAAATTGGTCAACAAATAAATCAGCCACAACTCACACAACTTGGAACTTAGAATTTTTTGGGCTGATTTTTTTTTTCCAGAGATTTAAAATTCTATTTTCTTTCTCTCTTTAGGTTGTTTTGGTGATTAGGGACCAGATTATGGCTTTTTCACTTATATAAAGTATACCCTAAATATATCCCCCTAAATTGTTATACAGTACTGTAATTATTATTATCCCTATTTTTTTTTCTTTATTCCATTTCAACACATATTGACCTACAACTTTCACATATTCGAGTACAAATGCCAAGCAATGTTTATTAAAATATAGAAGTAAAGTAACGAATTCGAACTACCTTTATTCATTGTTGATGACTTCAACTTCAATTACACTATCTCTAAAACTAGAGTTTCAACTTTGAGTGGCTTCTAAAATTCAAGTTTCTGACCGATTCTTACCATTTTGACATATTGTGTGCTCAGCTGTCTGTTCTACAATCCCTCGAGAATGGATTTTTCATAAACCCTAAACATTTGGAGTTGTACATTTTTTTGTCTAAATTTGCTGCACATTTCATATGCCATATTGACAATTTTTTTTACAGTAAAGTATACTGAAAACCTATACTGTATTCTAATTTGATGAAAATGAAGATCTTATGCTATTCTGAGACCATAACAACAACAAATGAACAATTGGTGATAGTTTGTATTTTTTAATCTGACTTGAAAATTTGAAGTTTTCAATATTCAATTTTATAATTATTTTTTTATTTTCTTGTTTTTCAAGTTATGTTGGTGATCAAGTGATGAAGTTGGAACATTTGCCAAGTTGATTATGCACAAAAAATTGGAAAGTACTGGTATTTGTGCAAGTTTTAAAAACTGATGTTATGTCCAATCTCATATGAATGTTTTGCAGCGTTTAAGGGTCAATAACCCTGTGGGTGAAAAAGCATCTACTGTTCTCAGTCCTACATTGTAGCTTGCTGAGCTCGAAACACGTTGCTCCTTGTTTGTGCTACATTTAACCTTTTGAAGAAAATGTCTGGATCAACATCATAACCATAAAACAATGGTTAACACAAAGAAAACTGTCATGCTAAATGGGACTGAATCTGATAAGAGAAATGTGGTAAGAAGAGTACTACAGGGGCCAATCCTTTATGTCATATATACATCAATGACTCAATGACATAGTAGAGAATATTACAAGCCACATCAAAATTGCAGACACAAAGATTTATTGTAAAGTGGGAATAATGATGTTGAAGCCTTACAAAGAGATTTACATTAACTTCACAAATTTACAACTCCCCATTTACAACTCTGGTAAATTTAAAACCCCCCATTTACAACTCGGGTAAATTTACAACCCCCTCATTTACAACTCGGGTAAATTTACAACCCCCCCCATTTACAACTCGGGTAAATTTACAACCCCCCCCATTTACAACTCGGGTAAATTTACAACCCCCCCCATTTACAACTCGGGTAAATTTACAACCCCCCATTTACAACTCGGGTAAATTTACAACCCCCCATTTACAACTCGGGTAAATTTACAACCCCCCATTTACAACTCGGGTATATTTACAACCCCCCATTTACAACTCGGGTAAATTTACAACCCCCCATTTACAACTCGGGTAAATTTACAACACCCCATTTACAACTCGGGTAAATTTACAACCCCCCATTTACAACTCGGGTAAATTTACAACCCCCCATTTACAACTCGGGTAAATTTACAACCCCCCATTTACAACTCGGGTAAATTTACAACCCCCATTTACAACTCGGGTAAATTTACAACCTCATTTATAACTCGGGTAAATTTACAACCCCATTTAAAAATCGGGTAAATTTACAACCCCATTTAAAACTCGGGTAAATATGTAACTGCATTAGTCAGTCTGCCCGAAACGCTATGTACTCACCTAGTTGTGCTTACGGAGGTTGAGCTCTGCTCTTTCGGCCTGCCTCTCAACTGTCAATCAATCAACTGTTACTAACTAATTTTCTTTCCCACACACACCCCCAGGAAACAGCCCGTAACAGCTGTCTAACTCCCAGGTACCTATTTATTGCTAGGTAACAGTGGCATCAGGGTGAAAGAAACTCTGCCAATTTTGTTTCTGCCATCACCAGGGATCGAACCCAGACCCTTGGATTACGAGTCCAAAGCGCTGTCCATTCAGCTATCAGGCCCCTTGTTAGGTATGTTAGTGGCTTTGCATAAATGTAAAAATACCAATCTTATGTAATTTCACCAACCCATTGTACTTTCTTGTGAATATATTATTATTATTATCACACCAATAATGCAGGCCTGCAATATGGATTATTCCTACAAGAAGCCTAGCTCTCATGGTCATTGATTATTACTATTTATTGGGTAATTTTAAGCAGTATCGCACCATGGCATTCAAAATAACCCAACACAGCCGACAGGCGTCAGCCTATCTAGACTGTAGACTTATGACAAATACCTTGGTGTTGAGGTTGTGGGGAGGAGTGAACCTGTCTTTCTCTTGTGTGAAGTCTGGCATGGTGCAGCGTGTGGTCGGTGCGGGTGGTGGAGCCTCACTACAACACTCCTCTGGCTCCTCACTTACTGCGACTCCTGTCAGCTGCTCTTCAGCCCCGTCTCGCACATTGTCACTAGAATAATAATAATGTTTATTCAGGTAAAAGTACATACACATAAAATGAGTTATAAACATAATGTTGAATTTATTTATTTATTTATATACAAGAAGGTTTATGCGGTATATGAGCGTACATAGCATTGACGTTTTCACATTCTTGTAAAGCCACTAACACGCATAGCGTTTCGGGCAGGTCCTTAATCTAACACCTAATTTTAAGTAGGTAATTTCTAGCAAAATTTGAAGAATATTAACAGGTACATTGTAAGAAAATTTGAAGAAAATTAATAGGTACACTGTAGTAAAATTTGAGGCTTATCAACAGGTACATTGTAGCATAATTTGAGAATTATTAATAGGTACATTGTAGTAAAATTTGCGTTCGATATAACAACCATGATATAAGTTGATAGCAGTGATTACAATGATGAAATTGCATGGCTGAGGCACATATGCTGGGGGTTTGGGTAGCATAAAATACAGTGAGAGTTTGAAGCACTAGGTAGGAACTATGAGGATGAAATTAGATACTGTAACGTACGTTTATGTTGCGTTGTTTGGTTGATTAGATACGCAGAGTTTAGTGGTTTTTATATTTATTTAGTAGTCTTGGTTACATCAGTTGGTTGTTGGCAGTGTCGTAGAAGTTAAGACGAAGCCTGGATCAGAGTGGCCGAGTTTAGTGTCCTTTTGTATATCGCATAATCATATATCCTTTCCCTTCACCTATTATAATATACCTTTTCTTATTTTCCCCGCTCTCCCTCCCTCTCCCTCACACTACTCACGCTATTGTTCCACTACCTCAGGTAAATTTAAATATCCCGCCAGTCTTGTCCACATCCCTGCGGTGCAGTCATGTGCCATATTTCGACAAATACATGTGAGTTTAGTGATCAAAATTGTATTTATGGAAACAAAAGGAATAGGTACATATAGTATAGTGTAAATAAAACATAAATATTTAATATGCACGTTAAATCATGAGGTTTTGTATTGATTCAGAGCAACTTAAAGTTGTTTAGTGATCCATGACTGCGTACCGTACCCTGGAGAGTCAGTCATATGATTCCTCAAAACATTAGTAGACGAATCTCTCCTACAGGTATGGCTGTCGCTGCGGCTCAAGGCAAACTTATTGCCGTTATTGGCGATGAGGTAAGATTCGCAGTAATTTACTTAGATCAGGTCATTGTCAAGTGAGTTACTATTAGTGATGAAGGTTTTGATTGACAAAATTGATAATACTTGGGTTTTGTAGAGGAGGATGCCACACTTCCCTGGTGACCATTTAGCAACAGAGTCCTGAACCTCTCAAAGCACAAACATAGTTATCACTGACGTCACTCCTTAAGCATACCACCTTTTTGTGGTGTTTTTGGGTCGAATACATTGTTACCTTATATGCTTCCCAAAATTTATTCCTGCACATAAGTACATTTTCTTACAATGTACCTGATGTATTGTACCTGTTACATTTGTACCCAATGTATCTTTTTTTCAATTTTGCTAGAAATTACCTACTTAAAATTATCTGTTAGATTAAGGACCTGCCCTAAACGCTATTCGTGTTAGTGACTTTACAAGAATGTAAAAATATCAATGTTATGTACTCTCATAAACCCAATGTACCTTTTTGTATATAAGTAAATAAATAGATAAAATGTAGAGCCATACTCCATGGGACTATCCAAATGGGAGGACAGAGAGCTACCCTCAATTACCCCTAATTCCCTCAGATATTCTGCCGTCATTGCCTCCCACAAGAACATAAGTAAAATCGAAGTGGGAGGAGTGGTCTCTGAAGATCTTGGTACGGCCTAACTGGGGTTGACCCTAAAGCTGTCAACTCCAAAATAATACCCACTGGAACCTGCTGCACATCAAACCTGGGTTATTTTTGTACCCTCGCCAGCAATGGGGAGCAGAATGGCCAAATGAGTGGAAGATGTTGGAGTCCCATGTCCATCGACAAAATCATGAGCAGAATGAGCTCATGCCTGAAAAGCCACTACCCGAGAAGGAACTTGACTTAACATTAGACTTTTATCTTTCACTTCCTTAATCTTTTTAAATACTTAGTGATATTGCACCCTTGTGTTGCATTTGAACTGGGTCACCCTGCAGCTTCCTACTGGAAGTGTCAAGAAATAGATCTTGTTTAGAAATCTTTAACATGATTGTTCCACCCAGGCATAGTTTACCTTTTCTTCTGTTCTTTTAGTGATATTGTCATATCAATACAGTCTTATAAAATGATGCCAATATTCCTATACTGTACTATGCTGTAACAAAATACTCTGAATATTTTTTGCCAGATGTGTAAAAATATAGTGCGAACACATACACACTTGGTGGGTGATACGGACCTAGCAGTAAATGGTAATAATAATAATAATAATAATAATAATAATTTATAATAGTTTGTGATCTACCAGTAATGCAACCACTATTGTATTATAGGGGTGACAGTATACTTACAACATATCTGCTGATACTTTCTCCAGCTGAGGTGTACTAGGCCTACCCCCCAGGGAAAAGTACTCCCAAATTAACCTAGCACAGGTTATGAACAGGTGGATGTAATTATTGGCTTTATTCTCACAGAATCCACTATCCATAACAAAACCAAAAAAGATGTCAGTCTCCGTGGTGTAGTGGTAAGACACTCGCCTGGCGTTCCGCGAGCGCTATGTCATGGGTTCGTATCCTGGCCGGGGAGGATTTACTGGGCGCAATTCCTTAACTGTAGCCTCTGTTTAACGCAACAGTAAAATGTGTACTTGGATGAAAAAACGATTCTTCGCGGCAGGGGATCGTATTCCAGGGACCATAGGATTAAGGACTTGCCCGAAACGCTACGCGTACTAGTGGCTGTACAAGAATGTAACAACTCTTGTATATATCTCAAAAAAAAAAAAAAAAAAAAAAAAAAAAAAAAAAAAACCCTGGCATTGCCTATTGACCTTTCCTCTATGAACAAAATCTCCATTGGATAGAGATTTAAGATTTACAATCAAAACATGTTAGTCAAGCTCAAAAGCCTCTGATGGAAGCACAGTGTAAAAATTCCCCCAAAACCCACCTTACATTGGAATCTGCTCTAAGTTGCATTAGTACATCAATGATACATGTCAAGAGTGGTGGCCAGTCATTATTTTAAAGAAACTTAATCAACTGAAATTATTGAGGCTGCAAAAATAGGCAGATACCACCAATAGGGATACTTCAGTGCACCTCAATGTTTCACTATACATTTTGTAGAAGCAATTTATTTTTTTGGAATATGAATGCCATAAAGTACACTTGTTAAGTGAAAGTATGCTGTATGCTTATTCAGATCAACGACAGTGGCATTCTTTTTCTTAGATATGTTTTATGAGAGCTATGACTAGCAAAAGCAATTTACAAATATGATATAATGAAAATGGTTCTGTCAGGATGGTGATGAAACAGGGAAACGAGCTGTCACTAATACTGTAGTTGTATAACTGGTTGGACTAGAGTTTGATTCCCAGGCAAGGTGAGGCGTTTGAGCACATTTTCTTGTACCCGAAGCCTCTCTTCACCCAATTTAATTCAATTTCTTTTTTTTTATTATGCACCCCATACCCATTCCATGGGTGTTGGTGGAAAGGGTTATAGAGGAACATAAAGGGTTCAGGAACTGAACCCCATAGTTTATTTAGCTAAACAAGTGACAATCTTTTGAAGCTAATTTCACACTTGTTAATGTTACATATGCATGTACATATATATACTGTACAATCATTTACACAAATATATACTGTACATATCAATTATCTTATTATTATATCACAAGTGATTCAACAAGAGGCTCACGAGTCACTATACTATGGAAAAGGAACCATCTCTCGCTGTTACAACTGCACTTCCAGCTGCACCATAAGACTGGTGCAAGGAACCATCAATGTAAATAATTTGGAAAAGGGAGCACTCTCTGTCCAAAGTATCAATTTGGCTTAAGGCATTGTACTTTGCTTCTTGGCAAAGCAAGGATTGTTCTTTAATCTGCTTTTTGGGTGGGAAAGGGGGAAAGTAATTTGGAAAGGGGTGATCTCCGATGGGGCAGGAAAGTGTCGTTGTTGTCTCTCTTGGTAGAGGTGATGAATATTATACATTATAAGTACAGTGGCAGTTTTGGTAATCCATTTGGGGGGATGCTAATCTACAAGAAAGAAGGCTTGGAGGGCTTCAGTGCAGGGGTTAGGGTGGGTTAGCCTAAGCATCTTGATACCAATTTAAGCATTAATTTCAGTGATATGATCACTTACATTCTCTTCACCCCAGCAATAAATAATACCTGGGGGTTTGGCAGATGTTGTGGGTCGCATTCTGGAAAAGGTTAGTCGCTGGCCTAGGGAAACCTCGATAAGCCTAACAAGTATTCTAAGCCAAATTCTAGAGAATAATGCACTGATGTTCACACTGTCTAGGTGTTCACACAGGCCAAGATGGGAAAATTTTGGTATAGTTTGGCTGATATTAGGTTCACACTTGCTTAACTGTAGAGTTACCATGGATACAGAGTACTGTACACTGTATGAACATAAGAGGTCCATGGCTCTTCAACATCCTACCAAATACTAGTATAAGAAATATTATTGGAACATAACTGGAAACAAGAAACAATAGGAAAAGTTCCTATTCAAGAAACAATAAGATAAGTTTCTGCTGGAAGTGCTTTACCTGCCAGATTGTGATGGATGCATGGACCTGCGAGCTGCTTCAAGTACAGTGGAACCTCTATTAACGAGTGGCTCTATTAACGAGTTTTTCCAGTAACGAGCAAGCCACTCGCAGCAAATTTGTCTCTATTGACGAGCTCGCCTCTAACGAGTGAAACCACATGGCGCTTCCTAGCGTCTCGCGGGTTCTCGCAAATTCTCGGACGCCTCCGACGCCAGTGTTGTTGTTGTATCTCACACGACAAGCATCCCTCTGGATTTATTTGAGCTTTTCTTTGGGTTTTTAGTGGTTTTGCGACTACAATTTGTAACACACGATGTCTCCAAAGAAGCTGCTTGCTAAAGATAGTGTTTTCAAGAGGAAGAAAGACACAATTATTATGGATTTCAAGAAGGAAATTATAGCAAAGCATGAGTGTGGTGTCTGTGTGATTGATCTCACAAGGAAGTATGGCAGGTCCTCATCAACAATTTACACCATTAGTAAGGGAATGAGGAGGTAAGGGAGGATGCTGCCTCTTCCACTGAGATCAGGGAAGTGTTTGGAATGTTTGAAAAGGTGAACGCATTCTTAGAAAAGCTGCCCTGATAAAGCAGTGACAACCCAGTGTGTGAAAATGTTTAATTAATTTATCACTTTGTGATAACACTTTATGAAAGTGTTATCACTTTCGCAGGTATATGTCGCTTGAACGTAACACACTTTTTTTCTCTTGAATGCACCCAAACACCGTGCTCAAGCATCATTTGAGCAAATATTTCTATAAAATCCAATACTTATCCGATCGACTTGGGGATTGTATACATGTTTGCCATGAAATTTCCGTTTTCTTTAATAACCACATTGCCTATTTGAGAAAACGGCATTGTATTGTATCTTCGTGGTAAGACTATTATATTGTTGACACAACGAGTGTAATCAACGTAGTTTTTTTATTTGGTGCTGGTCTAACGCATCCTTGTGTGACATTTGAAATGAAATTTGGGTGAAATTCCCAAGAAGAGAGAGTCCGCCTGACTCAGAGGTGAATTCTCCTTCCACACCATAACCCCTCTCCTCCTTCCCACCTCTCCATCGTCTCCCTCAAGCCAGCAACTACTCTTCATAAGGTAAAGTAAATATTAAAACACTACAACAAAACATTTATATTTACATGTGCAGTATTATATTTACATAAAAAAGTCATACAAGTATGGATGTTTTTGGGAGTGGAACGGATTAAATTTATTTCCTTTATTTTAAATGGGGAAATTTGTTTCCAAAGACGAGTTTTCCAGGTAACGAGCTCGGTGCCAGAACGGATTAAACTCGTTAATAGAGGTTCTACTGTAATAGCTTTACTAAAAAAAGGATCACAAGACAAGCCTGGTGAGTAGAAGAATTCTCAGAACCAATTAAAATATAGATAAAACTACAGATAAACTACAGGTAGGGGGTGGTTTGGGGAGGTGCTACCATTTAGCACCTCACCTAGTGGCTGGGGTAGACAGACAGGTGACCCAATTGATAGTTATCAACGGTGCTCAGTTGGTTGCCACTGGTGGTGCTGGGAATGGGTAAGATTTTGAGTTTGTTCTTTGACCTTTCTGGAGATATGATTATTCTTTGTTTCCTAACACCAGTATGACCCTACAGGGACCATTTAACAAGAATGGGTTTTGTTAGTGAGAACATTGCTAGGCCTGTTGTTAGCAATCCTGGCCAATAGTCACCGAGGGTCTGATTTTAGAAAATGTATATTCTGTAGTTGTATAAAAATACTAATGCTAGTAATACCAATATTAATGTACTGTTCTGTACAGCACTTCTAATATTTCTACTTGTGTTGCAGGACACGTGTGTTGGCTTTTTGCTGGGTGGTATTGGTGAGGTTAACAAGAAGCGAGAGCCTAATTTCTTGGTAGTGGACAAAAGTAAGTTGATTTGTTCATGAAGTGTTTTCAGGGTACAAGATCTTGCTTTTATGAGAACAGTAATGTACAGTGGTACCTCCATTTTTTTAATTTAATCCAATCCCAGAGACAGTTCAAAAACCGAATTTTCCCATAAGAAATATGGGAAATGTAAATTTAATTAATCTGTTCCACACCCCCAAAAATATTAACTTAAAAATACATTTTATATATACTACTACAGTACTAATATTTTGTACTACACTATGTACAAGTATATCTTACCTTTATTGAGGACTCTTATTAGCATATGGAAGACAGTGAGGAGAGGGGAAGGAGAAGAGGTGTTAGTGATTGGAAGGGGTGTCCCCATTAATTATGACATCAGGCAGTGATGACATTTCTGGGGTACTCTCTTACGTTTTGCAGGCATACCACTAGGACCTGGTTGTGGCTCACTGCTTGTTTGTCTCACTAAAAACCTATCTATCAACACTTGTTTTTCCCTACAATTTAACACTTGTCTGAAGTGAGATATCACATTGTCATTAAAAAGGTTAACAGAATGGAAAAGTGAGGCACCACCTCGCCCGCGCCACCAGAACCACGTGCTCGATCGACCCGTATGTGTATAAACAAACTACAAGCAATGAAGCAAACCTCGAATACCAGGTAAAATTTTTAGAAGAAATTGAGCTCGAAAAACAAAAAATTAGAAAAGCAGGGTATTCGAAAACCGAGGTTCCACTTTATACATTTGTTTAAAGCTATACTGTATAGTACTGTACTGTATTATCATTTGTTTCTCTTTTAATTGTTAGCTAAGGAACACTTGCACCTGTGAATAGGGCTGAAGTCTGGTTAATTCATTTGAAGATTATTTACAAGTACAGTATGTATGTATCAAGTTCTTTAGTAATATCTAAAGCAATGAATGTTTTTTAATCAAACAAGTTTGTCTTGCGGTGTTTTACCACAATTTATTTTGCAAAGTTTTAAAATCAGTGCTTTCTTGTTTACATTTTTCAGATACTAGTGTCCAAGAGATTGAAGAATGCTACAAAAAATTTATGAAGAGAGATGATATTGACATCATTTTAATCAATCAAAATGTGAGTAGAGCAGTTATGTCTTCCAGCATTGGTTCCCCCCATGACTGTTTTTGTTGAAAACTGTTAAATGTAGTTACATAGCTGCTTTTTATCATGGTTTATGACTTGGTATATACTATACCAAGAGTAATAATGATTATTTAATGTGAGAACATGCTGCCAGCTTCCTGTCCCCATTGAGGCCACTAGAGAGGTGGCCTTTGGGTAAATTCAGGTACTTAATTAACACTTTCGCTTCTGGATAACGTTATTGTCGTTCTAAAATCCATACACACAGTTCGTGGGAGGACGACAATGCCTACCAAAATTAAAATATTTGTAAAAATTCCATTTAGTATCCGATTATTATATATTATGATTATATATATTAAAATGCGTGCCAATATCACCCCGTTCTCTATATTCCCTGCGTGCCATCCCTACACTGCTGCGTGGGTGGCCAAACGAGTCAATATGTGTGCCCTTTCCAGTTGATTTTACTGCTGTTATTTTTTGTTACTGTCTTTATAAACATGAAACATTACAAAAACAAATGATATAATGTATCATTAAATGTTGGGTATGAATAACCACTGTAAACAATGATGTAAAGTCATTTTTTTCACATGATGATGTACTCTTATCTTATTTTATTGATAATGTTGTGTTTCTATTTGACCTTATATGCATATATTCCTCTAGTGCATTCTATTGCGAACAATTTGATACCAAAATGAATGACGTAGCACGAACATTGAGGTGATAAAACTATAGAGTATTAACATTGAAGTGTCGTTGTCAGTTCACGGGCAACGCGTGGGCTACCTTGCGGTGCACTGCGGGTGGCCCGCTGGGGCGGCCAAAGTATTAAAATATGAGGCTTATTATCTTGGTAAGTTTATTAATAAAATTGCACTAAACTTTGCCAGTACAGTCCAGTACTATGTTATTTATTTCAGTGCTGTGCTTTTTTGTTTGAAACTACAATTATGATTATGCTGAAAGGTAATCTAAAAGTGAAGTCTTATAAACTTGTTCTTCATGGTATGTACAATTTGCAAAAAAAAAAAAGATTTTTTTGCTGATTGTACAAGTCTTGGTCTGGTTGGTTACTGTTATTCATAAATTTAGACGAGTGTCGTTACTTAGAGGTAGGCTTAGTGTGAGCAGTCGGTAATGATGATAATGACAGTTCCTACTACTGTACAGTGGTAGATCACCTTCTGCTGCTCATTAATACTGCACAGTGGAAGGTTACGTCCTGCTGCTCACTAATACTGTACAGTGGAAGGTTACCTCCTGCTGCTCACTAATACTGCACAGTGGAAGGTTACCTCCTGCTGCTCACTAATACTGTGCAGTGGAAGGTTACCACCACCTGCTCATTAATACTGTACAGTGGAAGGTTACCTCCTGCTGCTCACTAATGCTGTACAGTGGAAGATTACCTCCTGCTGCTCACTAATGCTGTACAGTGGAAGATTACCTCCTGCTGCTCACTAATGTTGTACAGTGGAAGATTACCTCCTGCTCACTAATACTGTACAGTGGAAGATTACCTCCTGCTCACTAATACTGTACAGTGGAAGATTACCTCCTCCTGCTCACTAATACTGTACAGTCGAAGATTACCTCCTGCTCACTAATACTGTACAGTGGAAGATTACCTCCTCCTGCTCACTAATACTGTACAGTGGAAGATTACCTCCTGCTGCTCACTAATACTGTACAGTGGAAGATTACCTCCTGTTGCTCACTAATTCTGTACAGTGGACTCTCGGTTCCAAAGAGTATGCCAGACCTGATATTTTTTTGCCAACAAATTTAAGATAAATTGACACTATTTTACAGCAATTTTTTTTAAAGTGATTTAGGTACAGTATCAAAATGTGCTCATAAGTATGTTCTGCCAGTTTTAAATAAATAAATATCTGATATGTTATATCAGCATTTTTCATAAAGTAAATTTTTTCCTTTTCTGTGTTCACCCAACAGATAGCAGAGCAAATTCGACATGTCATTGACACAGACAATGACAATCCTCTTCCAGCAGTCCTAGAGATTCCGTCCAAGGATCACCCATATGACCCGACCAAAGATTCTGTTCTGCGAAGAGCCAAGGTAACTGGAATTCCTTTTGGTGTGTAATTACAGGATGAGAGCTACGCTCGTGGTGTCCCATCTTCCCAGCACTCTTTGCCATATAACCCTTTGAAATTACTGACAGTTTTGACCTTCATTACATTCTCACCTAACTTGCTTCGTCTACCACTCTACAGTATTTGTGAAAGTGAATTTTCTTATATTTCTTTGGCATCTTTGTTTAGTCTAAATCTATGACCTCTTGAAGTTCAAGGTCTCAGAAATTTTTCTCTATCAATTTTATCAATTCCTGTTGCTATTTTGTACGTAGTGATCATATCACCTCTTTTTCTTCTATCTTTTAGTTCTGGCATATTTAACCCTTAAACTGCGCATGGCGTATATATACACCTGACCACCACTTACGCTCTGTCAACGCCTACATTTTGCCAGACTTCCTCAGCCTATTGCACCCAAAATATGTCGCCTACGATTTTTTTCTTATTTTTCCCGTGCTCGGGGAACACAAATTCACATTTTTAGGAGACTAAAAAAAATTTAAGATTTTTTTTTCTTGCTCACGGGGTGTAAATCTCCTCAGGACCCCTTAGCAGCTTAAGGGTTAATGCCTCAAACCTTTCGTCCTTCAGTTCTGAGAGCCACTTAGCGGCTTGTCTTCGCATCTTTTCCAGTTGATGTGCGTCTTATATGGGCACCATACAAACGCTGCATATTCCAGCTTTGGTCTAACAAAATTTGTGAACCATTTCTTTAATATTTTTGCCATCCGTGTATTTAAAAGCAATTCTGAAGTTAGAAAGTGTAGCATAGGACCCTTGCACAATGTTATTTGTGTGATCCTTAGGTGATATTTTCTATCTAGAACCCACCCCTAGATCTCTTTATCAGAATTCTTTAAAGATTTCTCACAATTTATAGGTTGTGTGGGGTCTGTTCTCCTATTCCATGGAGAAAATGGAATAGTTCTCCCATTCTCCTATGGCAAAAAAAAAAAAAAAAAAAAAAAAAAAAAAATTGCTGAAAAAGCCACTTGCTTGTACCTGTCCCATCTCCCCAAAGTCAATTCTTACTCAGATTTCTGCCATTGTATGTACTGTAATGTTATCTGCAACCATTATTTTTCTAACAGTTACTATGAGTAACAAATTATACACCATCAAATGTAAACTATTATTGAAATAGAAAAGTAATCTTAATCATGTGTGTGGTCGATACGTAATTTAACTTGTGGAACAGACCTGCACCTTACTGTCAGGATTGGTCACTCGCCACCTAGTAGAATGTTCTGATTTTTGGGAGCGGAATGTGTGCTTTCCCCGTTTCTTTTTGCCACATTTCCCTAATTAAAATCATTGGTAAATCTGGTCTTTCTACACTTACAGAATAGTCAGGATGCCAGTATAACAGATGGTTAACTGTACAGCCATATTGGCTCAGCACTATGATATTTAATAGAAATATTTACATTTCCAGGGTCTGTATAGTGCTGAAGACATGCGCTAAACTGATCGTTAGGACTAACCTAGATGCTGGCAGCCCCTCGTGTTATTGTTGGGAGAAGATAATACAGTAGTTCTGTATTGTGTGCGCATTCCACTTTGAAATTCTTTTACATTTTATGAGGGTCTTTCAAGAAAATTGTAGGCAACAATGATGTTAATTGGGTTATGTGTTAGGAATATGTCTTGTATAGTATAAATGTTTGTAAAAATGTGAAGGTATCAAATACATTAAAAAAAAAAAAAAAATTGTTTGATTTCTCAAAATAGTTTGGAATCATTTCTTAAAATAACAAAAATTTATCCATTTTATTAGGCACCACTAGATGCATTTACACTGATACACAGTTTGGAGGACGAACAGTTAAAGATGTAACAAGACTAAACTGTGAAGTATTTTGAGGCTCTGCATGGTCACTATCAAAATAAATCACATTAACATGCTATGAAAGTTCTGCATGACATCTTCTCACATCCCTACAAACCTACTAAAAAAAGAAGATATAATATATATTATATTTTTTGCTGTTGATCAGCAGTGACAATATACACCTCAATGTTATTTTAAATTACAATTACCACTTGTTACAAATATTCAAAATATGATTCTAACCACTATTGCTGTTTACAAAAGTCACTCGGCCAAAAATACTATTGTTTAATGATTAACATGTCAATCCAGGATGCAAGCCGGCAATAAAATAACTTGCATGTTCCAGTGCCTGGTCGTAGACCTAAAATCCAACCAATGGGTTAAGGTTCATGCACATACCTTTTCAAGTAGCCATTGCTGTTAATAAGTACAATTGTTAATGCATGTAATTATTTGAATCCTAATTTAAGTTGACCGAGCTCCTGAAATGAACTGTCTTCATACTAGTTAACAAATTATTTACACCAATACTAGGATCACACAAATGTACATATCTTACAATATTCTCATTTTACTTAACTACATTAGATCATCATAAAATTAAAATTTATATATAAGAAAAACCATAAATGGTGGCACCATCTAAATAAATCAATGAGCAGTAAAATATTTTATTTTATACATGGTGCAAATTTTTTTCAAGAACACCATTGACATAAAATAAATTATATAATTTTTCTGACAAAGTACAGTATTGAGAAATGATGCCAGTATTAAGACTTTCAGTGTTTTGACATCTACCATAACATCCACTTGCTAACACTACAGCTGCTCTTACAAACACTCAGGACTGGTTTTCTGCAAAACATTCCTTTGAGAGTATAAAGGACCTAGTATGGATAATTCACTAGCATAGATTAATAATGGATTAACTTCTTGGTATTTACTTTTAATGCTCTTGCATAAGCAAGCCGTTATCTGATCTAGTGTCATTCTTCTTCCCCCCCCCCCCTTCATCATTAATGCATCAAATCAACAGTTTATTTAACCTCACTAGGGGTGAATGAGCATATCAGTATGAAGCAGCATGCCATCAAGACCCCTTTCAGCAGGTGTTTGTTTGTATATGTAAATGTATATATGCATATATATTTACTTCCAAATAAGTAACCATGTTTATAATGAAATATCAATACCTTATACAATTATTTTTATAAAGCACAAGATGAAAATTACCATTACATGTGGCAAACAAATGCATAACCACCACTAACTGCCATTTTCAAAAATGAAAATTCCAAATTTATATTATCATCCACCCAATAAGGTTATAAATGATTTTGGGATTAACATGAACAGTGTTGTTTATGTTAGAATGTTTCATGTTCTTCCAGAATGTTGAATTTCACAGTTAAACATTTTTGAACTACACGAATGCCAGAGTCCTGTACATTGCCATTAAATATGCTTTTATACTGGCACTATATGTCAAGATAAATAAAATGCTGTACCCTCAAAAAAAAAAAAAAAAAAAAAAAATTATATACACTGAAGTAGATGGCTTGCCCATTATTCACACACGATTGTGTACTGTGGTACAGTGCAGGACCATCTATTACTCCATCTTACTCCTGTTTGCTAAATTTAGTTCTTTGAAAATCCTGCCTCTTATGACATACAAAAATGATCATAGTACACTATTAAAAGCTACATTAAGGACTTATGTCATAATAAACAGTGCAGACATTACCTTGTTTGAATATAAAATAAACACAAGCATGACATTTCCATATACTGTACTATATAAACATGGAACTTAACAATTTAACAGTATAACGAGTGTGTGTGTAAAAATAATGCATTTAAAAAGAAGCCAATTAAATAACACTTAATTTTTTTGAGAAAGACGTGAAATGAGAGAATTTAAATGTGTTATTTCGTGTCATTAACTTTTTTGGTCCCCGAGTACTGATTTTTTTAGTTGTTTATGCTTCCAAAGTATAAAAAAAACTATCATAGCCCCCCTTAAACTTTGCTTTGACCTTGTTTTTTAGACAGCTTAGGGAAGATGTCTTGAAGGCTGCAGACTCCTTACAATTCTAGATAAGGAGTCAGCAGCATTTAAATAACCTTCAAAACATCTTTCCTAAGCTGTCTTGGGTAAAGGTCAAAACATATTTTAAAGGAAAATAATCACCATTTTCTATGCATTCAAGGTAAATGCAATTAGAAAATAACACTTGCTACTCAAGGACAAAAATTGTTACATATAATCCAAGTGTTAAGAAGATTAAGCTACGGTGAATGTGAAATACTCACAAAATGGTAAATTATAATTAAGGAATATGATAATGATCCAAGTGATGAATATGCTGGGACTTATAAACAGATCAATACTGTGTGTGGATCATGAGAAGATTTTAGTCAATTGCATTTTTGAATGTAATTTGCAAAATTAAATACTACAGCTTGTGAGAACTAAAGTACAAGTGGTAAATCAAAAGGTTAGCAGCACACAATTAAAAAAAGATACATAACACATTTATTAAATACGAAAGTAATTAAGGAAATTCCAGTCTTAATCCTGCCTTTGTGGTCTGACACTGTCATATAGATATATCTAGATATATAAATATATCTAGATATATAATTTTTTTTACATACTCTCATACTGTATATACATATAAAAACAAATGATGAACCAACAAATATTTTGCAATGGTGACACTCACAATCGAAATATGAAAAAAAAAGTCTGATGGTGCCTCACTCCAACCACCATTTTACCAGTTGCTTGAACAAGTTTTAGGTTATCACACAATATGAGTGACAACACAATGTAGATAGAGAATGGAGAACAAACGGAGCAAGAAAAATAGATTAAGGCAGAACAGAACAAAACAAAACAAAAACTACTTAATGTAAGGATATTACTGCTTCTGTATATTGAAATAAACCCCAATGCCTGATGATACTGTATACTGTACTTATATAACAAAACATTTCATAATGGGATTCAAACATTGGAAAATGTGTCAGTGCTAATGTTTAAACACAGTATTCATGATATCAAATATATAACATTACTGGTCCTTTTGATATACAGTACCTAATTACAGATCTTGTCTTAAATGGAAAGTGTATTTGAAAGTTAGTCATAACATCTCATATTTTGAAAGTGATTAAGTGATGCCTTACAAGGCCTCCACTTTCATCTGCTTCTGCTCCCATCTGAGAAAGCTGTAGACCAAACCACACACTAGAAGGTGAATGGACGACAACATTTCGGTCCGTCTTGGACCATTCTCAAGTGATTGTGAGAATGGTCCAGGACGGACCGAAACGTCGTCGTCCCTTCACCTTCTAGTGTGTGGTCTGATCTACATACTTCAGCCACGTTATTGTGACTCATCGTCTGCATCTGAGAAAGCTTTTGACCTCAACAGCAAACTAAGAAATGTAATGTGTAACCTGAAGAATTATGCAATTAATTAGGTTGCAAACATGAATCACGAGCATTTTCAAAATAGTCAAACTATCCATGTCTTCAATTAATAAACCAATTTTGTCTCACCATAACCTTTTATTACAATTACTAATACAGTACAGACTTTCAAACACGATGTTATTTTGGGATAAACAAATATTTATACTGTATGTCCTAATGTACATTTCGATTTTGTGTTTACTGTGAAACTGTAGAAAATATATAGCACAATACTATATGAACAGCAGATATATACTGTAATGTACAGTACCATACAAATAGCAGATATAATGCACCTTACCATATACTCAGCAGATATAGTACAGTCCTATATACACTGTAGATATATAATGTACAGTATCATATACACATCAGATATAGTACAGTCCCATATACACAGCAGATATATAATGTACAGTACCATATAAACAGCAGATATGGTACAGTCCCATATACACAGCATATATATAATGTACAGTACCATATAAACAAGATATGGTACAGTCCCATATACACAGCAGATATGGTACAGTCCCATATACACAGCAGATACGGTATAGTCCCATATACACAGATATATAATGTAAAGTACCACAAACAGTAGATATAAATTATTTGCACTCGAGTAATTGGTCATATTTTTAATTTTTTTATTATAAAAACATTTACTTGAGCTAAGCCTGTGGTGACCTGTTATTTTGGTGCTTGTTAGTCTTTCGTGCCTCCCATCAATTACAGTATGTCACAATGCTGCACCAATTATAACTAAACCATAGTTTATCTGCTTCTCAGTGTTCATAAAATATGTTAAACCTAATATTTGTAATACAGTGATTATTCCACCATTAAGATTTGGAATGACATTTTAAGAAAAATAATATTGTAAGGAAAATGTTAGCGTTTGTTAAAGTATTTCACTTTTATTAATAATAACCGAATATTAAAAATGTCCCGACTACACCTTGATTGGTTACCTATTAATGTACTGAAAATGTTTTTGAAAATCTAGCAATCATAAAAATATAAACACGTAACATTCCAGTCACTGTTTAAATGATCACATGAGGAGTTATGCTTTGTAGCCACCACCATCATCATGCCTCTCAAGTTATATTATCTATGTACTAGCTCCTATTCCAGCTACTGGCATTCATTAGTTAGTACCAGAGTAGCAACAGTGTACATTATTTGTTGTGTACTATTATCTGTTCCAGCTACTGATGTACATTAGTATCAGAGTAGCAACAGTGTACATTATTTGTGAAACAGAAAACAAAACTATGTATTTTAATAGACACTGCTCATTATAATCACTACTAATGTTAACATAAGCATAATGTTATATGAAAGTTTAATAGAGAGATAGCTCAAACTCAAAATACACATATACACTATTTTACATTGCATTCTATTCTCATATATTAACAAGTCAATATTTTTTCTAAAATTGGAAGTACTCTTATAAATTACACTCTTTCAAATATGTTTGAAAAAAACATGTGTATTATTTTCTGCTTGGTACTCAGCAGCCTTACCACATAATCTAAGTGACAAGCCTTATCACAATAAACAAATTATATTATCACATCTCCTATCATTGTCATGTCTTCATATAAGCACTCAAATTATTTCCGGCTTGCTAATGAAGCATTAAAATTATTAACTCACCAACAGCTAATCACACCAGCAACTGCAGTAATGTAAAACTAATAACTGTTGTCTTACCTAAAATTTGAATTACAGTATTCATCAAATTTATAACCAAAGAAAAGAATTCTACTTACCATATTTGCCGCCGTATAAGACACGATTTTTTATTTTTAAATGTATTAAAAAATTGCCTGCATCTAATGCAATCATATTACGGATGTGAGACTGAGCGCCATAGGCTAGGGAGATGGACGAGCATACTGGGTAAGTTTGCTATCCACAAAAATCGTTGCTAATAATAAAATATTGAAAACTAGCCAAGTTATCATAGTCTGTTATCCCAAACTTACGAAAAATTGCTTACGATATGTTGGCAGTTATGAAGGAAGCTCACATCTCACCACCTTACCCAGCATACATAACCCATACCTGATATATGTCATACAAGATTTAACGACTGTGTTACTATTAAGAAACATTTATTCATTATCTAAATGAAAAATACTCCTAGAAATTTGAAAGGAATGTTAAACTTTCATCTGCCTGTCAGCCATTTGCAATGAATGAATGACAAAAAACCAGAGCACTGTGATGGTGCGCCACCACCGGCAGACTGGCCTGATGCGGCAACACAAAACATCACATCCAGAAATACAAGTTTCACATCCTGTATAACAAGTCTCTTGGCCAAAATATAAGCAATTATACAGCTGATCTTAGATGAGGTAAGAGTTGGGGTACAAAATTCACTTTAAAATATCTTTTTAAAATGTATGATGAAACATACTAAAATATTTTTTCCACAAAATATCCTTGTAAAATAGGGGTGCGTCCTATACGAGAGTGTGTCTTTTACCCCAGCAAATACGGTAACCTTTAGAATGATGGTCTGCAAGTCTACTGGAGACCAGTGTTTCCTATCTCTGGTAAAATGGGTATTGATGTAAAGTACCACGATAGAGATGCAGACACACACATCTTTTATTATGTCAAGGAATAATCATCCAAATATATGGATAGGAATAATTAAAAAAAATGTTGTCTATAAATGTCCTTACAAAAAAAAAAAAAAAAAAAAAAAATTACTTTGTAACATTCCTCTAAACAAGAAATAAAATTCAACAGCAGAAAAAGAAGCCAAGAGATGACAATATCCTTACAAACAAACAGTGCACATTATAAAAACTTCACAAAATGTTCTTGAAATGTTGATATGGTAATGCATTACTGTCCTCCGTTCATGTTAGTAAATTTTCTTGTAGTAAAGGGCACGGCAGTGGGGAAAAATGTTCAATTTCTTATCAAACTATTATTAAAATGCTTCAAAGCATTTTAATTTATAAAAACAAAAAACTTGCATTTCAATGAGCCAAACATCCTAACCACAACAACATATACGACACATTCACTGCACCCAAATGAGCTGGAAAGGTTGTGATGCTGTAGTTTAAGCAGGTGATAGAGAAGCTCCATCCACTAAGTAATCCTTCATGCTGCCTGGCCGTGTTGAATTCTGAGCGGCAGCTATCATGTCATCCCGGGAGCCTCTATGGGAAAACAAGGTAGTGTTACCAGCGTAAAACCTTCTCAATAGAGTGTCAACATAAGTTAAATGTATTTCACCCTCCAACATTACATAGAAAAAAGGTCCATTATTTATTTCCTTTTGGAATTCTAGTCAAACATTTCCCTTATACAGTATTCCACTGATTATCAGTAAATTATTAAACTGTACTTCAATTGTTCAATATAACGGAATGCTCTTTTCTAAGTTGTCTCTCAGTAGCTCCTCTGTACAGTATAGCCATGCCTTTGGAACACACACAAATTCTTAAGAACATCCACCAATCCTGAGACTTAACCTGGTCTCAGAGCCAGGACCAGAATCTGGCTCTCTCTACAAGGTGAATGGATCAAAGAGCTACCCAAAACCTATCAGGAAGTTAGGCACAATAAAACAACCAAGCCTAATTGTTGCGATGTACCCAGATTGTGTTACACGATCAGCTAGGCGGTGACTCGTATGTCAGGCTGCGAGCAGCACGTCCAACAGCCTGGTTGACCAGACGACCAACCAGGAGGCCTGGTCGGAGACCAAGCCGCAGGGCCGTTGATCCCCAGAAGCTACACAAGGTAGCTGCTGCCAAATGGCAGCCCAGGTTTCCCTTAGGTCTCAGCCAACCATGCACCACACTCATGAGCGACCAAAACCAAACCCCCAAAATTTCCGAGGAAGCAAAAGGAATGGAGAGCTCCTGAGCTTACTCCCAAAGGCACCTCAGCAGACTAAAATGGCTTTCCAGAAGGAACAATATAGAACAAGAAAGCCAGAAAGGGCGACCCATGGGAGAAGACACCAGATGAGTAGGGCCTGGAGGTAAAGGAATGCCACAGAGTGCCAGAACCCAATAGGTGGAGTATAGTTAAAAAACAATCAACAACCCTTGGATGCACCATCAAAGAACCCCACAACCAGATAGCAAGTGTGGGTTAAAGAGCCAAAATTGCAGATGGGGACACTCGTGGACAACAGACAGGTTATCTTGAGATGATTTCGGGGCTTAGTGTCCCCGCGGCCTGGTCCTCGACCAGGCCTCCACACCCAGGAAGCAGCCCATAGCCGCTGTAACTCCCAGGTACCTATTTACTGCTAGGTAACAGGAGCATTAGGGAGAAAGAAACATTTTGCCCATTTGTCTCCGCCTCCACCGGGGATCGAACCCGGAACCTCAGGACTACGAATCCGAAGCACTGTCCACCCAGCTGTCAGGCGCCCTTGACAGAAGGTAACATCTCGGAAAGCAAGCGACCAAAACTGAAGCGTAGGGGAAATGAAAGAAACCAGCACTGAATGTAATAAAATGCCAATTTCTGATGCTACAATGCTGAAATAGTGCCAATACAATAGTGAAATAGGTGCTATCAATCACTGAGTTCTTTCAGGCCTACTGGGGACCATGAGCCAGAACCTGGTCCCCACTAAAGAGGAGCACAGAGAAGTGGCACTATGATAAAATTGTCATTGGAATTTTAATCATGTCTGCCACCACCACATGGGAAAGCACCCACAAATTCAGGAAAAAAAGAAAAAGAAAAAAGGGACCACTGTCGGTTATATGAAATATTGTTCTCAAAATCACCAAAAGAATTCCCCCAACAATATAAACAAAACCAAAATTCATCAAACTAGCACAAGCTTGTTCACCCCACCTACTCCCCTCATATAGAGGGAGGAGGGAGGCAGACCAGGTCAGCCGGTTGCTCCACCCTTAGTTTTATGGTGATGGTAAAAACCATTCCTGACTTCCTGGGGAAGGGAGGGTGTCAGGGAGCCACTGGGGCTCACCCAGAAATTGGCATTTTATTACATTCAATGTTGATTTTTTGCGGGAGCCCCTTGTGGCTCACTACCAGAAAACAAGCCCCCCTAAAGCTACCTACCCACGGAAAAGGAAAACAAGGAAACTTACCAGGAAGGAGGGAACACAGCAGGTATCACAATGACGAAGAAACCACAGGCTGCTACACATGACATAAGGCCACACAAGGCTGACAAGGTGGAGGAACATTAACAAGATACCTGACTGCCAGCACTGTTTGGCCATCAAACCTCCCCACACTCATATACTGGCCAAACCCCCCCACACTGTATTAGCAAAGTCAGACAAAAGATCGGCAAACATCCAAACGTCATGGGCACGAGGGCTGATAGCAGACTGGCTAGACTTAATAATAACACTGCGGACGACCTGAGGAACATGGGCCCAGGGAAACCAGATCAACCGGCAATGAGTTCACCGAAGCAGAAGTGGTGGTACGAAGGTAGAAGCATAGAGCTGGCACTGGACAAAGCATATGATGCACTCCCAGATGATCCAACCATGCATCCACCATCAAAGTACTCCCTCCAGAAGCCAACCAATTAGTTCTTCACCAGAAAAGGAGCTAACTGCAGATGAACAAAATGACCCCCCAGGGTCAAAGGAACAAAAACCATGGCACTGAAGGAGAGCATTAAGTTCACCCAAATGATAACCAGAGGTATGAGAGCAAAAACAGAGCTTTATAAAAACAATCACAGGTCAAAAGGATAGAGTGGGGCCAGAGAGAAAGTAATATCAGAAGCAGCTAAGGAAGTGACCGAGCAACAACAGGAGTTTGAAAGACCTTAACCACCATCTTCCAGCAAAGAGCCAACACAAAGTGTATTGCTGATACATCCACCAACACAACCCAATGCAACATGAACCAGGAATCTGCCAATATTATGCATGGGGTGTATGCAAATGTGGGCTATCAGGAAGAACTAATGAAACATGTAAATATAAACATCCAAGAAACTGCAGAAATATCCTACATATGTTGCTCTGAAAATTGCAAATTTTTAAATGCAAAATAACTATGTACAAATTCACTAAATTAGGAGGAAAGTTTTAACAGAGATTGCCCACCATTTGAACCAAGCAAATAAAATCAAAAGAATGCAATTATGAATACAGCAACTCTCATATATACCAAGGGAATGTTTTAGTAAGAGAAAGAGGAAAAGAATGGCAAGAAATGTCCAAACTCTATCATCAACTCGGTCAAATGCTAAACAGGACACAGATAATGTGGCACCCCTTCCAGGACAACATATATCAACACCAAGTAAAATTCGCAGCGTCACATTCCATGCAAAATGCTGGAAAAAGTCATCAGAAAAAAGAATTGTAGACTATTTGGAGAGTAAATTTTATAACAAGAGGCACAACATGATTTCAAAGAGGGAAGATCATGCTTAAAAAACTTGACTGAATTCTATGACAGTCACCAAAATAAGACAAGAGAATGAAGGATGGGTTGACTACATCGTCCTAGAATACTAGAAAGTGTTTGAAAACAGTTCCCCTACAAAAGACTAACACACAAGAGAGAGAAAAGCAAAGATAATGAGAAATATAATATACTGGGTACTGGAGTACCTGATGTCAAGAGAGGATATGTCAGGCAGAAGAGTGAAAAGTGGTGTCCCACAGGGTTATGTCCTAGGACCATTGCTTTTTCTAATTTATGTAAATGACCTTCCTAAGGGAGTGAGCTCATACATGTCAATGTTTGCAGATACTGTAATGCAGCAAAATTAGTGAAAGAAACAACTGAAGAGAACTGTAGGATGCTGCAAGAAGACCTTTCAAACTTCAGGAGTGGACAGATAAATGGCTGCTGGAATTTAGTCCAAATAAGTACAAGGTAATGATGATGGGTGTGAGAGGGTACTTCTGCCTATGGGGCTCTTTTACTGCTTACTGTTAAGCTGAAGTTACTTAGCCAACATTGGGAATGCCAGATGTATGAAGTTCTCTTCAGGAGTCACTGCAAACACACAGGCCACCATGCTGGGAAGCCAGATTTGAAATTAGTGATGCAGCAAGTAACCAGTGTGAGCAAAACTCCAAGGGACCTGTATTCCAGGTAGAGATGAAGACCAAGGTGGTGGTGTTTGCCCCCACAAGCCAATACAGAGCCCTCCTCACTTGGGTCGTTCTCTCTGCAACTTGCTTCAAGCAAATGTAGCAGGACGAGGTTGGATTCTCACATTAATAATATTTATATATAGGAGTTTGGGGTTAGAGGCTGGAACCTGAGTCAACTCAAGTTGGTAACAAAGTTAATTGGCAAGTTAATTAGGTGGAGCAGTACTGCAGAATGAGGAATGACATAAAAGGCATGTGTACAAAATAAATGAATTTATTCAACAACTTATGTTTTAATACACAGCCACTCACTTTACGTTAATTCAAAAGTGTGACTTCAAATCTGTCAAACACCACTTAGCAGTAGGCCTCCAGGCCAACCACTCTGATAGGTGTAAAGAGAGACAAGGCCTCGCTCGACCCACTGGACAGGTCATCATCAACAGTTAACTAACCTGAAACACATTCGTGCACCCTCTTGGCAAATACTTCACTAACACATGACATGAACCACAAACAATGTCACAAACATCACAATAATAACTCTACAAATAATTACTGTACTGTATTTTACTTTAGCAAATATCACTAAGACATACAACAACACCAACAATTGCTTAAATAATCAATGTCATCAAAATATTCAATCAACTACGATAACACATGTCACTTGAACAGCAACCAAAACAAATACAATTAACAATTTCTCAATTTATGTTAATTAATCAACCACAATTATATCAATTACTGTCACTTAGACATTCAACAAAACAATTAACAATTAATGACATTATCACTCGGACAAGTGTCCAATCAAAGACAATTACAGTGGTACCTTCGTTTACGAATTTAATCCATTCCCAGAGATGGCTCATAACCCCAAAAATTTGTAACCCGAAACAAATTTTCCCATAAGAAATGCTGTAGATTGAATTAATCCATTCCACACTCCCAAAAATATTAACTTCAAAATACATTTCATATAGCTTGTACTATAGCATGTACAAGTTATAGCTTACCTTTATTGATGACTCTTGTTAGTGTATGGAAGATTGTGAGGAGGGGGGGAGAAGAAGGGGGGGAGGAGGAGG